GAGCAACGCAATCGTACACGTCAACAGCGAGATGATGGTCGTACAGAAGCACTTCAGCGCGGAGATGTTCGCCTCGATCCCCAGTCCCGGGATTTCAACATCCAGGATGCCAATCTTTCCGAGCAGGATTGGGGATACGTTAAGGCCTTCCACCAGGAGATGGCTAGTTTGAACCTTGAGCACTGCGCCCAATGTGACGAAAAATGGTTTGATATGCGTCTCGTGGATGGTATATGTCATCGATGTAGGATCGACGATAGGAAACGAGGCGATTTACCACCGCTGTATTCCGCAGAGAATCATTTAAATCCTGGTCTGGGCCCGTCGCATCACAATCTTCCTGAGTTATCTCAAGTAGAGGAGCTCCTTATCGCCCGTGTCCATTGTGCTGTGGAGGTTCGAAAGGTTAACGGTCTTCAGTACCGTTATACAGGACATATCATCAACTTTATGAGAGACGTGGGGCGTGTATACAATCGACTACCTCTCCTTCCGAAAGACCTTGAGATCGTTGTCCTTCGCCCTGCGAATTGGGATCAGGATCCCCGTATGCAGCGCCAGTTTCGACGCGACTACCGTGTTCGCCGTACTGTCATCGAGCAGTGGCTAACCCATCTCAAGGTTCACCCCCCTAGATATCTGTCGTGAGCAGTTGCTAACCCATCTAAAGGTTTACCACCCCGGATATCGCGATGTCGTCGTCGACCCTAGCCGCGTGCAGCATCTTCCTATTGATGATAGTATTATGGAAGAGGTCGGCGTCCAGACTATTGAGGAAGAAGAGCTAGGAGGCGGCGATGACGATACGGGAGACGAGGTAGATTACGTCGCCGTAGTCCCGGATCTCCTCCAACCCCAGACGGAGATGGAGCAACTTCGGCAGCATGTCGATGATGCTCATGAACGTCGACGTGAGCATCTGACGATGCCTGAGTTTAGATTGACTCCTCTATCTGAGTTTAACCACTCTCAGGCTCTTCTAAGCCTGGCGTTCCCAAGCTGCTTCCCCTGCGGTATTGGGGACTTCGTTCATCCCCGTCTCCGTAAGGTAGAGTATCGTGAATATATTAAGCATCTGATGAGGTTCCACGATGGTCGCTTTGCGAAACATCCGCGCCTACGGTATGTCCTTTTTAACACTCTTTTCCGGAAACAGGTCAGTACCCGTGCATCTTACTTCGTTCGTCAACGTCCTGAGCATAATGATCTATCTCTTGAGGAACTCCGTGCTGCTTTTGCGGATGACTCTCCTGAAGCCCAGGCCCTTCTGAACTCTATTATCCGTTTTTCAGGGAGTCTACGCGGCACGCGGCCCTATTGGATTGGGCGTGGTAAGCAGCTTGAAGCTACCGTGCAATGGTTTGGGTCTCCCGACATCTTTTTAACGCTGTCGGCCGCCGATTACCACTGGGATGATCTACAGCGTCATTTACCTCAATATGAGGAGTGGCGTAATGGATCTCCAGCGGAGCGGATCTCAATCTCACGCCGGAACCTCCGAGACTATCCCCATATCGCCGCCTTCCTCTTTCATCGGCGCCGTGAGGCTCTCTACAAGAATTTAGTAGATCCTAAGTTTAACATCCGCGATCAATGGGGCCGATACGAGTGGCAGGGTCGCGGCTCGTCGCACTCACATTTCCTCCTCTGGCTAGACCGTGCCTGCCCTAACAGCGAGCTTGATCGTATCCCTACGGAGGATCTCCCTGCCGCCCTTGAGAAATTTGCGCAGTTCTGGGGCGGTCACATCACGGCGTTAAACCCCGAACCTTCCCGTCGGGTGCGACCAGAGGATGAGCGGAGTGCTATCGCGCTAAGTCCCCACACCCAGGAGAATATACTGGCCCATTACTCGGCTATCATCAACCGTGTACAGAGGCACCACTGCAGTGATGCGTACTGCCTCCGTACGAATAAACGCACTGACCGGAAGGAGTGTCGTTTCTACGCCCCATGGCGGATCCGGGATGTGCCTGTGGTTACGAAGGATGAAGGCAACCCTAGGTTCTTTAACTTTCGCGGTATCCGGAACGATGATCGGTTAAATCACAGCAACCCTGCCCTTATCACAGCCTGGCTTGCGAATATCGATATCACGCCCTGTACAGGGAGTCGAGCAGTATTAGCGTATCTTGGAAAGTACTGCTCAAAACCAGAGAAGAAGACGGCCACCTTCCACGATATCCTAAAACATCTCCTAACGATCGTTCCCGAACATACGCGCCGGCCATTCCTTTCGCTGACCACGAAGATTATGAATCGTCTAATTGGTGAGCGGGATTGGTCAGCCCAGGAGGTTTCCCATATTCTTCTTGATCTCCCCCTCCAAGTCTCTTCACGCGTGGTGATTTCCGTCGATTGTCGCCCGGAGGTGGAGCAGCCCCAAGGAATTGAAATCCAGGACGATGGGACTATCCAGAGCGGCCTCTCCCCTCTTCAAAAGTATAAGCAAAGACCTGAAGCGTTTAACGACATTTCCTATCTTGAGTTTCTACGTTGCTATGAATTCGCACGGGTTAACTCAATTCGGAAGAGAGGAGAAGGGAAGGAGCGGGCGTTAAATTACTTCCCCCGATATTCATCGGTCGGCGATACCCGCGAAGACTGGTGTCGCGTTAAACTGATGCTACATCACCCCTTCCGCCGTATGGATGATCTCCTCCGGCCCGAGCTTGATGGTCTGCTTTTTGCGTCGTATTCTGAGGTGTATTCCGCGTCTTGCGTGAATGGTCAGCATAACCATCCGGTGGATCATTACGACCCTATTGTTCTTGCGGACGAGGATGAGTTTGAAGAAGGCGCCAATGAGGAGGAGGATCAGCAAGGGAGCTGGGATGAGCTCGCCGGTCAACTGCCTGGTCGCGATAGAACCGTTCTAGAGGACCCAGATGCCCTTGGTCAACGACCTCTTGACCGTGAGTACGATTGGGCGTCCCATGTCGGGAAGTATGAGATTACGAAGGAGTGGTGGGCCACTGCAAAGGCCCAGTATCCCTATATTCATGAAGCTGTTCCCTTCGCACCTGATACCGTTGAAAAGCTGAACGCTAAACAACGTATAACATACGATATCCTGACGACCCACTTCGCACACGTTATTGCGACAGGCACTCCTGGGCCTCAGCTTCTGATTAACGTTGATGGCGAGGCGGGTACAGGGAAGTCTTTTGTTATTCAGCTGATCTCCTCGCATCTCCAGGAGGCAGCTTCACGGCATAGATTACCGAACCCTGTTCTTCGTGCTGCGCCTACGGGCGTCGCAGCTCACAGTCTCTCCGCGTCGACACTACATACTCTTTTCCGTCTTCCTGTCCAGAATATCAATTCTCTCGATCCCCTCCGGCCGGCTGCTCTTCAAGCCGCTCAGGCCACCTTCCGGGGTATACGGTACCTGATTATCGATGAAAAATCTATGATCGGCCTTCGCCAGCTCTCCCATATTGACCGTCGTTGCCGCGAGATCTTTCCTGGCGTAGACAAGTCTTTCGGTGGTCTCTGTATTCTCCTCTGTGGCGACTTCTTCCAGCTTCCTCCGGTCTTGGCAACTGCTCTTTATAACCAGAAGAGTCATCTAAATCTAGATGAACGGCATGGGCGTAGTATCTACTACCAATTCGAGCGAACGATCAAACTTGATGAAGTCGTGCGGCAGCAGGGTAATGACGTTGAGTCGATTCAGTTCCGCCAGGCTCTCGATCACCTGCGGATAGGCTCCGCAACTCGTGACGACTGGACACTGCTTAGTACACGAGTACAGGCCATGCTTCCGTCTGAGGAGGTAGCATCGTTTGGGGACACTCTCCGTATCTTTGGTAAGAAAGCGCCGGTCGCCGTGTATAACTACTGTCGTTTACGCGATCTCCGTTCTCCTGTTATGATATGTCGAGCTATTCACGAAGGAGGGGCGAAGGCAGAAAAAGTTCCGACTAATGAGGCAGGAAACCTCCATTCGGAGATTCCGATGGCGTTGGGAACCCGTATTATGTTGACAGAGAATCTCTGGACCGAACGAGGCCTGGTGAACGGTGCGATGGGAACAGTGCGTGATATTAGCTGGCAGGCTGGTGCTGATATCCATAAGGATCCTCCTTCCGTACTCCTCGTTCAATTCGATCGGTATGATGGACCGACGTTGGACGTAGGCGGCATTGGCTTGGTCCCAATCCTCCTATCACGCCGCGAGTTCTATATCGAGAATACTTCCTGCTCACGTTCACAGTTCCCGTTGACCATCGCCTATGCCATCACAACGCATAAGTCGCAGGGAATGACTCTAGAACGGGCTGTGCTGGACATTTCGGAGCGGGAGTTCGCGCCTGGCCTGACCTATGTGGCAGTCTCCCGTGTGAAAAGCCTTAGAGGGATCATGTTTGAGGCTCCATTCGACTTGCAGGATTTGAACCCTCGCACGGAGAGCGAGACGATGAAGTTCCGGAAGGAGGATGCGCAGAGGAGGGAGAACCAGCATATCACGGCAGAGGTTTGTTTACATTATTTGAATCAATCGCGCGGTGTTGACATAGTGTAGGATATCCGACGGGCAGTCGGATCGTCATCCTCAATTCCGCTTTCTTCGCAGGCGGCACTGTTAGGACGGAGTTCATAGCTGGGTGGCGTGGATGCGGAGGATTTCCGGAAGGCGGAGAGTGAATGCTGTAAGCAAGGTAGTTATGTGGCGCGAGATCAGGATCAAAACATCACTGTACGATCAGACGATCAGATGAGAAAAGGGGATCATTTGATTTCCTAATTAGGAAGTATGCACTCGTCGCGAAGATGCTGTTTTTGAGCGATTCAACTATTTCCGTGTTTCCTCCCCATGATTAGGAATACCTTGATTAATAATCCTACGGGGGGTGATGCTATACTCTAGGATGGGAGAGATCACGTGCTAGCTGCGCTCGTGATGATTTGGGGCAGAAAGGTTGCCTTTATGCACCACTGGCCTATTTTCCTCAACCTCGCACCAATACACGGGGCAATAATGCTGCTTCAACACTATGACTTCGATTAGTCTTTCAGTAGCCAAGGCGTCTTTCGCTGCAGGATTGCTACGACCCGATCCAACCCCCGTGTCGCGTGACGAGCTATCGCGTTTCCACACCCTCCTCAACACCGTACTCCTCGAGTGCTCGCCGACCAACGTTCAGGTTTGAATTCTATCCCGATCGAAGTGATTGTTTCGGGATCCACTAAACCGTCGCAATGCGATAGCAATGCCGGAAATGGCTCGTCAGTAACTGCGTGCCTTCCAGCTCCAAGACCACATCGCTTGTGAAATACCTTGCGGCGGTGTCCGCATCGTTGGATGATGGAGGGTCAAAGGCTGCCCCCTCCTCGGCGCGCAGGCGCCTCCATATACTGTACCTTCTAAGCGACGCGTTGCATCATTTGCGATACCACGAGGCGACATCGGCGAACTACAAGTCCTTCTCGAATGGCATCCAACCGCATCTGTTGGAGCTGGTTGCACATACGTCGGCTTCCTCGAAAGGCCACGCAAAGCTAGAGAGGAGGCTCGATGATTTGCTGGCCGTTTGGGAGCGACAAAAACTTCTAGAATCAGGCGAGATTTCAAGATTACGAGAACGTGCCACTGCGGCGAAGACCTCCGACTTCCCAATACCAACGAGCCAGACTCGCGCTGCCGCTGTCAAAGGATGGGGGGATAATCAAGATGTTCCCTATAATCTGCCCGCGACTCATGGCGACCCTTCCACGCCTTACTACGATCTTCCTGCCGCAAACATGATGCCGCATATACGACCGAATTCGCCGAGACCGATCAATATTTCGCACATGAAACCGATCCAACTTACACGGGGTCCTGCAGACTCAGGTCTTGTGAATACGGTCAAGGATTTCATGGAGGACATTGATCGAATCTTCCGCTCGCCATATGCTGATGAGCAAGTACAAGACGTAGATGCGATGGGCCAGCCACTGGTGAAGGACCCCGACACGGGCGAGCTAGTGCCGCTGGACACGTACTATGGCTGGTCTGCTTCTTTCTGTGAGCAGATGAAGCGGCGAGCGAGGGAACTTGCCTCGGGGAGTGCGCGGGGTCGAGAAAGAAGTCGCTCGAGCAGCCGACCGAGGCAGCGGTCCTATACACCGAGTCGAGGCAGCTCGCGCACTCCTAAACGACGGGACCAGCGCAGCCATTCTCGCAGCCGATCACGGAACCACTCGCGGGATCGCACGCGCAACGGACGTTCACGGTCCAAGTCGTCCTCGCGAGCGGCGAGGAGACGGCGATACTCTTCATCGCGCTCAAGATCACCGTATCCGCATAAATCTCGCCGTTCTCGCTCACGATCGCAGTTAAGACCACAAGTTCACGCTAGCAATGAACCAAGAGAATGGCGCGATCGCCCAAGGAATCAAGGGCCGCCCCCTCTGCAATATTCTCCGCCCATCTCACAACCAGCTCCCGGACCTCCATTTCCTGCATCATTTCAGGGCCAACCACCATTTTCGTCCGGCCCGTTCCCTCCGCCAAACCTACAGTTCGCGAACATGCCGTTCCCAATGCCGATGGGACCTAACAGCATGCAAATGCAGATCCCCCCTCCCCCAGCGGGCTACACCGGGAATTGGCCTCCGCATCCGCCTCCTCCTATTGCGCCTGGAGGTTTCTCGATCCCCCCTCCGCCGCCGATGGGTATGCCATACGCAGGTCCGATGCCATCATGGCCAGGAACGCAGCAGCAGCCCCCACAGGTTCCGAGCTGGCAAGGTGGGCCGCAGGGACCACAGGGATGGGGTGGGATGGGTGGCCGCGGAGGTGGGAGAGGTAGGGGAAGAGGGTGGTGATGACAGGGATGCTTTTCGCTGAGGCTTCATGGGTCAGCGGGCATTCAAGCATGGCAGACCAGGATTCAATCGATTCGAATGTGTGTACTAAAGAGGGAAGGGTCATGATCCACAGGTAGACTATATCCGTACTTAATGGAGGTCAGCGCCCTCCCATGTTTGTAGGAAATTCGTATTCCAACTCGACAATATCTGCAACCAAGCAATGACTGCACCGGCATTATTGTTCATGTCAGGAGTAAGCGGAGTGGAAGAAACCGCAATATCAATGACATAGAAGCATCCTTGAAGAGTCACAACCTTCGATTGTTGTTGTTTTCGCATATTCCCATTGTAAAGATAGCTATGTAATTCCCCGCTACATTTCTTTTAGTTCAATTGGTTAATGCAGGTCTCCCCCAGGAAGGCGTCGAGGTGAAGACATTCACTTGCTTTCACCACATGTATCGATGTATGTTCAAATTATACGCTGGTCGCTATCGTCAGCCGTAGAGGTCTACGATGACGCGCTAATTGGTCGCCCATGTTTAGTTGGACAGTCTCGCGATTCAGGAATTGTTTTATCGATGGTGACGTCCCCGATGCTCCATGTTACAGTCTACACCTCACTGCATCTTGCATTCCAATAAACCCAGCTGATGACCTGATACTATGCTGCCATGGCGTCGGCAGATCTCGATGACCCTCCCTTCGCCAGCTTCCGGAGACCCGGCACTTCGCAAAACACCCCCAACCCATATCGACCGTACTATATCCCTCCATCCATAGGCCTTCCTCCTGATGCGGCATCGCATGGTCCAAATGGAACAGCGTCCGGTCGCCCGTTTAGCAAGATGGGGAAACTGAATACAGCTCGCAGTCTGTTGTCCGATCTCGACTATGGCGACTACCTTCCGGAGGGTTCCCCGTCGCTGGCGGAGATGGCGAAGAGGTTCATGGACCAAGCAGTATGGAACTACACGTCGGTGCTAATGGCACAACCGTTTGAGGTCGCAAAGACGGTGCTACAGGTGCATCTGGCCGGAAGTGCAGATGAAGAAAGTATGGCGAGGATGGGAACACCCGGATCACGACATGTCCCGAGTTATAATGGTCGATATCAAGATGTATGAGCTCTCCTATCTTGTCCTATGTCGATATACTGACCGTACAGTTTATTCCTTCCGACGACGATGATTCTGACAATGACTCGCCATCTTACTTCACCTCCACTACCCCGGAGTCATCTCGTGCCTACTCTCGACCCGACATGGCCAACTCGAGGTCAAATTCAAACATGCATGGACGACGACCCTCTCAGCCGTCCACCCCCTCAAGGAGTTCCCAATTCCCTGGTACCAGTGGATCACGGGCTCCATCGCAATCTTCGCGGCTTCAACTGAGTCGTCCGGATGCTCTCATACCAGTGTTGACCCAGCTATGGGGGAAAGAGAGCGCCTGGGGCTTGTGGAAAGCGACAAACACCGCGTTCGTCTACAATATTCTGCTCAAGACGATTGAATCATGGACACGATCATTTCTCAGCGCACTGTTTAACATCTCCGACCCTGGGACGGCGATCGGTGTAGGAGCCATCGGTGAGGCCGGTATCAGGATAGCGCACAGTGCACATCCGTGGCTGAGCCTAGGCGTGGCCGTCGCTGCTGCAGGCGTCGCTGGTGTTATCCTCAGTCCACTCGATATCATTCGGAGCAGGCGAGTACACCCACTTATTGGCCTTGTATCGTTCCAAAACTGACATTGCAACCTAGACTCATCCTTACACCTCATACATCCCCTCCGCGAAACCTTCTCCCTTCGTTAGCATCCCTTCCTACATTCGTTGTCCCGACGGCCATCCTACCGATCACATTTCTCCACTCCGCCATCCCTCCGCTCCTTACCGCCTCGTCGCCCATGGTGCTTCGAAGCACATTATCCATCGACCCCGTCCTCTCTCCCACGTCCTTTTCAGTCGCCACGTTCGTCACGCAAGTTGCGGAGTTGTTCATCCGTCTACCGCTCGAAACCGTGCTTCGGCGCGGCCATGCCCATGTCCTGAAGGACTGGTCTCTGCTCCGATCGCCGGCTTCCGATGATCGATACAAGTCCTTCCGAAAAGAACAAAGCGGTCGCCCGTCGAAGGAAGAGAAGCTCGACCTCATCATTACGCCAGGCCCGTACCGAGGCGTGCTGGGAACAATGTGGTATATCGCCCGGGAAGAAGGGGTGAGGATCAAGGTGGCGTCGCCCAGCGTCGCCAAGAAAGGTCCACCGGGAAAGCCGCTAAGAGAGCCGAAGAAGTCCAAGGGCCAAGGTATGTCTGGCCTTTGGAGGGGATGGCGGGCAGGATTTTGGGGGCTTGTAGGTGTTTGGGGAGCAGCCGCCTTGGGAGGCGGAGGAGGAGAGTTCTAAAAGCGAGCGGAGGCCGTGGAGGAGGGTTACATTGCCATGTGAACCTCTCCGCGATAAGGGTTGTCACGGTGCCTGGATTTTCTGATGGTGATACCACGGCGTTTGGACTCGTCTCCGGAGAAATCGTATTCCGGCTCGTACATAGAACTCACTGGTAATGATTTTGGAGCGTTTTGTACAAGTATACTCAATTGAATGACTCAACTTCTCATCTTGTTCAAAATGCTGGTTCTATGATTCACCTTAATTGCAGTTTTGCGCCATGCTTCGGGAGAAATGCATTCAGGTGGGAAGCTTCCCGAATCTCATCCAGCTAATAATTAGCTCGGAAGCGTTATGGTAGAGCGGATATGTGCTAAGGCGCCATATCTCGGGAGAGTTCGCGCGAGATTTGCGTCCCACTTCTCCAGTTCTCCTCCCCGCATTCTCCGAAACCTGGGGGATAAGACAGGATGTATCTTTCCGAAGCCGGACAGCAACACAGTGCAAGAGAACCATGCAAAAATATGGCAATTCGGACGTGTTGATGTCTCTAGCTGATGTCCGACGGCAGTGCAAAAAGCTTGTAGATAGGAATCAAGTTCTCCGCCACCAACAAACGTTCTCCGGCTATCATCGTTGGCTCCACTGCCTCATTCCCCTCGGCCAAGTACAGATGCGGGATGGTCAATCAACCGAACGAGGCGCTACAGGGTAGGAACCGTTATTGCGGGGGTGGAGGTGCATGATTCCAATAACTACCTAGTTAAAGAAGTACTATTTCTTTTCTTGAGTCCTACATTTGCAAAGTCTGACAGAAGTCCGACCTACTCTCGTCCGTGTCATTCCTCATTTCTCAGCTTGCTACAGTCCATAGACTTCCCTATTCAATATAGACTCTATCAGAATCAACAAGATCCGGAGTAAAGATGGCGGCACCAACCCTGACGGCCCCGCGAAAGCTGTGGGAGCACAAGAATCCCAAGGACACGAACATGTGGAGGTTCATGCAACAAACGAACCGCACCAGAGGGACGAATCTTCAGGTACGCCAAATGATCCTATCCAACACCTTTGAGAGGGTTCCATGGAACATGTGCCCTAGTATTGCGAAAGGATCATTGACGTTGTCCACCAGACCTTCCAGGACCTCTACCAGTACTCGATCACCCAGCTCTCATTCTGGGATGATGTCTGGACCACTCACCCGATCATCCATGAAGGCAGCTACACGACACCAGTCGACCCGTCTGCGCGAATGGACAGCATTCCCCGCTGGTTCGAGGGGGTCCGCCTCAACTTTGCCGAGAACGTTCTCTTCTCTCCAGTCCACGGGACCCCGACTGCAACGTCGACGAGGGGCAAGGAGTCGGATAAGGTTGCTACCACCGAAGTTAGAGAAGGAGGGACGGAGATTCGAGCGTATACCTGGGCGCAACTTCGCTCCAGAGTGGCGCTGTTCGCCAACGCGTTGAGGGCACGGGGCGTGAAGAAAGGTGATCGAGTGGCCGTGGTCGCGAGCAATAGTTTCGACACACTATGTGTCTTCCTAGCAACCACGAGTCTAGGTGGATTATTCTCGTCCTCAAGCACGGACATGGGTACCAAGGGAGTCTTGGACCGCCTGTTGCAGATCAAGCCTCGATTTGTCTTCATTGATGATATCGCTGTATACAATGGGAAGACGACCGATCTGCGTCCCAAGATCAAGGAGATCCTGGACGGGATGAGCAACGTCGAGGAGTTCTGGGGTGCGATCATCCAGCCGAGATTTGAGAGAGCAGTGGATATCAGTGCCATTTCGCGGTCGGAAACGTTGGCGAACTTTTTGAAGTCGGCTGGTGGAAACACGAAGTTAACCTTTGAAAGAGTGGAGTTTAGGGATCCCTTCCTTGTGGTCTATTCCAGTGGGACTACGGGAGTCCCGAAGTGTATCGTGCACTCCACTGGTGGCATCCTCCTCAACTCCATGAAGGAAGGTAAACTTCATCGAGACCTCGGGCCAGACATGGTTCAGTTGCAATATACTACGGTGAGTGCCCATATTGTCCACTTCGAGCTCGTGAGTGCTAACGTTCCCCAGACCGGATGGATCATGTATATGTCCTCCATCTTATCCCTGCTCTATGGCGGTCACGCCATTCTCTATGACGGCTCGCCCTTCCAGCCGGACCTGAAAACCTTCATCCGCCTAGTCAGCTTCCTGAAAGTCACGAACCTCGGAATATCTCCGCGCTACATGCACGAATTCCAGAAGAACAATCTTGCGCCGCGCGACATTGCAGACCTGTCTAGACTTCGGACCGTCACCTCGACCGGGATGGTTCTGTCGGATGCACTCTTCGAGTGGTTCTACGATACCGGTTTCCCGCCCCATGCCCAGCTAGCCAACATCTCCGGAGGCACGGATTTGGCCGGGTGCTTTTCGATGGAAAACCCGCTCACGCCGATATATGTTGGAGGTTGCGTTGGCCCCAGCGTCGGCACCGCCATCGCCGCCTACGATCAGACCATCGAAGGCAACGACGGTACCCCAGGGAGCGAGCTCGAAGACGGTGTCCCAGGCGAGCTGGTGGCCACCAGACCCTTCCCCAACATGCCGGTATACTTCTGGGGCGACGACAAGGGTGAGAAATACTTTAGCTCCTACTTCAAGCGCTTCAACGACGTCTGGACGCACGGTGACTTCATCATGATCCACCCGATCACGAAGCAAATCTTCTTCCTCGGCCGCGCGGACGGCGTGCTCAATCCCTCCGGCGTCCGGTTCGGATCCGCGGAGATCTACAGCGTCATCGAGAACTTCTTCACGGATCAGATCGCAGACAGCATCTGCGTGGGGCAACGACGGCCGGAGGATGACGACGAGAGCGTCCTTCTGTTCCTGCTGATGCATCCGGGGAAGAAGTTCAATCAGCTTCTCGTGAAGGACGTCAAGGACCGGATCGGGAAAGAATTGAGCAAGCGGCATGTGCCGAAATACGTCTTTGAGACGCGCGAAATACCTGTAAGACCTTCGCCGTTTTACCTGCTTCTGACGACACGTTTACTGACATCCTGCAACAGACCACGGTCAATCTGAAGAAGGTTGAGCTGCCAGTGAAGCAGATCGTATCAGGGAAAATCATTAAACCCTCAGGAACGCTCCTCAACCCAGAGAGCCTGGACTTCTATTACAAATTCGCCAAGATCGAGGAATTGGATGAGGAAGGACGAGTGACGTCGAAGCTATAGTCAACCATTGTGTACTCAGTGCCGTTCAGTGTATGCAGGCCCAGGGAAATGTGATGCTACCGTTTTTTGTGATATAGAAAGCATTGGATTTGGTCTTCAATAAACGAATAGAAATATTTCTTGGCCCAGTTCCATCGCATCTAGGGCTGAATTACTTGAACGCATTCTCGTGACTACTGGAGTGGGTTGGACAGACTCCGCCACCACCAAATGCATCGCAGAACTGAAGGCTTGATTCCTGGAAAGGAGAGAACTATGCCCCGTTTTCAAGCGAAATTACTGCGCCCAAGGAACGGAGCTTGTTCTTGCGATCCTTTCCCGGGGAAGATAACGATTTAGAATACTTTAATTCGTATATAATGAAACAATTCTGCTAACTTTGAGGGCGAAGAAATGCATTCTTAGAAGTCCGTGCAGACAGTTATGGTAACCGATAGGGTCTTGTAACCAGCAAATACGGCACGATAGTGGCGGAATGTCTATCCAAGTGTGTGCCTTGTCACTATCATCGCCGTACGCCTTTCTACCTCGTCTGCATACATATTGCCTCGTCCTCCTCCTGCTTCTCCCTCTCCCACCGGGCTGGCTCTTCCGATCAGCGCTCGTGACGTTCACCACACGGACAGTGGTTACTGCGATCCACTCTTTTATAGAATTGAAGAGTTCCTTGGCCGATACAAAGCAAGGGAACCCGAATCCAATGCCTCTCGATGCTTTAGCGGTCGTGGAAATGATGGCGCTGTCGTCTGTGGTCGCTGTGTGGAGTCTCCTGGTGCCGAAGCGGGTTGGTGCGAGTCGGGCACGAGCGCTGATAAGGATATGGGGTGTTCTTGTCGGCACCGGGACTGTGACGGCATTTGTGGTTTTTGAAAAAGTTTCTGCATCTTCTGAGCATGCCGAGACGGTCGCATATACAGTATGCGGGTGGATGCCGTTAGAGTATGCGAGCGTGTTCGGCCTCGACTTCAAGAAGTTCCGGAACCACGTTGGTATTTCTGGATTGGTTTTTGCTAGCCTAGCTCTTCTTGCGGCGATGCTACCGGATCGAGGCGGCAAAGTCGAAGAGGTCAAGCGATATTGAAACCATATACGAAGGAATCGACATTACACCCATTACGAATAGGGCGATAGGAGCCAAGTGTGGAATTCGGTTGTTCATAAAGCTCCTGATTCTTGCCGTACCAGCAGTTGCGGTCCTCATTGTCGTCTCTGCTGAGATATATTTCTGGAGACTGGCGCCTCACGTCGACACGGCAGACATCGATACCATTTCGGTGGAAGGGATCTTGTCTGTTGGCCAATGGAGCATCTGGGCATCGACCGGCATCATTCGGCTTGCCATCTTATTTAACGGCGTCCGAGAGAAGCTGGACATGAATGGATCCAGAGTAAGCTCAGAACCTGTGGAAGCTGATTCCCTCGGAGTCCTTAATCCACCACCTTCTACACGTGTCATCAGATAGGCCCCCAACCTATTGTTTCCAGGAATATCTCATCCAGCTTTCTTCTTCTCCTTGACAAACCCTCCGACCACTAGCGCGTCTCTTGCAACAGCTCCGATTAGGCGGAATCTGTCCGGTCCCAGGTGGATTCCGCCATACCATCTTGTGACGATGACGACAACGTTCCAAGAATCGGTCAACTGCAACAAATGCAGTAGTCGTCCACCAGCCGCATCCTCACCATCGTCATCATAGTCTTGATAAACGATGTTGTCTCGCTTGATCCGCCACGCCGTAATGTTGTGCGTTGCAGAGGCGACTTTCTTGTTGGTATCTTTCAAGTGCATGATGAAGCGACTTGCCTCTTCCACGGATTGGACTGGTGCCGCACGAGCAACAAAGACGCTCCGTTTGCTGGCGATGGGCTCCGAGATGGACCAGGGAGGTTCTTCCCCAAGGAGTTGTGCGGCCAATTGCTGCCTCTGCTCGCTTCCCGCAAGTTCCTCTGCGTGATCATTCTGCTCCGGTTCGACTTGATCATGAAGAACCCCCTCCGATTCCAGCAGCGTGCTAAGGTCTTCCAGGAAATCGAAGATACAGACCTCACTGGGCCTATGGACGTTCGCTAACACATCTTGCGCGAGTTCGACGAGTCGTTTGCCTTCCCCGCGTGGGCCACCGAATGTTTCGGTGCCGACGATCTCAGGCGGCAAATCCGGATATGCCAGAGGGAAGGAGAGCCGCAGAGCCGTGTCGGCATGTGAGGGCAATCGAAGAACGCAGACTATGTCGCTTCCATCTTTTGGAATTCCGGCCAGGTCTAGAGTCGTATCGCCATATATAGAATTCACTGAGATCAGCTCGTCGGCTAGAGCGGCATTGACCGTGGCTAAGTCGTCCATCGTCAATCGAGCTTGCGAGACGACTTAGAGTAGTTGGGTGATGGATAAGTTCTAGAATCTAGATCGTCGTAAAGGGCCACATGCATGAAATCATTGTTGAATTGTCGTCCACGAGTATTTTCCGCTTGATGAATTTGATAATAACTTGTCCGTCGACTTGACCGGTTTGACCAAGGGGGTCAGGATCTGCATTCAACACGGTCTTAGCGTGGCGTTCCGAAATGAAAAGTGTCGCGAAGTTCGAATTGGTCGACGTTGTGTTTGACCTTCCTCTGGAGGAATCGGCCGATATCGTGCATTTGACATATTATGCTGTCATCAGCAACACTTACTGGTAAAGGAGGAGAAGAGCTGGCGGGGTCAACGGTCCCAGATTTCTGTCTTTAGTTAGTGGAGGGGATCGAATTTCCACATCCAGCTCCAGCAGAAGGTCGCCTCTGTCCTCCGATTTCCCATACAACGGAATTCATGACTCAGGCCCATCAGGGTCCCCCGCAACTACTAAAAAAACTCTGAACCAGCTCAACCCCTCAACGCCACCTCAGTGCCTCCATTTAACTAGACTTCTCATAATATCTTTATTGACGAAATCATTCTATGTAGAGCATTTATATACTTATTGTCAACAATCAATATAGCTCATACCCTTCAATTGAACATCCATATCACATGAAAGAAGACGACAAAGGCAGCAAGCCAGGACTACATTACACCCAGGACTCGGAGATCACCATTAGGACCACACGGACTGAGGGCAGCGATCCTGAAACCTGTCCCGTTGGTGATCCGGAGAAATGCATCCATACAGATAATCACGATGGACTCTCCGAGCTTCAGCCTGTCCCATCCAGGATCGAGTCCTACGCACCTGGATCGACATTTCGTGAAGATGTCGACTATCCGGAGGGCGGACTGCAAGGTTGGCTGGTGGTCTTCGGAGCATTCGCTGGGATGATGGCAGCCTTTGGTATTTTGAACACTGGTAAGCGATAGGCCGTCCATCCTCCGGTATGGTGATGGCTAACAATCCTCAGCCGGTATATTCCAAGCATATTTTGCCGAACATCAACTCCAAGGCTACGATGAGAGCACCCTGGGTTGGATCTTCTCCATTGCCTTCTTCCTTGCGTTCTTCTGCGGGATCCAGATCGGTCCGATTTTTGATGCTCATGGCCCACGGCTTTTGATCCTGGGAGGTAGCATCATGCTATTGGCGGCGGTGGTCCTTCTCAGTTTCTGTGCTGGTGCGTGTTCCTTTGTCCTGGATTGGGGCAGCCACTGACGGTTTCTTCAGAATACTACCAATTTGTTCTCGTCTTCGGTGTGATGGGCGGCATTGGTACGTCCTTAGTCTTCACGCCCGCAATCTCAGCCATCTCCCACTTCTTCTGTGAAAAGCGTGGCGGCGCAACCGGTCTCGCAGCGACTGGAGGGGCGATTGGCGGCATCATCTTTCCGCTGATGCTGCAGTCTCTGATCCCCAAGGTTGGGTTTGCTTGGGCCACACGGTGTGTGGCCCTGATCTACCTCGTCCTATGCATCATTTCGAATATTTTCATCCGATCCCGACTTCCACCGGACCCCAACCAGTCGGTCTGGCCTGACTTCAAGATCTTCCGCGATCCTTCTTTCGCTTTGGTTACTGCGGCCGTCTTTTGCATGGAGTGGGGCTTGTTCATTCCCGTCACGTATCTGACGTCTTTTGCAATGTCAAGTGGAGCACTGTCGGAAGGCTCTGGATACGATCTTATTGCCATCTTAAATGCTGGTTCGGTTCTTGGACGATGGCTGCCAGGAGTCTTCGCTGACAAGATCGGTCGCTTTAATGCAATGATCATCACCCTGGCGCTCTGTGCCCTGACGACAATTGCACTCTGGCTCCCTGCCAGCCTTCTTGCACCGCCGGACTCCGGGGAGCAAGGGATGGAGATTTCGGTCTCAGGGCTGAAGGCCATCGTGATTATATATGGGTTCCTATTCGGGTTTGCATCGGGATCCAATATTTCTTTAACGCCCGTTTGCGTTGGTCAGCTGTGTCGCACAGAAGAGTACGGACGGTATTATGCGACTTGCTACACGGTGGTGTCACTCGCAAGTCTAACGGGTGTCCCGATTGCCGGTGCTCTTATCTCGGCCTGCGATGGCGGATACTGGGGTGTTGTCGGATTCACCGGAGCTGTTTACGTTGTATCGGTAATCTTGATGGTAATGGCCAAAGGAAAGAAGGTCGGATGGAACTTCACCACGAAGTTTTGAGCCGAGAGTAATATGACGATGGACAATAAACAAGGCAGGAAAGACTGGGAAGCAATGAATAGGTGTCTTTGTAAACACATCATGAAGCCAATGGACACAAAGAAAAGCACCTCCTGGAGAACAACGGCCTTAAGGCTGTAAGTTCGGCCGAGCAATAAGCATTCCCACGTACCAAACCATGTGCAAGGCACCAAAGTGAGAGAAATGGATTCCTATCATCGTATCCAGAGCTCATGAGTTGAGCCGTGACTTGTATCGCATCGCGATCGTAATCTCCAACTGTCTATCGCGAACTACTACAGACATGCATCACACACCCCCTAGCACCCAGCATTTGCTATACATATATACATATTAGTGCCATACCTTTTGCTCGTTTCACTATTGAAAGGGATAGGAGAAGGTGGCTAAGTTGAACAGAATGGAGGAGTTGATTGCTGTTGAGAAGCTGAAGCTGAAGCTGAAGCACGAAGCAGAAGCTGAAGTGAAGCAGAAGCAGAAGCACGAAGTAGAAGCGTGAAGCGTGAAGCAAAGGATCTCATTAGGCGCCAAGGCACAAAGGCACCAAGTATCCCAGACCCCCTGCCTGCCTTTGTGGTCGTGGCGTCACACCCCAGCAAACTTCCTTTGTTTGCAAGTGCGACTTCGGTGGGGGCGCTGAGGTGGGAAAACTTTCAAGTATCAATCCGATGACTCTTGCAATATCATTCTCTCAAGATAAGCCCAATTGACACCACCGTGACAATTCCTCATTGACCATGGCTTCTTCACTGATTTTGCACGTCGATTTGTCCTCCGAAGGTGTCCTGTCTCCCCAAGGGATCCCATCGGCTGCACTGTCGTACTTTGGGTCCGTCTTTATCCCACTGTCCGAGTCGACTCTAGATGCCGCCTTCTCTCATCTCCAGAGGTCATTTGGCCGGCTCGAAAATTATTTCGATGTCACTGCTCTCGAATCGGTGGAAGATATTGTGTCGTTGCTCGATGCCGGCGCTGCGGGGGTTTTCGTCAGCCAGAAGCAGTTGGTCCAGCTAGAGCGGACGCCAAACATTGACCTTGACCGTGTGACCGTTGTTATCGTGCATCAAGCACACACGAAGGATGAGATAATTGACTCAATAGCGGGTACCTCCGTCGGGGTTTGTTTCTGGCACGTCCAGGATGTGCAACTATTAGAGGCGTGGTTGAAAGAGTATAGCTCGGACCGGCCGCCGGTTTACTTCTCCTTGGAACATCCCGATTTCGACCGTCTTTCACGGTTGTCAATTCTGGGCGGCATCGCAATTGCAAAATCCACGGATCTAACGCTGGAACCTCAAACCAATCCGGGATTGGTTGACGCGGTGAAACTGCTCCTGTCAGGTGCTACGAGCGACAGACCAGATGGTCTGTTTACCACCATGGTTACAGATGAAAGGGGAATCGCTCTTGGACTTGTCTACAGCAGTGAAGAGAGTGTCGCGGAGAGCATTAGGACCGGAAGAGGAGTGTATCAGAGCCGGAAGCGAGGCCTTTGGTACAAGGGCGAGAGTAGCGGAGATGTTCAGGAATTGGTTCACGTCAAGTTTGATTGCGATAAGGATTGCATCTGTTTCGTAGTCCGTCAGAAAGGGAATGGTAGGACTGCCCTCCGTGATTGTGGACTCGTCACTGAACTTTGCAGGCTTCTGCCACTTGGGTACCGCTACCTGTTTCGGTCGATACTATGGTCTCTCCAAGCTCCAGAAGACATTGTTGGATCGCCGACAGAACGCGCCCGAAGGCTCATATACAGCAAGGCTGTTCAATGACACGAAACTGCTGCACGCAAAGATCATGGAAGAGGCCAATGAGCTGTGCGAAGCAAAGACCAAGGAAGAAGTCTCTTTTGAGGCTGCAGATCTGTTGTATTTTGCAATGACAAAGTGCATTGCATCTGATGTGTCACTGGAGATGGTGGAACGGAACTTGGACGCGAAGAGCGTTAAAGTTAAGAGGAGGAAGGGGGACGCTAAAGGACCATGGGCGGAGCAGCAAATGAAGAAAGAGGAGGCAAAGCAGTCCAAAGCAGTGCCGGAGGTACAGACACCAGTTGTCTCATCTACGGGCAAAATTCAAATGAGACGATATCAGACATCGCAAGAGAAGGAAGAAACAATCCTTGAAGCGCTTAAGCGGCCATCACAACGGAGTTCCGAAGCCATTTTTGGAATCGTTAATCCGATTATCAAAGCCATCAGAGAGGGAGGCGACAAAGCGGTCCTGGAGTACACCCACAAGTTCGAGAAGGCGACGTCGCTCACATCTCCCGTGCTCAATGCTCCATTTCCGCCAGCATTAATGCAGCTGCCACAGCAAACGATTGACGCTATTGACATTTCATTCGAAAACATTCGTCGGTTCCACGCAGCGCAGCAAGAGGAGAAGCCACTCGTCGTCGAGACCATGCCGGGAGTAATATGCAGTCGCTTCTCTCGCCCGATTGAACGAGTGGGTTTGTATGTTCCTGGAGGAACTGCGGTCCTACCGTCCACCGCCCTTATGCTCGGCGTCCCGGCAATGGTTGCAGGATGCCAAAAGATCGTCCTTGCATCTCCGCCACGAGCAGACGGATCCATCACACCGGAGATCGTCTACGTCGCCCACAAAGTCGGTGCAGAATCGATTGTGCTCGCCGGTGGCGCACAGGCCGTGGCCGCCATGGCGTACGGTACTGAGAGTGTGAGCAAAGTGGACAAGATTCTCGGTCCCGGCAACCAGTTCGTCACTGCCGCGAAGATGATTGTTTCTAACGATACCTCCGCTGGAGTCAGTATTGATATGCCTGCGGGCCCTAGTGAAGTCCTCGTTATCGCTGATGCGACTGCGAATCCGGCATTTGTTGCCTCCGACCTTCTCAGCCAAGCAGAACACGGCGCGGACTCGCAAGTGGTGTTGATTGCAGTCGACCTCACCGACGCGCAACTACTCGCGATTGATGATGAACTTCACAATCAAGCCAATGCGCTGCCGCGGGTTGATATTGTGAGGAAAGCGATCGACCACTCCGTTACGCTCATTGTCAACGACATCCAGGAAGCCATACGTTACAGCAATGCATATGCACCCGAGCATCTCATCTTGCAAGTAAAAGATGCTGAAGCAGTGGTTCAGCATGTTCAAAATGCTGGAAGCGTGTTCATTGGCCCTTGGACTCCGGAGAGTGTGGGAGACTATTCCGCCGGTGTCAACCATTCATTGCGTAAGTTGTCTCCCAGTCTATTTACTTGGGATTTTCCAGCTTACAATCATTTAAGCGACTTATGGCTATGCCAAGCAATATTCGGGAGTCAATCTTGGTTCTTATGTGAAGCACATCACAAGCGCGAACCTCACGCTGGATGGCCTTCGCGCAGTGGGTCCAGCGGTCATGGAACTTGCTCGCGTCGAAGAACTCGAGGCGCATCGACGAGCAGTCAGCATCAGACTCGCTTCTATTACTGGTTAGACTATTTGAACCCGGCAATTCAGCGATCGATCGGTAGCGTGTGTCGTATCCGTACACCTACCGAACTGGATGAAACGTATGGTCTGTTCACCAACCCTTGCCTCGTCCATGGATGCCATTTGTATGCTTCACTAGTTAAGCATTCAGGATTCCCGATATTTCGGCGTAGGATAAACAAGCTCCACCTAGCTCCGCATCTCTGCTGGGAACCGAATTTGACTTATCCGGCCAGAGAAATAATTGCATCCCTGTCTTGACACGTCACATGCCTAGTTCAATATATCAGCAACATCGCATCTCGTCTTTCCCAGGAAACAACTCTATCATTCTTCTGCCAACCAATTACTTCCGGTTTCGTTTATGTTGAAGCTTGTCCGAGTACCAAATTTAGGGCTATTTTAGGGCTAATGTCGAGAATGCCTTCCTGGCCACCTTCGATGGCGTGTAATATAAAGAGTAAAGTCGCCGCAACTCCTCGCTTCAACGGTCTCCTCTTTGCCTATCCCAGCTCTTTTTAATATCCTTAGCCGATAAAATTCTTGGACACGATGAACTGGATCGACCTGGCGAACCTGCTGGTGGCAACTGGCATTCTTGCAAGTTGGCCAGCCCAAGCAGCTCCAGCATGCAATGGTGAACCCTTCATTTGCGGTCGAGGTCTAGACAAGCAGAAAGCTGAGTGCCTACAGTAACTGTACCGAACCCGATCGTCCGGGCCGCACAAGCCGCTCCTGGGACGATCGCGGCAAGATGGGCGGCGAAGAACAAGTACTTCGGGGTTGCGGCAGACCCTGGGACGATATCGAATGCGAAAAAGGCTGGTATCATCGCGAAGGAGTTCACACAACTCACCCCGGAGAACAGGTAAGAGACCATAAGATCCAAGGCATAGGGCCATCGTTGACGGAAGCTGTCGGTACTGATCATGAACCCAGCATGAAATGGGATGCTACGGAACCGCAACGCGACCACTTCACGTTCGGCAATGCTGACCAGTTGATGAACTTCGCCACATCAAACGGACAGAAGGTGCGCGGTCACACGACCGTTTGGCACTCTCAGCATCCAGCTTGGGTAGAACAAATCAACGACAAGGCCACACTTACGCAGGTCATGGAGAAGCATATTACTCAGGTGATTGGACATTTCAAAGGCAAAATCTTCGTTTGGGTATGTATGGATTGGGCACTTAAACGGATTTGTTGGGACTAACAGTAGAGAAGGACGTGGTGAATGAAGCTTTCAACGAGGACGGCAGCATGCGTGATTCGGTGTTTTATAAGGTTTTGGGAGAGGATTATATTCGCATCGCCTTTGAAGCGGCCAAGAAGGCCGATCCTGCAGCGAAGCTATACATCAATGACTACAAGTAAGACGAGATTCCACTTACGATTCGGCCTAGATTTGCGGATTGCTAACAGATTCTCAGCCTCGACGACCCCAATTACGCAAAGACCAAAGGTTTGATTGAGAAGGTGACGAAGTGGCGCTCTCAAGGCATTCCGATAGACGGGATCGGCTCGCAAGGCCACGTATCCGCGGAGTGGAATACGGCCAAGACGATACCCGCGGCCTTAAAAGCTCTCTGCGCCGCTGCTCCGGAATGTGCCCTTACGGAAGTCGACATTGCAGGCGCCGCCCCGAGTGATTTCGCCACGGTCACCAAAGCATGTCTAGATATCAGCAACTGTGTAGGCGTGACGATCTGGGGAGTGACAGATGCGGATAGTTGGAGAGCCAGCTCCACTCCGCTGCTGTTTGACGCCAGCGGCAATAAGAAGCAGGCGTACACTGCTGTTCTTAATGCAAGTTAGTCGAGTGTTTCCTTCTTGCAGGGGCGAACTGCGAAAAAGTCACTACATAGCCACACTTCTCGTAGTCAATCGAACTCTGACTCTTCCTGTCTGCGTGCTGCGAGCGAGCTGAAGAACCGCCTTTGGCGTCTTGTTCCTTGATTTCTCACATGTACCATGGGTCCACGGGCTATAAGCAGAGCTCGAGAAACGTCACTGTGGATGTCGCGGAGTAATGAAAAGCAATCCGACGACGAGCTGTGGAAACAGGACCGTTCCCGCCCCCTGCGACCTCGATTAAGCTGTCCATGTCAATCGGTGCCTGGCGTGTTGTCCCTTCTCTTGAGCGTTGGTCGCGTTCGTCAAGTCGAGTCGCGTCTCATCGGAATTGATTCTCACACCTGGGTAGCGGTAGTCATGACCAGCTGTAAAGAGTTTGACGTCAAGAGAAGCCAACAGGACTGTGATATACTCGTAGGCTGTGTCTGTATTCCGCATCAATGCTGTGTGGAGTGTTGAAACCCCATCCTACCGTGCCAACTGAGATAAGTGTGAAGCCATCGCAGGTCCTCCATTCAGTACCGTCGGTACCTATAATAACGTAGTAGTACACATATCGTCTCAGTAGTGGTAGTAATATATTTCACAAAGCCAGGACGTTTTGAATCTCCAAGCAAGAAATTCCATGGACGGGAAATAACAATTTGTGACTACCTTAATAGTTACCCTTTTAAATAACTAATTATAAGGAATCGTAGGGCTGAATTGTACCGACCCACTAGGCAGCGCCAAATCCGGAGCCACCTCAACTTTCATCCCACCCGCCCATCCACTTCTAAACCGATCATCGACATCCTTTCCAGCGGGATTGACGAGTGTTCTTCATATCTAGAATCCCAAATGACCGCAGGTTCGTTCAAGCATGCGACCCCCAGCCATAGATACCGTGGCTGAACCGTGGACAGTTCAATACCAGCTGGAGCGAGCTGCCTCCGACGGCTCAATAGACCCGTACTAGTCCCAACCTTCCTGATGACGAGGGTGTAATATCTGACTCGGCACTACAGGGAGAAATGGACCGTCATTCTTCAAGAAGTCCTCTCACGACTTGAGCATGTATGCCTATCCTACACTACGATAGCGGTGGTATCGCCACTAACACCAAAGAAGATCGTCTACAACGAATTCCCAACGCCTGCTCACATACCAGTCGAAATCCGACCAGCAGCTACCACAGACGCCAACGACGAATCATCGTCACCGCAGGATTCGTTCCAGAATTCCCAAGCCGCCGACAAAGAGAATGCCCCTCCCCCCCGACCTCGCGCATCGATGGCCGCTCCCGACCTCTCCAGCCAGGCTACCACCGACCTCACGATCCTCCCTTCCGAACTCCACAACCTCTACTTCTCCATCCGCCGAACCCTAACCACGGCATTCTGGAAATACCCCCCTCACACCATCCAACGACTCGCGGAGCTGCTCCTCAAGCCGCGTGCGCACTACCGATACCTCCCTTCTTACCTGCGAGCGCTCGAGCGCGTGGTCTGCGTGTCGAGCAACACCACGGTCTTCCCGCTGCCACAAGCCAGCCTCCCCAACTCCAGCGGCACACTCCTAAACGGCACGACGAATTCGACGAGTTCCGCCGCGGCCTTGGGGAGCGACGAAAGCCTTGGCGGCGCGCTCCTGACCCCGATTCCGTGGCTGAATGCCGACGAAAGCCCCAGCGGCTCGTCATCGCACTCGGGGTCGCAGAACACCGAACTGAAGTCCGAGAGCACGGAGATCGTGGACGGGCCGAACGGGGCCGGGAGGATCGAGACAGTCTCAGTGGTGAATGGGGTGTTGACGACCGGCAATGGAGGGCAGACGAATGGGGGAACAGGGACAGGCACGGAACACGAGCTGCGTGCGGCGGGTGGAGTGACGCAGGGAGAGCTGCTGAGACAAGAGCAGGAGGCGGGCGTGGTCCCGTCGAACGCCGCGTATGTGCGTGCGGGGGGCGCAATCGTTGCGGAAGCGGAGGAGAATAGGGAGAGAGACTCGGCGTCCCCGGAAGAGCAGCCGCATGCGCGCGGCCCGGAGGAGGTGGGGATGCAGGATACGGGGCCGCAGGATGGTAGGGAGGGGCTGGATATTGAGGCTGCGGTGGGTAGACGGACTAGACCCGCGCAAGAAGGGCAGGGGGAGCAGGGAGAGACACAGGCGAAGGAGGGAGGTGAGGCGAGTGGGGATACAGCTGCGGATGCGGACGCTGCGCTGGCGAGTGATGAGAGCATGAAAGATGTTAGTGACTACCGCTAATCTACATGTACAATGTCCTATTGTTAAAGTACATGTAGCACCTTAACCTCCATCTGAATTATGTGCATGCAGGTGTAAATGTTGTCGACCAACCATCGAACCTGACAGCTTCGCGTTTCAAATCGCAACCATAATTTTCCCAAAGCGGTGCAGCACCAACCACGAGTATTCGCCCGAAACATGATCTCTACAAATTATTGCCAACTATACCTAGGTATCCAATAATTCAATGATGTCAAAGCATACATTACTGCTGGATGAAGCCGGAACTAGGGGTGGCACGTGAACATCGGAGTTTACTGTCACATGCTTAAGGTTACATTACTTATTACGGCAGGAAACTTGGCCGCTTGTGACAACATCAATGCCATCTCATGCTGCTGCCACGGACTTCTCCCCCATTATTGCTCCACCCATCTCCTCCACCTCTCCATATTGTATGAATAGCTAATTTAGCGATGAGGACCAGCGTATTCACCATCATGTGTCTTTAATATTGTACTGTCCTTAGTTCGAGCCTCCTTGGAGCATCACCATTCATCATTCGAGTTACGTCAACACCGACTCCGAGGCTCTCGAGCATATCAATCTACACATCCGAGCGCCGTCATGGCGGCTCAATCCAGTTTACGCTCATCAGGCGACCCACTGATGGTCTTATTCAAGAAATATACAGATAGACTGAAAGCCCGGGTATACGGCACCTCCCGAACAACGCGCCTGCTCGCAACCGTCGCCCTCCTCGTCTCCATTGTATCCTCCGGATATGGAACATATAACATCTGGCGAAGCCGGCACGTCGAAGACGAGACGGGCAGGATGTTATTTCGGCGCAATTCCGGCGTGAAAGGAAAAGATGGCTCGCGAACCATATATGTTCCGTACAAGCATACCACGGCGAAGGTGACGATCCACGCGACCAAGGAGACGACCTTCGATGCCCATCGTCGACTATTCCTTCAGCCTCCGAAAGCGGCGAAGCTGAGCGACAGCTATACTCCGCAGGTCCCGCCGCCGCAGACAAAGCCGGGGCTGAACCTGGCGTTCTTGCACCAGTTCTTGAGTTTGTTGAATATCATGATACCCAGATGGAAGAGCAAGGAAGCTGGCCTGCTCCTCAGTCATGGTGTCTTCCTGATGCTACGGACATATCTGTCCCTTCTTATTGCTCGGCTGGATGGCGAGATTGTCCGTGACCTGGTCGCCAGGAATGGAAGGGGTTTCATGTGGGGAATCATTAAGTGGTGCGGGATTGGCAGTCTTGCCTCGTATACCAACGCCATGATTAAGTTCATGAAATCGAAAGTGTCAATTGCGTTCCGGACGCGGTTGACGAGATACATTCATGACTTGTATCTGCATGAGAACCTCAACTACTACAAGCTGCACAATTTGGACGGAGGCATCGGTCATGGTGCTGATCAATACATCACACAGGATCTAACTTTGTTCTGCGCTTCAGCCGCATCGCTTTACTCGTCACTCGGCAAGCCGCTGGTTGACTTGGTTGTCTTCAACTACCAGTTATACCTCGCACTCGGCCCGCTCGCCATGTCGGGCATCATCGCCAACTACTTCATAACCGCGACGGTTCTGCGGAAGCTCTCGCCGCCATTCGGGAAATTGAAGGCCGTAGAAGGACGCAAAGAGGGAGATTTCCGCTTCCTCCATTCCAGGTTGATTGCCAATGCTGAAGAAGTCGCGTTCTACGGAGGAGAAAAGATGGAAAAGGCGTTCCTTGACAAAGGGTTCAAAGAGTTGAAGAACTGGATGGAGGGAATCTATAACCTCAAGATCCAGTACAATATGCTTGAGGACTTTGTTCTCAAATACTCCTGGTCCGCTTTTGGGTTCGTAGTCACCTCTCTCCCTGTCTTTTTGCCATCATGGGGCGGACTCGGCGGGGCCTCCGAGATGGTCCAGTCGACGGAGCGGAAGGGTCGTGAACGCGGTCGGATGAAGGACTTCGTCACCAACAAGCGTCTCATGTTATCCCTTGCCGATGCCGGTGGTCGGATGATGTATTCCATTAAGGACCTCTCGGAGCTGGCAGGGTACACGTCGCGAGTCTACACCTTGATCAGTACCTTACATCGAGTACATGCCGAGGCCTATTTCCCTCCGTCGGGCACCCGACCAGAGCCCTTCTCGCTGTCAGACGCCCAAGGCACAACCCACAAAGGGTTCGATGGCGTCAGACTGGAGAATGTACCTGTTGTTGCACCCGGCCTATTTCCACTGGGCGGGGACGAGCTTATCGAGAGCTTGTCGTTCATCGTCCATTCAGGCGAACACCTACTCATCACCGGACCGAATGGCGTCGGAAAGAGCGCCGTATCCCGAATTGTTGCAGGCCTCTGGCCTGTGTATCGTGGACTGGTCAGCCGGCCGCGAACGGTTGGGACCGATGGCATCATGTTCATTCCTCAGCGAGCGTATCTCAGTACCGGCACGCTCCGCGACCAGGTGATCTATCCTCATACGGAGGTCGATATGAAAGATGCGGGCGTCCGGGATTCCGAGCTGAACCAAATTCTCGAAGATGCGAAACTCGGATATCTTCCGGACCGTGAAGGCGGATGGGACACTCGCAAGGATTGGAAGGACGTACTGAGTGGCGGGGAGAAGCAGAGAATGGGGATCGCGCGGTTATTCTACCATGAGCCTCGGTATGCTGTCATCGATGAAGGCACCAGCGCAGTGAGCAGCGATGTGGAGGGCTTGTTGTACGAGCGGGCTAAAGCCCGTGGAATCAGTAAGTGGCCACTCTCCATTGTCTCCCTGGTTGATAAACATGTCATCCGCTATACATTCTATCCTGTATTTGCCCAAGTGATTTTATATACAAACTAACATCCGATGCCACGCAGCTTTGATTACCATTTCCACACGCGCCTCGCTCAAGCGTTACCATACTTTTACCCTGACCCTAGGTATTGGAGACAACGGCGACGAATGGGACTTCCATCGCATCGGCACGTTAGCCGAGAAATCAACCGTGGAGAAGGAACTCCTGGAACTCAAGGAACGCATCAGCCGCGTTGAGGAAATGAAACGTCGGAGACAAGAAATCGAGCAGGAATTGAACAAGGTGTGGGTCGAAGGTGGGGATGAGTTGTCTCCCCCTCCATACGCTGAGAAAGTTGAGGAAAACAAAGACGAAGAAGCCGCGCCTTATGATCCGGGGAATTATGATGATGTCGAAGAGATGTCAGAGGCGCCAATCAACGCCGAATAGACGAATCCCAATAAGTTCGACGCTGTGCCAACCCTATCCCACACAGTGGAGTCCCTTGGGGTGACCAGTCTTGTCGCACGAAGCGAATTTCCACCATTCATAGTTCCATAAGGGGAAAATTCGGCGGAGGGTGAACTCCATGACGGCGGGGAACTTGCCGAAGTCCGCCATGAGTCCTCCCTCATACGTGACATCGTGGTTCAAGAACACGGCGGGGATCACGCTCAGCTTCGGCATGGACCCCATGGAATGCTCGGCCGTCTCCTCCATCAGTTGGTTCAAGTCGAGCTTGCCCGCGTACTTCTCCAGCGCCTGGATCGTCGGGATCTCGTCGGCCAGATGCTCCATCAGCGCGTCCTTGAACGAATCCATGATGCCGATGAGCTTCCGGCCGTCGAAGTCCCGGCAGCCGCGCGACCGCTTCACTTCGGCCAGATACGCGCGGTAGCGCTCCATGCCGCCGTGGAAGCGGTGGTGTTGTTCTTCGTTCTCCGTCATGAGCTGGTCGTCGCCGGTCCGCTTGCGGAGCTCGGGGAAGAAGTGTTCTTCTTCGCCGTTGTGGTGGGACGCCAGGCCGATGACCCACGCCTCGGCGTAGCCAACGAACGTTGGGTAATCGGTAGGCTGGACGTGGAGAGCTTGGAGGTAGATGGTGTTGAAGCAACGGATGAAGGCGTTGTGGATCGTGGCCATGACGGAGGCTTGGACGGTGTAGTCATCGGACTAATGATGGAGTTAGCATGTTCAACATGGTTGCGGCTCATTTCATGGTTGTGTACTTTTTTGGTCAAGTACTGCGGCGTGGGAAGGAGAGGTACAGGACGATCAGCCCAAGTAGCGGGAGCCATTGTTATGATAGGATTGTCTGAATAGACGGGAATAGAGTTCAATTACGAGCGGTATACAATAGGACTTTCTATAAAGCACTTATTCTTGGAGTTGATCTACCAAAACATGACGCTCCACCGACCTTACTTATACACATCCTGCTGAGGCGATGCTCTCCTCCATCCACCACCCCTATCGTGCACTCTCACCAAAATTCGGTCAGATCCATTCCCCTGAACGCCGCCCAAACGCCACGATTTTCAGCGCGCCTCCAATCGAACGGGTCAACCTTTAACCCTCGGTCCTGCGAAGATGAGTGTTCCAGCGTGTCATGCCGTCAATCTCACCGAACCCAGGGATGCCCAAAGTGTAGCATCGCGCTCCTCACCGAGCTCGTGTGTCGATTCGCATGTGCACCCTACCAACTACCAGGTGGCGGGCGGGGTGAGAGACGCTACGCCTACAATGAACGATATGGCGGCACCCAAGAATAGCTCCCGTCCCTAAGGTAAGCTTAATATTGTCGCGGAGCCGTCACAAACTCTGAATACCTGGGCACCTGGGCGTACATGGAATGAGGCGCAGTACCCTCCGCGGGTCCGCCAGTTTCGGCACCAGCTGGCGATGAGATGCAAGTTGCGCCAGCGGAAAAAGGCGGCGTGGGTGGTGGCGGGCGGCGGCGCAGTTGAAATCCTCGCTTTCTCCCATCTTGGTACATATCATGATGTCTCAGTTCTGACGTTTCTCGTAGGCATTGAACTTGATGGAGGCGTTGAGGTAGCACTGGAGACGGGACGTTTACACTCATGCCGTCAATGTAATCTGGGTACTACGTATCGCTTGTGCTTCGCCGTTCTTGTACTGTGACCTATCCTGAAGACCGGAGCAGCGCATGAGTGAGCCAAACCCATACAAATGAGACATGTCATCTCCATGATCAAGAGCATCTATCGCCGAGGACCACTGATGCACTCTCTGCGCGTCTTTCAGGACCCACTAGCAGTAGATATGATGACTACAGGGCTGAGATGACTTATTCATCACATAAGCACCAAAGTCAGCACTCCCTGACCAGGTACTACCAGCAGTGCGGTATGATATTAGGAGTATACGCGAGTATAGACTTGAACAACAGTCTTACAGGAACCAACAACACTAACTATGAAAACAATATCTCAACACCTCCACAGACACCGATTATGTTTATTGCAAATGGACACTCCAGCCGCCTTCCCATCCTCAAACAAGGGTGCAGAAGCTAAGCTCGATGCAGTCACGTACTCAACGGTGGCTACAGCTGAGGTTCACCCATCGACGGGCCGCGCATTATGCTGGATGCACCGCCCAGAAGCGACGCATCGCACACGGACCGGGTGACGATTCTGAGTATCGTTTTTGTATGAACTATCATTTGTTCAGGTTGGGAGGAGTTTAATTTCGGTAGCTTTAGATAGTACTGCCATGGGATGGTCCTTGATCGCTGGGGGAGATCGTCTTGGAACACCAAGCGGTGGACGAGGGTTGGATTTTAGGAACCGCCGTGGGACTGTCTGCCTCAATTGAATAGATGTATGTATCCGCCGCCACCAGACAGGAGTCCGAGCATCGTATCTCACGATATCACCAAGCATAACGAACCCCAGCATCTGAATACGCGCAATCCATAGCATTGGAACCCGGCATCGAGTAGCCTAAGGAACGAGCTAAATATATGACCCATGAGAAACGTAGCTTTAGATCTAACTCCGTCAGAGATGGTGGAAAAATAGCACACACGATCGGAAACGGGGGAAAGGGGGACGGGAGGATTCCAGTGAAGGGGGGATACAAAAATACTCGAGAAACAAGAAAGGCTCGGTTCCCGAGTCTGGAAATGGATATGGGAAGCACACGATTCGATGCACCGACCCCGTCGCCAATAGGGAAAGGAGAAATAAGAGGTCGCTCTGGGTTCCGATCCATCCAGGCCGTAAACAGACGAATAGTGCGAACAGGTAGGTAATGAGGAACGTATCCGAGGGAAACAATCGGAGTCCCATGCGCCCCCTTTTTTCTTGAAGCAAGGAGATGAAAGACGGGAGTCAAATCAACCCCGTCGGCAAGAAGAACCAACGCAGTGCCTCCACCCCGTAGTAGATTTCGTGTCGTAAGCACCCGTTCCTCAACCGTGGGCGCCTGCCCGTTCGTTCGAACCCATCCATATCGGTATTCATCGCTCCGATTTTCGAAAAACATGAAGGGACACGTCCGCCTCGACGGCGCCGTGGCCCGCAGAAATGATTAAATGGTGGGGAAAAGTGGTCGAGGGGGCGATGGCTGGGGTAGAGGGGGGATCGTACTTGGCAAATCGCTTGGGAGGGACGCCGCTGGGAAAAAGGAGAAGGGGAAAACGACAAAGAACCCTAGCGTGGCTGTTGCAGCGAAACGCTGGGGGACAATGAGGACTTTGTGCTTCAAAGAATTTACGCGCACGGTGGATAAGAAGCGATATATTCCGCCGGCGTTTGCAATTCGGACGAGAAACGTGAAAACTAGCATTTCGATATACCCAGCATCAGCGGTATGATTGTGACGGAGATAGATAGTCGTCCAGATAAAAAGAAACGTGGGCAAAAAAATACAAAATTCGCGCCCGAAAAACGCCTGCCCCCCCCAAAAATATGTCGAAACCGGGGAATAGGATAATATGGTAAGTACGGAAATGTCGTGCGGATATGAAAAAGTGGTTAAGGACCAATGCGAGAAAGACCTTCACTGTACGCCACCGTTAAAACCGCCCGCCGCCGTAAACTCGAGAGGATGACCGTGGTAGATCGTCGTTCGTTTGAAAAGCAAAAGTGAGATGCAACGCGGAACCCGTCGAAACCCAATGTTTTCCCAATGATTTTCCGTTCGCCGTCCATTACATCTCGCCCATGCCGGCCTCGACGCCGTCGGGGAACCCCAGCGTGTCGAACGGCATCCCCGTGTCCCCGTCCGTCTGCAAGAAGGAGTCGAAGTCGAAGTGCTCGAGTACGTCGTCGTGGTTGAGGTCGGGGATGAGTTCGAGGCTGAACTCGGAAGCCTGATGCCATCTGTCAGTAACGGTAACGCGGTCAACGGAAACAAAAGGATGGAGACGCACCCCACCGGTGAGATCGAACGTCCCATTGTCCATCTGCGGCTGCACCGGCTGCTGAACCGCGGCGGAGTTCGGCGCCGGCGCGGCCTGCGCGTTGGCGGGCGGCTGGGGCCCGCCGTTTTTGAACGTGTTCGAGTGCATGGGCGTGATGGGGGTGGAGGGCGTCGGGGTCGGCGCCTCGGGTTCAGTTGCCGGCGTGGCGGCTGCGGCGGCCGCTTTCTTGGCCCCTTTCTGTTGATTGTCAGTACATTTTCCGGCGAAATTCGTGGCGAGGTACGGACCTTTGTGCCCTCCCGCTTCTCCTTCTTCTTCGGGTTGGCCTTGGTGGTCTGCGATGGCGTGGGCGGCGCCGCGGTCGAGTTCTGGGATGGCGAAGATGGCTGGGTGCGCTGTGGCGGTTCGCCGGAGGCCGGAGCGGGTGGGGGTCCCATGTTGTTGCCCCTTTGCTGCGGGGTACCTATCGGAACCGGCGGCCCATTCGTGGTCTGCGGCATCTGCTGCCCTTGCGGTTGTCCTTGGCCTTGCGGTTGTCCTTGTGGCTGCGGACCACCTTGGCGCATCGGGTTCCCTTGCCAGCCGTTGGGGATGTTCGGGATTCGACCGCCGTTTTGGCGGATCGTTTCCATCTGCTGGGGGTTGTTGAACTGCGGCGGCATGGAGCTCGGTGGGCGCATCATCGGGCCGCCCATTTGTTGGTAGAATTGCGGTTGCATCCCTTGAGGCATCTGGCTCGGATCGAAGTTCGACGCTGGAGACCCTCGGTTCGGAGCCATACCGTCTGGCATGGGGGATCCGGGGAGGCCCTGTTGATGGAGCTTGGGGGTGCCTCGCTTCATCTGATCGTTCGGATTCGGTGACGGACCTCCGGCTCGGCTCCCTGATGGTGACATGGATGGTGCCCCGACGAAGCCTTGAGCTCCGGCCTCTTGCTCTTGCCGCGCCATCAACAATCGTCGCTTATTCTGCTGTTCCAAGAGCATGAGTTGCATTTGGTAGTCGTGCAGCGCGTGATTACCCTGGGCTCCGGCTTGCATCTGGCTCGCATCGCCCATAGCAGATCCATCACCCATCTGGGGCATCATACCTGGGGGCATACCCTGGATAACGTCAGTAGTGAACACGCAACCAAGTCTTGGGCACAACGAACCTCGAGCTTCGGTTGCATTCCATTGGCATTCGCAAATTGTTGCATCTGTTGCTGAGTGAGATCGGCTGGCAGACCGCTCTGCAAGAGCATCTGTCCGTTCGGACCCGTCATGTTGACCTGGCCCGGCATCCCTTGCGGACGACCCCCGGGGCCCATCTGCTGCGGGTTGAAGTTATTCCCATCGATGCGAGGACGTTTCGGAGACGGGGCGTTGTCCCCCGAGCTCGGAGACTGTGGGCGCTGTTGGCCCATGTCCATACCCGAGCCGTCTCGGCGCATGTTCTGCGGCATCATCGGTTGTCCCTGCATGTTCTTCATCTGCTGGAGCTGCTGGGGATTACTGGGAACGAGTCAATCAACGTCGTACCATTGGGAGAGTGGGAAACTTACGCTCCGCGAGCAATCGCTTGCCTCTGCATGTCGGCCACCGTCATCCCCTGTCGGCCAGGCAGGTTCATCATCATTTGGCGATTCATCATCATGCCGTTGGGGCCGCCCTCGCCTTGTCGCAGGAGTTTATTCGTAGCGTCGTTCCGCATCTGCGATTGATTCTATCGTGATTCACGTCAGTCGCTGCATTCTCCACCTCCGAAACCGGATTGACATACCATAGTGTGCTTGAGGTACTGCGACATGACTTGCGACATTCCGGTCTGTCCACCGCGGTTGGCGGCGAAGATGTCCCAGAATTGGCACCACCAGTCTAACAGAAAGCAACAATCCTGGCTATATGAGGGGACATTGGGAAGAGGAAGGTCGTCGGGACGTTTCACTCCGTCTTTGGGATCGGTGTCCATGTCGTCCACGCCGTTCACGTTCTTGCCACCGGCGCTCGCATTGCTGACCACGATGGGCATCTGCTCTTTGAATGCGCGCGCCAGATCGTATTTCTCGTGTTTTAAGAGGTAGTCGTAGATGTAGGTGTTGAGCTTGCTCGTGTAGTCGTTACCACGCGGGGCAGCCGATTTATTGTTCATCATCGGTGTGCCGCCGACGGGGCCGCCCGCGGACGGTCCCATTCCGGGCATATTGACCTGAGGGTTCATGATCGATTTCGAGGAGCGACGGCCGTGTTGGGACGAGAGAAACGAGATTCCACTCGATGCAGGGTCGGCGAACGGACGCCAAGACCCAGATGTTGGGGGGAAGCCCTAATAAGCGATCGATGCAACGACGTCGCGACAGCGGCGGACGACGTCTCGATATTATGGCCGGCCAGCCTGTCGAGCGGGAAAATCGTGCAGAGGATATCGACAGGCGATATGGGACGCTGCGCGGGCGGTGGTTGCGAGAGGCGTCGGCGATGCACGGGATTGCGCCAGCGGTCGGAGGCGATCGATCACACCGCGGTGCAGTGCGGCGAACGGGGAATTCGGTGGTGGTGAGAGACGGATCCTTTGTCGCGACGCACTATGCCGTATGGTGGTGCAGCGCAAATGGTGGGATTGTCCTCGACGATAGACGATGGGTAGGGACGAGGAGTTGGGTGGAGTGAGTAGAAGGATGAATAATGGGGCGGGAGTTGGAGTCGTTATGTCCAGGATGGAGCTAAAGTGATAGATGGTAGGAGTAGTCGCAGATAGTAGATGGTAAGAGGTAAGAAGTGAGTATGGAAATCCAGGTGACAGTGACAGAAGGATGTAGATCTGATCTAATGCCTGATGGAGTGGTTGGCGTGTCTCCAGAGAGAGGAGGAGAGTGGGTGGATGGAGTGGATGGCGGAAAGATGGCGGAAGGCGAATGCGGATTGGATGCAATAATGGCTGGAGGAGGAGAGTGGAAGAGTCAAGTGTGTGTGCGACTCAGCGCGATGAGTGTGCACCGTTGAGTGACGCCCTTTTGCTGTGATTGGTGGGTAGGTGCTGAGACGCGGTGGGGGGTTCCTGATTCCGGGGCCTCGGGGGGTTTGCGGGGGCTCTGTGGGCTCTTAGGGCGCCCATAAAACGATCGGTCGGGGCGTGGAGATTTCCCCTCTCTCCCTTCGGTCTCTTGGCTATTAACAAACGTCGGACGGATGCGAACCTCTATCACAAAATCGGCCAAACAAAGCCAGGATTTCCTGATGGATGGATGGGAAGAAAACCAATATACACCGAGACCAACACGAGAGCAGGAGGGAATCGGAGGGAGAAATGAAAGGATCAAGTGATGTCTCCTGAGTCAAAGGATGGGAGAGGGAATTGGCGGAGGTCCATTGATTTGGATTGTTCTGGTGATGATGAAATTCATTGGGAGCCGCGGAGGTTTCCCGCCACCGGAATCGGGATCACGTGATATACCCATCTCCTTTCAGGACCAAGTATCGCATTGATTATTGAACGATTGGATATTTAAACCACTCGATCAGGATTAATATCGAAAATAAAATTATGGGATAATAGTACTGCTATTCACTGCTTGACAGATGATTCATGTAGCGAGTTGGATTGGAGGTTTGAATCGCATTGATGCATCGCTCAGGGCGAGACAGGTCCAGACGCTGATTTGGGTTCAATGATTTCTCCACGCTTTCCAACCCGCCCTACACATCTCATTGTCATCCATATTTCCACTGACCACTAAGTCCGCTCGTTCTCCGTGAGACTTGGAAGGTATGATTCAATGAGAACGGGCAATTCTTTCGCCCCATTGACACGCTTGACTGAGGTGGCGAGCACGGACAAAATCCGGATGTCCTCCTTAGTAAGATAGAGAGCCCGTCGACTGTGAGACAACGCCCGATACAGCGATGGGCTGTCCATGGCTGCAACATAGCTTCCCATGGCGAGAGACTGGTCGGCTACTGTAGAAGGGCAACTGAATCCTGATACACCCCATCACTCATCGTCTGGAGGCATCTCATCATCAATGATCCGAATCAACGAAATCCGCATCTCCGTCGTATCGTTCCCCCGTAACACATCGCTCACGAAATGCGCCTCCACCTGCAATTGCACCTGTGCACCACATCAGCAAATGACCGACTTTCCAGAACGAGTAAGAAAACGAAATCGTGGGACCATACCATTTCCAGTGCCCCTCGGATCACGCCGCACAGGATGTTGGAGAACCACAGCTCATCCTGCGCCCGTCCATCGTCCGGCAGCTCCACGAAGTCCGCCAGAGGGTTCTCGTCGAATATCAGCGAGAACTGCTTGTTGTCGCCCGACCAATTCGTGATGGGGGGTGTGATGTTCAGGAACATCTTGAATCCGACCTACATCGTCACCGCCATCATCGTTAGTCCATACATCCCTCTATCCCTCTCTCTCCGCCCTCTCCGTAGAGTAGCATCCCCTCCCCTTTCTCCAGACCTAAAAACCCACCTTCGCAATCATCTCCGCCGTCTCCCGAAAGTTCGCGCACGCCGCCGTCCCCGACTTCGCGAGGAAGTCTTCGATCAACCGCACCCCGATGTTGTACCCCATTTTGTCCAGCTGCCGGTTCACCTCCGCGTAGTCCGCATCGAAGTCCGCGCACAGTTGCGCCACGATCGTGCCGTACGTCAGCGTCACGAGCTCGGCGTTGACTTTGTCGACTCGCGTTCTGGAGATGGTGAGATGGTGTTTAGGAGGGCGACGCGGGGGTAGGGAGGTGGGTGGTACTTACTTCCATACACTGTGACAGTTAGCAATGGATTCCAAAATACAGTTGAGAGTTGCGGGATCTGGAGTACGTACTCTTCGCCGATGCGGGCGGCTTTCGTGGACGCCATGGTTTCTCCGGTGTCCGTGGAACGAGCTCTATCGTCGCGAGCTGGCAGTCCGTCTCTCTCGCGCACTCATGTTTGCACGGAAACGCGGTGTGGGAATCAGTTGACGTCTGGGGTTGGGGAGAGCAGTGGTAGGAAGAAGTGGGAGTGAGGTTGAAGGAAGCGTTCTAGGGATAGACGCCGGTTCACGTTAGCAACTACATATTGGAGACGGCGCGGGACCCCACGTTGCGGCAGCCTGGCCCCTGGGCGATGGGGCATCTCAGCTACAAACGCTTACTTCGTATCATCGGCTAATTATCCTGACCTGGTTTTGCAGGAAATATGTAGTATTTCAGCATCATTGCTAGACGGCGGTCCGTACAATATTCTTTAGGTAGGTATCTAATCTACAGTTGCGAAATCACCGGGTTGGTTGATGGACGCTCCAATTCTCGCTCTCTTTCTCTACAGGCGGGCACAGTATTAGGTATTCCTAAAATCCGCTTCTCCATGAATCATCCCACAGACGTCCACCGCCTCACCCGCGCACTGTATCCTCCTTCCTCACGCCCTCTCTCCGCGAAGCCGTCTGGGAAGGGCCGCCCTGGACTCCGTCCGCCGCGCCGAATCCCGCATCAAAAGCCCGACTTGCGCTTAGTGGCTTATTTCTATTTCGAAACACTTCGACAGCCGCGGCGATAAAGAACGCCATGGCAGCCTTTGATTTCGCGTCGTTGATGGCGTCCCCGCTCCCGTCATTCTTCCAACTCCAACTGAGCCGTCGCTCGTAATCGCGACCGTCCTTCCGGTCTCTGTTGGACTTGGGTCGATCCCTGCGGCGGCTGTCGTTGCTGGATAAGCGGTGCGCGCTTTTAGAGTCTCGTTGGCGCTGTTCGTGGCCGGTGACCTTCCTCAGCATAGCATCCGATAGTACCGCTCCATGATTTCGTAATAACGCCACGATCTCGAAATGCTCACGTCCCGCGGCTAAATTGACGGGATGCCTGGTGTCTGAGTGCGTTTGGTTGACATCGGCTCCGTACTCCAACAGTTGTTCGACCACCTCGATGTGGCCGCTCTCCGCAGCCACCCCCAACGGACTGACAGTGCGAGTCTTCGGGCGCCGGCGAATACGGTCGAAGTCCCTCATCGCGAACGCGTCTTTCCCCTTGATCCTTTTATTGGGTAGATTTGGATCCGCGCCATACTTCAGAAGCTCTTTTACCATGGCTGCGTCTTCTTGCTGTGACGCGATGAAAAGAACCGTGTCTCCAAGGCCGCTATGCCTGCTATTGGGGTCCGCACCGTACTCCAACAGGAGCCGGACAATATCGCAATGTCTTTCGTCAACGGCGGCAGGTAGTGCGCTTTGGCCATCTCGCATGATGACTCCCGTATACGCTCCCTCCTGGAGAAGCAGCTCGACCGCGTCAAAATGCCCACGCCGCGCCGCTATGGAGAGTGGCGTTTCGTGGTATGGCCCCAGGATGTTAATGTTAACCTCGTAGTCCAGAAGGAGGCGGACTAAATCTCGTTGCCCGGTTTCGGCCGCCAGATACAGTGGGGGGCATCGGCTGTTGACCAGAGATTCAGGTCCGGTGAAAACTGGGAAAGCGTCCAACCGATTGAAAATGTCGTCGCGCCCATTGACGTTCACTCCATACTCCAACAGAAGGCGAGCCATGGATGGATCTCGGTTATAGATAGCACGAACCAGAAGCGTCCCTGTATATGAATGCACTTCAACATTAGCACCGCTCTCAAGGAGGTATTTGACAACCTGAAAGTGGCCGTTCTTAACAGCCCTCGGCAAAGCAGTCGCCTTGACGTTCCTATCGTTGTTCAACGACGATGTTCCCCTCGGGTGGATACGCTTGTCTTTCCTGAGGAGCGCCTTGACCAACTCTAGATCTCCTTTGGCGGCAGCCGAAGGCAACGCATCGGCGGCTTTCGAGCCGATATAATAGCCGGTTGGCGACGCCCAGGAGGGCGAGCGGAACGTCCACGTCACCCGATTATGACTTCGTTTCCCAACCCGCCATGGCTTTTTGATTGTTCGGCCAGACACTGGTTCCGAAATAGGCGGAGAAGATCGATCTGCATCGATCCGATTGGGCTCCTGGCGAACAGTGCCGTCATCCGGATGGACTCGTCCGTCCTGGGTAGATTTCTTCGTTCGGTCATCTATCACCGCGATACGGTCCTTATCCTTATGCGTCAAGTTCGAATATGAGACAAGGACGTCCTGGCCGTCGACATCTTCGAGTACTACATAATCCCCATTTCGGCCACAATAGCGGCCTTTCATGTTGAAACCATTCAGCCCACGCCAGATTCGCATTTTCGTGCTATGGTCATCTGGTGAGGATCGTCTCGTGAGGGATGAAGGGACTCGGTCGGCACGCAAACCAGGCCGTTGTATCGAGTATATGGTGGAGCGACGATCGGCGATAGTGGAGGTGACACTGCGATCATCAGGAATGTCCAAGTCAGAGACAATATCGCTCCCGCGGAACGCGTATGAAGAAGCTTGTCTTTCAAACACGCCTTGAGGGGTTATATCCCGTCCTTCAGACGCGACATGTAGTGCAGGAGGATCTATTTTGCTCTCGCCCCGATCAAATATGGTCGTAGGACTCTTATGCAAGTCCCTCCTGGAAGACTTCCGGGATAGCCGAGGCGTGATAGTACCTTCGGAATCCGCATCATTTGCTGCCACACTTTCCACACAAGGCGACCTGTAGGTTGTATCGATAGATGGACGCTGCAAGTTCTCGATCGATCCCTTTGGTGTCACGGTAGCCTCAGACTCGCCGTCTTGGTGGATGTCCTCCGCCATTTCAAGTTCCGGAAGCGATTGGATCTTGGCCGAGTGCATGCTATTGTTCATGAAATCCCACCCATTGTCGCCATCAGCCGCAGCGCTTTGCGGAACTTCTGTCTCATCCCACGACAGCTCCGAATTCTCTGCGATGCTTGAAGTGCAGTCGGTCTCGACTTCGGAGTCGAACATATTGAAATGAATGAGTTCTTGAATCCTTTCGACGATCGCGGACTCGTTCTCGGTGATGGACCGACTTTTGATACCCTCAGATATAAGACGGGATCGCAGATCCTTCCATACGCCTTTTTCATCGTTTGAGTGATCCGATAAGATAGAGCTGAGGTTTCCGCCAACCCGTGCTTCCGCCGCGTATCGGTCAATGGCATCAAGAATGTGGCGTTGCATAGCCAAAGACTTGTCCTGTTTCTCTAGGGTCTCTTGTTGGATGTCGATCGTGGCGTGTTGAAGATTCATAGACTCTTTCTGCAGATTGATTGTCCGCCTCTGCATATTTGTGGATTTCTGTTGCAGTACCAAGGTGTCCTCTTGCATGTTTGCAGTATCTTTCTGTAATCCCAGACTCTTTTGCACATTGTCGTCAAGTCTCCCCTGAATACCAAGACCAATGGTGTTCACGAAGGCTGTCAGCGTCGATGTATGATAGACCAGCTTCCCTCTGATATCCATGAGCTCCTTTTTTGGAAACTTAAACCGGTCGATGGCTTTTGGTTTGTCTGTTCCCAAGCTCCTGTATTTCGTCACGATGTCCTTGAGGCGCAATAACTCCGTCTCACAACGCTTCGCACACATGGCGAAATCGGTAGCCGTGCGCTCATTTCGATGAAGGATGGAGCTCGGGTTTCGTATTTCTGCGTGGATGCCCTCCAGGACAATGCGCAGGCTGTCAGCACCGCGGCCGGCGTCTTGGAACTGGGACGGAGCATGTCGACAGTCGTGATAGGTGTCCCTTGCGAGCTCGAAAACTCGGATAAAGTCTCCAACTGAGAAACCGAAGGACATATCTTACATAGCAAATATGATATGCTGGTGGGTGAGTCGATGCGGAAGAATGCGAAGCCAGCAAACGATTAGGTGTTCGCAAGGCTGTGGACTGTTAAGTACATAGGGAGACACTACGATGTGATTTTTGACAGCTACGTTTCGTACTCCAATGCAAAACAATTTGTACACTGGAAGGATAAAAAGCACGAGAGATTCAAAAGGGAGGAAAGACTAAACTTAATGATGCTGGTGAGCGGCGCCCAGCTGGTCTATCTACGCGTCTGAGGCTACACATAGGGCGGCGACCTCAAGGCTTTCGGATCAGTCCGGTATTCTAGCAGATTCCCTTCCGGTTCGCCCATTGAGCAGAGACTCTCTTTTCCAATGTGGAAAGGAGCGAGGCTTGGAGCAGAGGGCTGTGTTGGAATTTCAGCATGATACTTTGTCAATGGGGGTGGACAGATGTGGGTGGACAGATGTGGCTGCAGCGGGCGTGCAGTCACGTCCAACACTGGATGTAGCCAAGCCTCTCCGGTCAACATCAGAAATGAGAAATCTGATTTGCAATGACCAGCTGAAAAGGATATGACATGCGACCAGGGGATCGGGCTTCGAAATGCAAATACAGGATGGAATAAATCCAGGCGATCCTGAAGTCAATTCCTGAACCCATGTTGGTGCCTTATCGTGATCAACATGAAGTTGAAGCAGCACGGCCTGGGCAGTTTGATCAGGCTGTAAGGCGTCAAACCAACATCACGAAATTTCCAGCCGATCTCCAAGTCATGTAGGGGCACATGGCATCAGGTTCATGTCCCGTTCATGTTTTGATCAGGCTTGACAATTGTCGTTCCTAATCTCCTCCTTCTTTTTAAGAGCAATTACATATCAACATAATTAATTCTAAGGACCCCCCGTGGCACCCTCCAGTCCCTCCGTTAGCCATCATGTCCTCCGAAAAGCGCTCAGCGCCCGACAACTTCTCCTCCCACCAGCTGGTTAAACGACAAAGATCTGATGCCAATCTCAATTCGAGTAACGCCATAGCCGTCGTGAATGGTACTGCACAGAATGGCGCGCTCATCCAATCGGTTAGCTCAATCGCACCTAGAGATGCGTCTTCCTGTAGGGAGCTTGAACGGAGCTCCAATGTGAAGGCGTACCTTTTTCCCGACATGATGCTGATTATGGCTTGATCATATAGGTACCGCGGACGAGTGGCTTACAGGCTCCGGTCATGGAGCTGTCAGGGCACAGTGGTGAGGTCTATGCATGTCGGTTCGACCCGACCGGAAACTACATCGCATCGGGTTCAATGGATCGAAACATACGTACGTGGAATGCCAACTTAACGGGCGCGTATGCTGATGGAGTTTAGTGCTATGGCGGACATATGGCGACTGTGAGAACTATGGGCAGTTAACAGGCCATAAGGGAGCTATCCTCGACCTACATTGGTCCAGAGATACCCGGACACTCTTTTCCGCTTCGGCCGACATGTCCCTCGCAAGCTGGGATGTTGAGACTGGACAGAGGATACGTCGGCATGTTGGTCATGAGGACGTCATAAACTGTATGGATCTCAGCAAACGGGGCGAAGAGATAGCAGTGACAGGATCGGACGACGGCTCCGTCGCAGTACGAGTTCACGATCAGCTACAACCCACATGCATCTACTAACCATCGCACAGATCTGGGATCCTCGACAAAAAGAAGCCGTCGCCTACCTCGAAACCGACTACCCCATCACCGCAGTCGCAATGTCCGAAGCAGGCAACGAAATATACTCCGGCAGCATCGACAACGACATCCGCGTCTGGGACCTCCGAAAACAATCCGTCGCATATTCCCTCCTCGGGCACACCGACACCATCACCTCCCTCCAAGTCTCCCCCGACTCCCAACATCTCCTCTCCAACTCCCACGACTCGACCGTGCGCACCTGGGACATCCGGCCGTTCGCGCCGGCGAATCGACAGGTGAAGATGTACGATGGCGCGCCGACGGGGATGGATAAGAATTTGTTTAGGGCGAGCTGGGATAAGGAAGGGAAGCGGATCGTGGCTGGAGGGGGGGATCGGACTGTTGTGGTGTGGGATGTTGGGACGGGGAAGTTGTTATACAAGCTGCCGGGCCATAAGGGGGCGGTGAATGACGTGAGGTTCTCGCCTAGCGAGTCGACCATTGGTAAGTCATCCGTGACCACTCCGTCAGAATTTCAAGGAGAGCTAACGTGTATGGGTGGCATAGTCCTGTCTGGGTCTTCGGATCAGAAGTTAATGCTGGGGGAGCTTGGAAAATAATTTGATTGTAAAAAAAGATACCCTCTATTATGTGAGTGGTCTTGACCAGCATGTATATATCTTATTGTGATAATGACTCGGTCGCGGAAAGCGACAATCAGTGTCTCATGGCAACTATCTGGCTCGCCATTGAGGTGATTGTTCGTTTGAAATTGATATCTAAAGAAGCGAAACAACTCCAGGTCGTATATAGCCATTCCTACGGTGGTCCGGTCGGGACCGCTCCTCTACCTAGCAACGGCACCGTCACTACATCTGCAAATGAGATCGACTGGATATCGAATGGCAGCCGAGTCAATGCTAGATCTATCGCGGATTGTGCGCCCGCTCCAGATGGTATTGCGCCGGAGGATACCCCGGTCCCTGGAGGCACTATCTCCCCAGTCAGGGCATCAGGTGCGCCCTTTGGATTAACAGTCGATGCGGCTTCCGGGGGACTAGAAACCACTGGTGTTGGTGCTGCTTCCGAAGGAGCCGGTGACGGCGGTATGGATGAAACGCCATCCACGCGAGGGCCTGTTCCCGCCGCCTCGCCTACCGTCGGCTGTGGTATCGAAGCGGTTGACGGAGTCTGCGGCGCCAGCGGACCCTCCGTGGGTGCCGACGCAGACGAAGCGACAGCGAACGAAACAGGCGGCGGAGCTGCTAGTGTGGACGCACTCAGAGAGCCTGTCGACCCGAATGTTGACGGGACTAGGCCGCCTGCGGCCGCCACGGGTGGGGGAGGTGGAGGTGGAGACGCCTGGAACGAGTCGACGGAGCACGTGCATTGGCAAGCGCAGACTTCGCCGCCGGGTTGTGCTGGAGGTGGAGCGGGAGCTGCAGAACTTGGGGCGCTGGGCACGGCGGCATCTGGCGCGAGTGAAAAGGCGGGAGGAAGTGCTTCAGGCATTGTAGGAGGTGCTGGTTGCGCTTGCGCCTGCTGTGTTCCTTGGACTGGATGAGTCGTAGCCCCTGCTCCCGTAGAAGCGAAGGTGAATACAGCAGAGGGTGCTCCGACGATTGCGGTCGAGGGTCCTCCGGGAAGTGGCACGACTGCTAAGGGCACCCCGTGACTTTGTGGCTCAAGTGCTGCTCCGGCATGGGAGGACGTTTGGAGAATGGCCGCTGGACTGGTGTGCGTAGGTATCGCGCTCGTTTCTGCGACGGCTCCTGGACTTCCCGGGGCAAATACGAAAGAAGAGGGGTCAAGCCCGGCAGATGGCGATACATGTTGGTCTTGACCTGGAAGAGCTGATGGGCCAGCCGAGAGGGTCGTGGTATGATTGATACTATCGGCGCTCGATGCAATGATGTTAGGCGCTATCTGAACGTCGTTAGCAAGTATCTTCGGTGATATTCATGGGATTAGTTACTGGTGCAGCTGGAGTGTGTTCGCCAGTCAAGTTGCCGGTCCCCTCAGCAGCGGGCACAGTCTGGGATTCGGCAGGGACAGCTTCGGTCACAGTGACCTTTTCAGTGACCTGTTGAGTAATCTAGGAGACATTAGTTAGATTCCAAGCCGTGATTGGGCCTAGAACTTACGGTTTGTTCAGCAAGCTGTGTAGTGGTCGAAGTGGCTGCGCTGGCACCCCCTCCTCCGACGAGCGTTGCGTTATGTGCCTAGATTCCAAGTTAGATTACTTGAGCATCGAAATAGATATAGGACTGCTCACATTGCCGCTCTGGTTCCCTACTCGTGAACCCCTTCCACGCCCTTTCCCTCCCTTCGAACCCTTTCCTTTGCCGTTGTTCCGATTTCTTTCAACCCCTTTCCCCGCGTTTCTAGCGATGTATTAGTGGTGCAGTTCGGCTGTAGCGTCCGTCAACTCATACTTTGTCGTGTTGGCACGTTGAGCCTCTGCTTGTCTAGAGGCGCTTCAGTAAACATTCCTGAAGAGACTATCGCCGGACGTACCCGTTTCCTTTTGAACCTTTACCATTCCGCCGCGGTTCCGATACTTCGCCATGTCTCTGGTGACGTGCTAATAGGTCAGGAGTCGCAGAAGCCTACGATACTGTTAGCGAATAACTGAATTCGAGGAGCTGGAAGATTGATACTACCGAAGGAATGTACAGCAGGCAAAGCACTGCGACGGAAACGATGAACAAGATATGAAGCGATCTCATTATTAAGATATATAGACAATCTCTGACGACGAAGTGAACAATAGAGTCCTGCTCTGTTGGCAAGTCTCCGCGAGCAATTATAGCCTAGGTCGATCCATATGGCCCGACCAGACAATCAGTGGTTAGGAAGAAATGGTTTGTCAACAATATGATGACACCTCGACCCCTCACTGTTAATAATAAGTACACAGACAGAACGGTTTGGTAGAAAGGGACTTTAGTCGATCAGGAATATCAGTCCGCAGAAATGAATGTACAAGCAACGATAAAGTGCCAAAATTCCATCCAGAAGTTCGAGGCCACGCCTGGGTGGACGCTACTATAGGTAAATATCGAAGCGTTTCGCGCCAGGTCTGAGAGAATCATGTCCTCAGGTGATCATTGTCACAGACAGACAGTCTCATGCACATATGAAGGCGCGAAAAGGTTGAATTGAAGGACATCCCCTATCCGTTACCATGACTGAGGCTCGAAACATTGGTACGATACAAGGCCCACAATGCGGTTCGATCACAACAAAGGCGGATTTTAACAAATCTCCCTTGACGGTAGTAATAGGGAGGTCTCATGTTGGGCGGATAGTGATGCGCCATGTACGGGTGTGAGACGTGCAATGTTGGGTGTTGTATCGTTGCCAGACAGAGGGGGTTTCAGGCCATAAAGCAGTACCATGTACGGGAAAAGAGAACGATGGCGTTCGAACCAAGTGTTTGGGTTTTCACACGCGTCCGTCTCATAGCCTTTGGCGAAAAATCAGAGAGAAGCGCATCGAGTCTTGATGTCTGGAGCAGATGAAGTTCGACTTCCGCTGAGGCGCTGAGATGTTACTTGTTACAGTACATGATTAGGTGGCGGAATCAGCGGGATTTCCCCTAAGAGGTCGGAATATCTTGGCATTCCACCCCACCAACATCTTGAGACCGATCCTATTTGCGTCCAGGCCCAATTATGCAAGAGTACATCAGATGCGATTGCGAGTGGGAATTGATAAACCAATTAAGGCTATAATCTAGACTAGAAGTTGTTTGAATGCTCCCAGATAGACTGAGTGGTCTGTCTATTGCATTCTGAATTGAGCGCTATGCGTGACCTAAACGCCGATAAATGCTGCACCAGAACGCCGGATGATGTAAATGGCTACATAGTCAATAACGCCTCGGTTCGCTTGATCTCGTTCACGACCGACGGCATCTCAGGAGGCATCGTCTCGGGCAACTTGATCCTCTTGGCCTGATTGCTTTCGTCGTCCTCCCCTTGCTCCGCCTTCCTCGCCGCCTTCGCCGCTGCCTTTCGATCCGCCCTCGACACTCTCGGCGCCGTCAGCCCCATATCCTGATCCAACCGGTCCGCCGCCTCGATCAGATGCTCGAACCCCAATACCTCCGCCACGTCCCGATACCGCTTCGTCCCTGCGATCCCCAAGTCCATAACCTTCTTCCCCGGCACGATCTGCGCCAACGTGAACTTCGTATTCCCCCACCGGTTCCGCACCCGAATCGCCTCCCCCATATAAAACTCCACCATCTCCCTCCACTCCGCTGGCTCCCCTCCCTTCCGAAACACGCTCGGATCCTTCTCCGCCGCCGTCGCGATCATCGCCCCGTCCGCCCCAAATTCCTCCATCAACGCCACCGCCTCCCCGCGGCTGTACACGTCCCCGTTCATCACGCACGCCACTCCGGCCTCTCGACAGATCTCCGCCACCATCCGCAGCTGGTCCCGGATCGCCCGCTCGCGCGGCCGCATCGGCGTCGTCCGGCAGTGCACCGTCAGCCCCGTGATTCCCGTGCCCACCAGCCGCGTCACCAGCGCGCGCGTCTCCTCCGCCGTCGCCAAGATACGGATCTTCACTGAGATGCCGATCTCGTGCGGGATTCCAACCTTCTCGACCAGGTTCGTCAGGATCGCGCACAGCCGGTCCGGGTCTCTCAGTAGCGCGGCGCCCATACCGCCGGTGGTGGAAAACGGCTTGGGACATCCGGAGTTGACGTCGATGCCGCTGACGTCGGGGGCGACGAGGAGCGCCGCCGCGACCGCCGTGTCTGGGTGTGCGGTGCCGAGTTGGTAGATCAGCTTCCCGGCCTCGCGCGCGGGGTCGATGCGGTAGATGATGCTTTCTTTGGCGGACGGGTCGTCGAGGACGTTGGAGGACTTGCGGCGGAATTCGATGCACCCGCTGACGGGGTGGACGTGACGGGTGGTGCCGATCATGGAGCGGTCGATGGTTTCGGGGCCTAGGATCGCGGGGGTAGGTTAACATTGGGGGAGAATATTCGGGGAGAGGGGAAGAACACACCCCATACCAGATCCGCGCCGTATTTGAGAGCGAGGAGGCGCGCGGGCAGTTCCCCGGACCGCACCATGGGTGCCAGAACAACTTTGCCGCGATAGTCGACCCCCCGGCAGGGGATGGGGACGTGAGGTTTAGTGGCCGACATGATTTGTCGCAGGAAGCGAAACATCACTTTCCATCTGCACGGATGGTTTGGAATCAGTGTCGGAGTGGATGGTCTGAATCTCAAGAATATTTCACCGATGACTAGAGGTCACGTGATGGAAGATATACGACATAGATCATGTGATCATGTATGCTGTGGTCCCTCATTCACAGATCAAAGTGCTTTTAAAGGTTCCAAACGTTTCATGCATTAAATGTAATTCTATAGGTATCATATATGCCGTGATTCTTCTCTGCCCTTCGGGTTTGAAGATCTGTCGCCCTCAGTGGTATCCTTGCCTGTCCCCACTCCCACCCCATCATCCACCCCCAAACTCGCAATCCTCTCCACCAACTGATACCTCGTACTATTCTCCTTCCTCCTTTCCACTTCCCTCTCCTCCTCCCGCCTTATATGCGCCCGCTCCTTTTCCGCGCTCCGGCTCTTATCCTTCCCCATCTCCTCCCGCTTCCGCGCCTCCTCAGGATGCACCACTCGTACCACCCCCTCCTCCAGATGCTGGATCCCATGCTTCAGCTGCCGTCGCGTGCGCACGTACGCTTCGAGGCCCACCAGCACCGCGTACGACCGAGAGATGCTGACGCGCGACATGTCCGCGCCCGCGTCCCGGAGCGAGTGCACGAAGGCGCGGAAGTTGGCGGTCGGCGGGCGGTAGTGGCCCGAAAGGGGGGAGAGGCGGCGGATTTGGCCATCTTTGATTTTGATGAGGCCGGCAGCGGAGATGCGGGAGCCGTGGAGGAAGGAGGAGTGTTGGAAGGAGCCGGATTGCTTGAGGCCGATGTAGAGGCGGAAACTCGTATCCGCGACCTAGGGAAATTAGCTGATCGGTTCATTCTTTCGGATAGAGAGACGTACGAATATCCAGGATCCGGGCTTGATGGTGGTCCGGAGAAGATGGTTGAAAATGGTCGCCGCGGAGACTTTGGTGTATTTCGTCAAGCCCTTGGTCTTCGAGAACTCATCGTTCGTATAGTGTTCCCCTTGGCCAGACATGGCTGAACCACCGGAGGAGGAGGCTGACGAGGTCGATGCCCTCGAACCACCTATCGGTGTCTCATCGTACGATTGAAACATAGGCGACACCTTGTCTTCCGTCGACACAATCCCCCCCAAGCTATCCCTCCAATTCGCCGTCGTCCACACCCGCTCTCCCATCTTCGCCCACCTCACCCTCCCCTCCTCATCGATCTTCACCAGATAATTCATCCGCTCCTCCCGAGACAGATACCGCACCTGCTCCTTCCCCAGCTGCACCCGCGACACCGTCGGCACCTCGACCGCCAGCCCCTCCCCGTGATCCAACCAGTAGAAGAAGTTCTCCCGCGTCTCCGCTTTCTTCCATACCTCGTGGTACGCCCGCAAGTTCGACCCATATCGGTGCTTCGTGTCCACCATCTCGAGGAAGTACGGGAGGTCCATCATCTTCGAGTTCTTCTCGCGCTCCTGTCGCGCTTGGGCCCGCGCGCGGCGCCGCTGGTCGCGCTGCGAGGCCGTCATATGCGCGAGATCGGTCTCGCTGTCAGAGGAGGGGGAGTGGTCGTCCTCGCCGGCGCGTTTCGCTACTTCCGTCACCCGCTTCCAGTTGGCTTGGGCAAAGTCGCTGTCGCGGTGGGATTCAGTGTGGCCGAGCTTTTCCCATTCGTCGGCGCGTTCGGCGCGGGATGTGGGGGCGGTGGCCCGTCGGTAGCGCGCTGAGAGAGAGAGAGTATGAGCATTTAACGGGTTACAGGATTTCAACCAGAACGGGGTTGCGCACCTTCATTGATAGCCTATTTGTTACCAGTCAGTGAGGAGATCGTTGCGAAGGCGGGGAAATACTAACATCCATCCATCTTGTTGATGCATCCAGTTCCATTCCACTCATCCGTCGTCGCATGCGATATCCACGGTAGTGGCGCTAAACATCGTCCTCATGGTCAGCTTATCTACCCCATATCATATGGGGTATGTCTCCGTTACCTGGATAACCCGCGCCGCAGCATGACGTTCCTCATGATTACTCCCGGTTTCGCCCCTTTGCACGTCGTCGACGTGCACATTCTGCGTGGTCTCGTGGTTGCTTGCAGCAGCATCGGTAGACAATGTCATCGCATCGAAGCCGTACCATATTGAAGAGGTCACGATAGGAGGCCGCGTAGGCAGGATAGCGGGGTGATCTTACTAGTCCCATGTCAGGGCATCAAGGCAGGTGCGGGTCACGTGCCCAACTCCAGGAACAAAGTGGGGCAGGCGGACGAAGATCCTGTCGGCTGTCGCCACTGGCCTTAACTTGTCGGCTGTCGCATGCGGCCGCCTGGGGGATAGACAGGGGACTGCCGACAGCGAGGGTTGAATTTTCCATTTTTCCGGGACAAGCCGCTGCCGAATGGATTTGGGTGCGGTGATGATGCAAAGTGGCCGATTCAAGTCACCTGATAAGTCACCTGACCTCCCCCAGCCACCCAATCGAAGATTACCAAACATGCAGGCGCCAGTGGAAATCCCCCCTCGGCGGTTGGACAGCATCGAGATTGGTCGCTTGTCGCACTGCGGCCGTAGCACGTCGCACGTCGCACCACTGGAACCACGCGACTGGCCGTGGACGAAACGGAAGGGCCTGCACGGCCTGCACCTGCCTTGTGCCTTGCGCTCCCACCACTTTACCTCCCCTCTTTCCCAGTCGCCCAATCCCCCCAGGCCCCAGCCCGTCAACGGTCCATCGGGTTATCGGGTGAGCAACTTCATCTCATGCTTTGCCCTGGATGGCGCAGAGCGGCCATTTGGTGCGCGCCGTCACCACCACGAATTTTCGTCGGGTTCGTGCTGCAGGCGATTCGTTTTGCGGCGGCTGGGTTTTCGGATGGGTTGGAATTCATTCCGAGGCGCTGTGAGAAGGTGGAGAGAGGGGACCAATTCTGGCCCCCCCCGCTCTCTCTTTCGCGGTGGGAGCTCTGAGGAATGTTGCAACGTTGGAGCAGAAATGCATGCGACGGGTGTAAAAATTATCTGTCGATGTTGAAAATGTCGTGGTATTAGACTATGTTCGATTTTTGACGGTTTGACGATGTGAGGTGCTGGAAAAGTCGCTGTGGAGCGCGCGAATGCCCGTCATAACGACCCGGTCGCCGAGGAATCCTTCGTGGTGACCACATAATATCTCGAGAGTACGGAGTATGCTTGCACATGTCCAACTGCTGATATCGTCCGTTTGATACTAATAGGATTGACATAATATATGATGGGGCAAAGGAGAGGGGTTCGTCAATATCGCCATGGACAATAGGACCGCTGGCAGCCGCCTAGGGATGTATCCCGGTTTCATTCATCTCGGTCCTATTTCACCACCAAGTCCGCCATCTACCTTATTTCATCCCGATCGAACTCACCTATATAAATAAACAGGGTAAGGTATAAAGAAGTAAAGGGGACATCGAGAAGAATATCACGACGGTTAAATAATGAAAGCTGCACTATTGAGGGGTTAGGATTTCCAGGTCTACATAAGTTCTGCGGGCACGAAGTGAAATTGGTGAAAGTCAAAGGATGCAGGCGGAACATGCGCAGTATCTGACCGCGGCAAGTGATCGTGGTCAACCTCAGAGGCTGTGGACGAATCTACAGTGCGGAGACTGCAGAGCAAAGAAGACTTTTTTGGGAATCGAATAGAAATTCGCCATAATCGTGTGTAAACCTCGAGGGAAACTCAAACTTAAACCCAAGAGGGTGAAGAAATGAGGTGCGACCGGGTGTTTCGTACGAACACGAATCATAGGCATAACACCATCCGGAATAGTGTGGGCATGTCCTTGGTTGCGGCCGAGTAAATGACCCAACGATCGCCATCGTGATGTTTCGGTACGGTGCTACCAAACGGCTCGGTCTCAAGACACATCCTTTGCATCAACCCAGGATTTTGGGTAACTGGGGTAGATATTCGATGACATCTCCGATGGAATAAAATTCGGTCGAGGCTAGATTGGAGAGTGGTGAGTGCTCGAAGGTTTGATACAGCTGACGAAGTGAGGTTGAAGAAAGTGGATCGTTAGTCAGCCAAGGCGGGCGACCCATGACGGACATCCCTGCAATCCCGAAGCCAGATTTCACGACCATCTCGACCTCCCCGTCACTCACCTCACCCAGGGACCACATCTCATCCCATTGATCCATCTACTGCTCAGAGGGAAATCCAGCGTGCAATGGAGTTCGATATTTTTAGTATGTCCGTCGAGTACTGATGATGAACCCAGCCATTCCATCCCCCATCCCCATCCGCCACCCATTCCACTCGGGGAATGACGTGCATCACCGCCGCGGAAGCCGCGTTTCCCAGCACGAAGAAAGCCGGGGAAGTGATCCATCGAGGGGTGAGACAGGAACGCTGTATCCGACACCAGGGTCGCCCATATGAAATGGGAGTTGCTCGGCGATTGGGCAACACGAAAGAAATGACCGCGGCTTTGGCTGGCTTGAAAAGTGAAAATTCCACTTGCGCATGGCTATTCTGACCAATGAACGTTCGAGAATTTGGAGCGCCTTATGTATCGACCAGTTCATGTTGCCAGCAACCCGACGCTGCCGTAGAGCCTGGAGATTGTGACAACCGATCAAGGACTGGCAAGGCGAACTTTTTTCATGGACATGTAAATAGTATTAAATATGCAGGAGTTCATTTTCTTCGGGAAGCCAACCTATCCACATTGTCTATATGATACCCTAGTAGTTAGAAGGATTCTGAACAAAGACGAGAGAGAAGGCTGTAGAAGTTTGGTTCCCACATTCCAGCGGCTGTCACGGAGAGTTACTGCGCCTTAGTTACTGCACTGGAAAAAGGGCACACAAGTTGTCGATCATCGTCGTCTTTTTCTTGGGTTTCCCTTGAGGCTGGATTGTCTTGACTCTCGAGCCAATACTTGTATCACATTTAATGTAAGAGGGACGAGGTTAGGGATAATCCATTCCCCTTCTTGACTTCCTATCCATCTTCCCATAGACTCACTTCTCTCTCCCGCAAGCATGCAATCCGACATCCACGCACAACCCAATCCATGTCCCCCCATGTCTATCCAAGTCGGTATCCATCCAGATCCCTCGCCTGCACTATCCACTAACCACTAACCATCCCCATCCAACCATCTCTCTCTCACTTCTTCACTTCCCTCTCCTCTCTGACATCTTTCTCACTTTCTTCCCCATCTTCCTCTCTTCTTTTCACCTTTTCACCTCTTTCCCCTTCTAACATCCATTCCCCTTCTCCCATCAACTTTCTCTCCTCCCATATCCACCTCATCCCGTAACTTCCACCTCCACCCTTACCATTTCCTGCACTAGGATATAGCTTCTCTACCGTCCCTCACACTCATCGCTCCCATCTCCAGCTTTCCGGAAGTCTCGTGGGTTCCAAGGACCTGGCGATCACTGCGCGGCGCTAATATCCCGCTTGACGCCTCTTCCTTCACCATCCAAGCCTTTCCATTCCTCTCTTTCATCCTGCATCCAACCCATCACCGTCGGGTTTTCTCATTCGAAGCCAAACTGTCCACCATCCCAGCTCCTCCAATTTGTCGTGCACTTTTCCTGCCGATAAATGGGGGACGCAGATGATGACGGAGCTGCAACCTCCAAAATCTCCCTAACTACTTTGTCTTCCACGAATCACCCCATCATGGAGCCTTCCCGTCCCACCGATCCCGTCACCACGCGAGGGAGCAAGAATTCATCTGCATCTACCACCGCATCTACCACCGCATCTACCACCGCAAAACCTGATGACACTCCCCCATCAGCTGGAACGCCGGATCCGCAACCCTCATCAACCGCACTTGCAAAGCCAGGCACGCTCTCACAAAAGATCGAGGATGCACTGCAATCCCAACCGATGGTGCTAACCGCGTCCAATTCTTCACAAACCTCAAACCTTTCAGCCAAAGACGCGACATCCGCGTCCGCCGCTGCACCCTATGGCACTCGTTCGCGGAACCGCCCAGGATCCCGCCCCAATTACGCGGAGGATGTCGAATACGACTTCGATGGAGCCGCGAACGCTGCTGCCGAAGCAAAACTCGCCCCTCCTTCCGGCATCACCACGCGCAGTCCCTCTCCCAAAGACCAACAACCGGGAGCGAAGAAGAACGGCGCATGGAGCACGGTGAATTCGACGCGCTCCAGCACCGGCAAACGACGCCGCTCACCATCGCCCCCGGCCGCCGGTTCCCGCAACGATGATTCCACCGCCAACGTCACGCCGGTCCCTACGAATTCTCACGCCCATTCCGCGGCGGGGAACCAGACGGGGAAGAAGCGGAAGACCAATGGATCGCAGCAGCCGACAAACGGAACGGGCCCTGCGAGTGCTGGGACGAAAGCGCCTGCTGCTACCAGGAAGGCCGCTCAACACGCTGCGTCCGCGACGCCCACCCCTTCAGCGCGTGCCACTCCCGTCGCACCGGTTCGACCGACCAATATGTACTCGTTTGAGAAGACAAAGGCGAAGATGGTGGATGGGAAGTTGACGGCAGATGACGGCACTGTCTTTGCTCCCAATGGTGAGTTTTTCGTACCCTAGTGATCGGGCTTTGTGCCATGATCCGCACGCGACACATCCACGGTCCTCGAGCATGGCTAACGTACTCAGATCACATCTACCTCGTCTCCGAGCCACCGGGCGAACCTTACTATATCGGCCGCATCATGGAGTTCCGCCTCAGCAACCTCGACGACCCGAACTCACCCGTCGATTCTCTCCGCGTCAACTGGGTCTACCGTCCCCGAGACGTACAGCGCTTCAACAACGACTCCCGCCTCGTCTACGCGACCATGCACTCGGATATCTCGCCCATCTCCACTCTTCGGGGCAAATGTCGGGTTCTACATCGCGCGGAAATCGAGGACCTGGACGAATACCGCAAGCAAAAGGATTCGTTCTGGTTCAATCAGGTCTTCGACCGGTTCATCATCCGGTGGTATGAAGCGATTCCGACATCCCAGGTAATCAATGTCCCCGAACATGTCAAGAAAGTGCTGGATGAACGGTGGAAATATATCGTGGTTGAGGCGGCGAAGGTCAAGGAATTCACGAGCGCCGTGAAGACGTGCAAGAGATGCGTTCAGTATTGCCCTACGTAAGTCCTACAAATGCGGAATACTTCTGCAGAGATCTAACACATGCGAAGGAATGACTCCGTTGAGTGCGCCGAGTGCCACAATACTTATCACATGTACTGCGTTCGACCTCCGCTGCTGAAAAAGCCGTCTCGTGGGTTTGCGTGGGCATGCGGTCCATGCAACCGCGCACAAGAGAAGAAATTGGAGGCCCGGCGAACCCCGCTCATTACAGAAGCTCCTGAGGCGGAAGAGGAAGAGTATATCGAAGAAGAGGACGACACCGAGCTTCCTCCGACGACTGCGCAAACGCCAAGCGAGGCCAAGGTGGATGAGCTTCACCCGGTGACCCAATCAGAAATCGAACTCGCAAAAATGTGGCCGATGCGATATCTTGGGATCCATTGTCGTGTTGAGGACGCGTTGCAGTACGACGACCGGACGATCTATCCTCGAGCGAGTTCACGTATCGGTCCGCGACATCAAGCCGTCGTGCAGCCTTGGTTCGGGCGGCCGGTTGAGCTCGTCAAGCCACTCGAAATCAAGAAAAAATACCTGAAGAGCTCAAGCCACAAGAAGGACTCGAAATTGTCCAAGGAAACCCTCGCTGCCCTCGAAGAGGAGCGAGCGAAACGGGCGAACCGCCCAGAATGGGTTCAGGACGAACCGCCGGGATACGTCAAGCGTGGAGATGATCATCCGAACGACGACCCGAACAATACCGCGAAGTTGCTTTTCCGACTTCCCGAGCCTGGCGAGTTATCTGAGCGAGGGATGGACGATAAGCCCATTGCGCCGGAAGAGATCCTGGATGAATTCATGACGCAGGCTAAGGGAATCGCTCAGAGCATGAAAATCCCCACTTGGAGCACCGACTGGCTTGATCGCGCGACGCAGACGTTGTACAGACACAACTTTGACCCGAAGACGGCGCTCGAAGAGCTGAAAAAAACGGATCCGAAGAAGGACTTGCGGGACCCCAAGCGTGTCCTCACCTCCGACGAGCAGAAGCGTTTCGCAGAAGGAGTCGCGAAGTATGGCTCCGAACTCCGAAACGTCCGGATTCACGCGAAGATCGAGAAGCACGGCGCCGTCGTCCGCTACTGGTACATCGTCTTCAAGAAATCGCCCGAGGGCCGGAAGATTTGGGGTACTTTTGGTGGGCGCAAAGGGACGAAGAAGAAGGTGGAAGCCAACACCGCTTCCCGCCTCCTGGACGACGTCGCCGACGACGTCGACGACTCCGCGTTCGACAGCGAAAAGGCCGCGAAGAAAAAGCGCGGTTTCAAATGCAAGCACTGCAACACCACCAAATCCCGGCAATGGCGTCGCGCGCCCGGCGTCGCTCCGGGCTCCATCATCCAAGCGGAGAACGGCAAAGCGAAGGAAAAGTCCCCGCCGCAGGTCGTTGCGCTTTGCTTCCGATGCGCGAACCTCTGGCGCAAGTATGCCGTCAAATGGGAAGAGGCGGAAGAGATCGGCCGGAAAGTCGCGCAAGGGGGCGGCCGCGCGTGGAAACGGCGGATCGACGAGGAGCTGCTCCAGGAGTGGAAGTTGGCGCAGGAGAGCCCGGGAGTCGACGAAGACATCGACATGCCCGATGCGCCACCCGCTGTGGCACCTCTTGCCGAAACGAAGAAGAAGGGCAAGGCGGTGGACAAGGAGGCCGCAGCGGCAGCCAAACCGGCCGAGAAAGAGAAACCGAAGCCCGCGCCACCGCCTCCGCCGCGCCAGCCGACACCTCCATTGATTCCGGCGCAGCCAAAGATGAAGGAGCTGCCGTGTACCGTGTGCAAGCTATTCGAGAGACCCGGCGCAAAGGAGCCGGAACCGTTGCTTGTGTGCGCGCATTGCCGCCTGCATGTGCATCGGAACTGCTATGGGATCTTCGAGCCGAGAGGCACGGGGGCGTGGTGGATCTGTGATATGTGCGCCAACGACCGGCCTGGCAAGGAGACGACTTCATACGTGAGTAGCGTGTACGAAATTTTTTTGATATGTTGCTAATTCCCATGCAGAGCTATGAGTGCGTGCTGTGCCCAATCACTGAAACCGAAGTGGAACTCGTGGAGCAACCGAGGGTGTCCCACAAGAAGAAGACGGATCGCGATCGCGAGAAAGAACGGCTAGAGCGGGAACTGACCCTCAAATTGGCGGAGGATTACAAACTCCAGCAGCGACAGAACGGCCGACCTCTTTTCCCCCGCGAGCCGCTGAAGCGCACCGCGGACAACAACTGGGTGCACGTCAAGTGCGCGGTGTGGATGCCCGAAGTGCGGTTTAGCAACGCGAAAGAGCTCGAGATTGCCGAAGGGATCCCGCTCATCCCTCCCGAGAAGTACCGGAAGACGTGCACGATCTGCAAAAAATCGAACCGCGGCGCGTGCGTGGACTGCCCCATCTGCCGTGCCAGCTTTCACGTCGGCTGCGCGAACAAGGCGGATTACACCTTCACGTTCGATATCCACCCGACCAAGGCGACGAGGAAAGACGTGACCGTCGTCACGCTCGGTGTCGAAGACGAGGATCCGCTCTATAACACTACTGAGACTGGAACGGCAAGCGCGGTCGTCATCTGCAAAACGCATTGGCTAAAGGACACGAAATACGCGAAGGTTCACGGGCCCAACGAGTCGGTTCTCACCTGGGACTCGGAGCTCAACGCGCTGCAAGTCTACGCTCGGAATTACAAGCAGGCTGACCTCACGCTTTCCGGCACGGCAAGAAAGGCCACCCTGCTGGATGAATCGACCAAACGACTCGCGGTCTGGGACGAGCAAGAAGTGGCCCATGCGCGTGCGGCGGGCAGAGAGCCCGCTCCGGTACTTGGGCGTCGGATTTCCACGGCTCATCGAGGGTCCCGTTCCTCGATCCACGGAATCAGCGACTTGGAGAGCCCGGTTTTGCGAACTAGTCCCGCCGTCGAAGAGCGACGATGTTGCATCTGCAAGGTGGATACATCGCCCACTTGGATCCGGGTCAAGCCCTCCATGCTGCCTCAGCATTCGAATCGCCCGTCGTCCTCCTCGATGGCCGTGGATCATATGCTGGCCAACGGCGTCAAAGAGGAACCGCGTCAAAACGGCGACGCGGCTGCAAATGGTGCTGCCATGACGAACGGCTTCCACCCCGAAACCGCACCGGCCAAGTATATGTGCTCCAAGTGCAACTGGAAGCGCCTGAACGACCCGGACCCGCCAATCGTGCCCCGCGACTCCGAGCCTCCTCGATCGTCTCGTGAACGCTCTGTGCGCTCGCCCCAGGCACCCACACTTCCTCCCCCCGTCGATGCCGGCTGGCGACCCGGGCTCCCTCCACTGGGAGCTCCCAACGCATGGCCACCGCCACCTCCACCGCCCGTGAGCGCCGCGATGGCACCGGCTCCTCATAGCGGCCCTCCTCAAGGGCAGGGACTCCCGCCACCACACCAGGCCAACTACCCACATTACCCTCATCTACCCGGCGCGCCTTCCACCAACCCCTACGCCCCCGGCTACCCCGTCCACACCGGCGCCCCACCGCCACACATGAGCGCCGCACCCACCGGCCATCCTTACAGCTATCAAAGCTACGGCCCGGGGCCCCACCCCCACCATTCGCACGCTCCACCACTCCACCACGGCCCGCCCTCTCACCTCCCTAACCTCTCCAACGGCCTCCCCACTTCCAACCCTCACCACTATCACAGCCACTCCCCCCCCACCTCCGCCATCACCAGCGCTCCCCTCCCGCGTGACCACACCCCCGGCGCCACTCATCTCCCGCCGCTGGCGCACGCGGCCGGTAGCCCCGTCGCGATGCAACTCGGGCCTCCTCTATCAAGCGTTGGGAGGCCGGAGACGCCGAGGGATGGCATTGTGGAGCGGGAGCGCGAGCAACGAGAGGTGCCGAGGGACCGGGCGACGGTCGGGGCGAGCGCGAGTCCGAGTTTGAAGAATTTGCTGTCGTGAGGGACATGGAAATGAAGGGACGGACGTTTGTGAATCGGCATGCTATCCGCATATCATCCGTCGGAGTTTTCGGTCCATCATCAGCATTTGTTCGAGTGGTGGTTTTCCCCTTTCTCCGCACCTCACCATATTTTTCTTCGCGCCATCATCGCGGCATGTTTCTTGCATTTTCATGGGCACCACGCATTGGGAGTATCGAAAAATCTTTGGCTTTGGTTGCGGGAACCGCGCGAGGGTTCGGCTAGCATGCGGCTAGCATTGTACGAATTGAATTGGGATAGATGATAGCAAGGCGGAGTATGGGAACATATTGCTTTTTTTTGTATTTTCGGGGCATCGCTTGAGGCCCGGGCATGAGCGGCGGTCGATCACATCGCGCTGGTGACTATTATGGCGGCCGGTTCAATGCGTTGCATTCTGGTGGGCAGAATAGTTAGTGGCTTCTGAAGGGGATACCCATGTATGTATGAGACGACAGTGGATATGGTATAGAGTACAATAGCATGCGATACTTGATTCTTTCCTGCTCGATACCGTGATTCGTGGCACCGTGACACGTTTCGCTTATACCGGAACCCCTTGGAATCTAACCCGGGAACGGAACCATGGACCAAATGTGAATAATGCGCACGCGAGATAGAACCTCGAAGGAAAACAAACATCGCTTAATAGAGTCTACATGTTGCTGATCGATTGAGCGTGAGATTTCGATAATGGATGAGGACTCTCAGAAGCCGCCGACGTCAGAGGGTGGGAACTGAACGTAGTTGAGATGAAGTGTGGCGCAGCATGGATTTAGTGTGGCCGGTTTTGGGCCTCCCTGCCTGCCTCGACTGAACATCTATGGTCGATGGACAATCAGCAAGATTGACAGCTGAGCGCAGATGAGCTGGTTTGAAATTCGATGTTGGGGCCTATTCCTTCGCCATGGCCATGACATGCACGCACGTACCGAAAAACCAAGTCGGTGAAGTCTCCGAACGTCGGAAACGGCCATGGTTCTGGCTAATAAGATAGTCTGGCGAAGATAGAGGGAAGTCCCGTTCCCGTGCAGGAGATAAGAGGATGGTCCAAGCCTGTTCCGATTACGGATTACACCTCACGTATTACTGATACGCCGTATGCGGAACATGGCTCCGCGGAAGTTCCTAATTGTTCTACGTAGGTACGAGGTCGCGATCCGGTTGGACTCGATGCTGGCGAGGGCAAAGCTTCATAAAACCTGATCTGGCAACGTCAAGAATTATGTGGTGTGGATGGTTGCAGGGCTTTGATATGCCGGGGTCGGCGCGAATGGATCTTTTCGATAGTATCGTTGATACGAGGAATCCAAGCCCCAAGCGCCGATCAACTTCTTGTGGCCCACGCCTACTTGCATTCCCACTTCCAAGGTCAGAAAGGCACAGGGGCGAACGTGCGGCAAGATAGGGAAGCAATGTGTGAGACAAATATCGATTCCATTGAACTTAGAAACTATTAACTTCCTACCCAGTCCCGCGGACGGATATATTCACTCAATGCCCAGATGCCATAACTCCCAATGCATTTTTGCTCAATGTTGCCCGCTTTCGCCGTAGCGTTCCCTTTACGGGAATGAAAATCAAAACAATAAAGCAGTTGACAAAACTTGCTCACGATGCCGCCCACTGGACTCGGTTAACCCGCTGCCATAAGTGAAAGAAAGTCGAAATCTTCGGTGGAAGCTCGAAATGAAAGACATTAGTGGTGCCATAAGCCATCATGCTCTTGATAGGCACCGCTTGCTTTTTAGCCGCATCCATAGCCGCATTGTCCACTGCCCAACGAAGCGAAAAGGACCCATGAGTGATGAGACATGCACGCGAGTATTTACAGAAACGAACCGAAGCGGGAGAGGACTGAGGGGGGAAGATCCGCCGCAAAACCATTGGTGGAAACGGGAAAGGTGAGACAGAAAAAAGCAATATGAGGGAGGCCGCCTCGTTTTTGCTTTGTCCCATTCCGAAAGCCACCTGCTCGGAAGCTGGTTAGGCGATAGTGAATGGGACTAGAACCATGCCCCTTCTTCAATTTGGTCGGGTGACAAAAAATCGGGAAAATCTCCAAAATGACGCCGTGAAATGCAGGGTGCCTCAAAACGCCAGTGCAAAATCGCATGTCAACGTGAAAGGTCGAGGAATATGCATCGGTGCGCTAATCCAGACGATCGAAAATTACTGCAGGTAAGACAGTCGAAAGAAAATGGAGAGCAATCGCGTGCTGCAGATGCTTTCTCCAGTCAAATGGGCTTGATCCAACCCATCACAACGACTTTTCCAAGTCCACCAATTCTTGAAAGCCCTCTCTCCATCGCCTGACCTCGTCCTTGGTCGGTTTTGGCAACGGCTTCCGCGCGAACCCCCCGTACCCGAAATGGGCTTGCATCGCGCATTTGGTACCGACCAAACCGCCTTGGATGGCCGCCCAGTCCCCGCGTGCCACGATGGCCTGCAGCTTCCGCGCCTCCTTGAAGTTCCCCTCCTCATACAGCTGGACCAGCTTGACGCAGGCCTTCGGCGCCACGTTGGCGAGACCGCCGATGCATCCGGATCCGCCGCCGACGAAGGTTTGGAGGATGAAATCGGCAGAGCCGCCCATGCACATGAAGCCCGACCCGGCCTCGGGGATTGTGGCGGCGCGAGTGGCGGCAGCGATGCGGTTCAGTTTCCCGGTGTTGCCGCACGTGAGCTTGCAGCCGACGACGTTCGGATGCTTCGCGAGCTCAATGATGGCATCCGAGGACAGGTCGATCCCGGAAACGGCACCGGGGTAGTTGTAGATCAGGATAGGGATGGGGGAGGCACTGGCGACGTCACGGAAAAACGTCATGACGGAGTCTTGGTTGAAGAGCCCCTTATAATAGGCTGGTGGAAGGACAAGCGCGTAATCGCCACCAGCTGCCTGGGCTTCATGGCACAACTCAATTGTCTCCCGTGTTGATTGAGAGCCGCAACCGACAATGATGGGCATGAATCCGAAGCCAGCATCATCTAATGATTTGCGAGTAGCGATGGTGACTCGATCCCGTTCACGATGAGATAGGTGAACCGCTTCTCCGTTGGAACCCTGCGTCGTCAAGCCAGCAACCCCAGCTTCCGCAAGGCGGACAGCATGGCTCGCTATCGTCTCCAAGTCCAGATCTTCTGTGATTGGTTTGAAGAAGGTAACCGTAGGAACGTAGATGCCTGGCATGAGCGGGCGACGGATTTCCATGTCGTTTGATTCCACTGAACTGGTCTCAAACCCATCCTGAATAGGATCGCGCATGTATTGCGTGCGGTTCACCGAGCTGCTCATAAGAGACATAGCGGAGAAGGAATCTGTGTAGCTGCCCGCTGGTGAATCGCTCTTGTGGGGAGCCATGGTAGTCAGTGGATGGGAAGGCGTTTGAATAACAGGCCAAGGAAACTTGTTTGATGACAGGAAATCTAGAATTGACTCAAAAAGAGTAGACGCCGATATGGAAACGAGTAAAAAAGTACGGAATGGCACGGATCTGTTCGACGAAGGGAATGGCTGGAACTGCCTTATATAATGGACTTTGTGCTCCAGAGCGGCTCAACAACCGCGTGACGTTGAAAGTGTGGGGGTTCAGCTGACCATCCAGAAGTACTAGGGACGGTAGTCACGTAAGTCACAGTACATTGCTAGTCCAGCCTGTAATATCATGATGGCCGTTTGGACCCAGGCGACCGATGACAGGCATGGCGAGGCGGAGATGTGGAGGGTGATGAGGCAAAGTTCCAGCGAGTATCGTGCATTCGTGCGCCAACCGCCAAGGAGGGCGGCGATCAAGGCTAATGATGCCAGGAACAAAACCACTATGACCAGGATGCGGGAAATTTTGAATAGTTAATCGGTATTATGGGACGGGTACTGGGGAGGACTCGGCGTGGGATGAGGGAAAAGTGTGCCGTAACACTGCCGTTTGCGCTGGCTGCAAATGGGATGTGATTCGCTGGTGGAGACGACCTCTTCGTGATTCACTGTTGCCCCAGCCGGCCGACCGGCCTATGGAGGGGAGATGATACCATGGCCTGATGGTGATCCGGTTCTCCGCTGCAAATACCGGTAACCATGGACCTGAAGGATTTGCTTTTGCTAATGATTGTCTCGTGGGCATGGTGACCGATAACCATCCAATGCTGTGAAAAGGATTGGGTTGAGATGACGCCTTACTGCCTCACGATAGACTGGAGAAAGGACAACAGATGAAATCAGACCGATGACTGCCATACACCCCCTTGCCCATTTGAACATAAAACCGAGCAATCCAGCGGGCCAGTTTGCTTCCGTGTTCGTTGGTAGCTACTGGCGTGGCATCCCTAACTTTAGCACTGGTTCCTTCTCGCTTCCCCGACCGCGAGGCACGCATTTGAAACTTGAAAGGCAGTGTTCCGAAAACGGTGTGAAGTCAGCGTGACGGCATCATTGACCATGCTTGCATCACGATGCCTTGCATAGTTGCATTGAAAGCGCGGATTCAGGCGAAGAATCTGCTCCACACGCGGCCTTTCCACCAACCATACGTAGTAGAAGGTGGCAGCGATGGGTCGGGACTCATGAGTAACGCGAGTTAAGGCGGTGCACCCGGACGGCTATTTTCGACTGTTCGAGGCATCACTCACATCAGGGTGTCCAAATGCATCTGGAAGGATTTCGATGGAGCAACCCGCGTCGGATTGCAACCCAAGTTTTCGCCGTGTGATGCGAGAAGTCTTTGGTGTGAGTTCGCTAGTTGCGACAACGATGATCTGCATGACAAAAGATGGAGAGACGGCACTATTGCTGCTGGCTGCAATGTGAATGGTCCAGTTCCCTCCGCCCAGACCGTTTTTGGCGTCGATATTAGCGCTGCACCCAATTCCTGGTTGCGACCAGCAGCGCGGCAGAGTGACCAACTGACAATCCCTTTCTTGCCCCAAAGCCCAAATTAAAGGCCCACATTTCAGGTTCGCTCGAATTGCCTGGTTCTCATCTGTTAGCGTGTGGGGGTGGGGTCGAGCAGTGGAATGATTTGCCGTATCAAACCCCCTCTAGACCGCGGATGTGGTTCCAATTATTCCATGGTTAACTTCATGGGGTAGTCAGCATTTTGAATTTTTTGTTTGAATGCTCTCACTAATATCATAGTGCGAAGGGGTCCTCGTCGTGTATATTTTGCGTACATGGTATGTACCGAGTAAGGCATGTCCTCTGATATTTTGTGGCTAAAACGGCCGCCGTAGGATGTCGACTCGCTGTTGATGACGAACGGTGACTTTCCGCAGGGTAGAAAGGCCACTCGGGGCTTAGCAACTTGCCAAATGGCTGCTGCATATTTAACGCCTGCCTAAGATTTACTCACCGGTTCAAACTTTAAAGGCATCAGTTGCTAGTTGCTACCCATGGGTCCATGAAGCACATCGTGAATCGACCAAAAGCTGAATTCAAGTGCCATCGTGACTCTTGGGCGAGGTCAACATCGGCCGAGAAAGCGAAAACGGAGAAATCCATGTTAATTCGAGTAGGTATTCGACTATTCCAGCCTTGGGGGCTTCACGGTTAGCAAAGCCATGATCCTTTTTCTCCAATCAGCAAGCAAAATTTGTGTCTTTGATGCGGAATGATTCAGGGCTCAGGAGATACCCCGATTGATTGATTGATTAATGGCTCCACCCCCACGTTTTGCCTTACGCAATAAACCCAACCTCAGGCCATTTTGCTGGAGTTCCGAAATGTCACAGGTGGCAGGATCTTTTATCCCAATTCTGATCTCCACATTAGCTATCCGGACGCAACGGCTCACGGCAACAGGTAGTGCATGGTAGTGTGTATGACGACTGACAAGCTATCGCTTTCCTTGATCATAGGAAGCTTACACGGTATAGAGTCTAGTATATTTCCTTTTGTGATTGACTAAGGTAGGTAATTTCGAGCTAATGGATGTAATATGACCAGTCAATTGGGGTGAGACCGGTATCTCGAGGATCAAGGAAGTAAGGGGAGCATTCCACAAAGACGAATGAACGTCAAAAGCAAAGTGCGCCGCGTGTTTGACTTCGAGCGATAGTCTGTCCCGGGAGCATGGTGTTAGGTTCCTCCTGCTTCCTCGTCGCCCTGGAGTCGGGTTTGTTGGTGTGATGTTTGCTTTTGTAGAAATTCAACGCTCTGGTGCCTGGGCAATTTCCTGGTGATCTTTTTTGCCACCTTGGCTGGTGACCACGAGGAGTTGCGGATGTGATAGTTGATACTTTCCCACCTCCATCACCCCCACCCGATGGCGTATGATGAGGGAGACTTCAGTTAGACATGACCTCAGTATCAGTATAAGGAGGCCCTGAACCACTCGAGCCTGGTCTGGCTGGCAGCAAATTTGCATTTCCCTCTCGTTCTTCTTGGGCCAGACCCCCAACAAAGCCCTCGTACGAAAGCACCAAAGTCCCTTGGCCGCCCCCATCGATTTCCCGGTGACACGGCTGATATGACTTGCGTTCTGCGATATTGGCATCCCTGGTCTAGATCAGGAGGCGATTACCCCACAGTATATTCTCATTCGTTCCGGAGAATCTGGGGGTTTCGCGAGAGGGGCTGGTCAAAGCCTCATCTGGCCAGTCGTGCCTCGAGCCAGTGACACGTCGTGGAAATTCGAGAGCGACGCGAATTGACTCACTGTCCTCCACTCACGAGGGGCGAGGAGGGATTCCCCGGGATTCGGAACTTTGAGTTAACGAGCTCCTTCGACTACTTCTCCGGAGAACCAGCTTGGGTTCATGACAATTGACATACATATTCCGGACACTACGCCCGATCGATACTAAGGGCTTGCCTGGCTGAGCACTTGAGATGTGAGACGGGTGGTAGTGATCCATGTGCTATTGGCCAAAATATTGTGAGATTGTGACCGCCGACAGATTGTTGCTGCTGATGGTTTAATCTGAAATTGATGATGTAGGCCATAATGGTGCATTTCGTTAGGTTTGTCCTCTGTCGTCCATCTTTCGACTTTGATCCGTTCAGCAAAAGTCACGAACACTCAATTGGATTATTGGAGACCCGGACGCCTCGAGACATCCAAATCCTAATCCTAGAGCAATGCCTTGGTAGAAAGTGCCATAGTTATTAGCACACATCCCACGGGTTCCTTGTGCATCGTTACATTGTTGAATAATGGGTCTAAATCTTAAAGAGCTTGGATAACGGCATTAATCTCAGGTATATGTGGAAATGAAGGTTCGGCTTTCATTCCTATCGGATTCCCCGCAGTCGCCTTTCCATAGTGCTCTTGGACTCCAACAAATATCCCACTCCTCCTACCAGGTACAAGTTACAAGAGAGCCTAGAGGTGCTATTGAATAACCGCAAGGAACCTTGCAAAGGTCCTGACCCGACTTCCGTCGACCAGCGCCGATCCAATTCAAACTCTGGGGTAATATTCACAGGGAACGTAAGTCTGGCTAACTAATAGCGGGTTGATGGACCTCATCCCACACCAGAATCCGCTTATTCTTGAAGAACAAAACCACTTCCTCAGTCCGTTCATATGTCTCCGGTATTTCTTGCCGGTCTGATTCCGCCGTCACCACACGAAACGTTCGTTGATTCTCGAATTCCGACTCAATGCGCCTGGTGGAGCTGGCATCCGCTTCGCCAAGTCTTCGATTACTTGCAGACTTGCACATCCGGCGTGCGGGGTCGACTACCCCTCTAGGAGAACTGGAGAAGCAACCTAGCTGGTGATGCGCGTCACAGCTTGCGTATGTGGAGAAGGGTCCCGGTCGATGTTGAAGCCGTATCGCCAATGGTGAATGGAGCCGTGAGCGCAAAGAGGCGGAGATGCCGCAACTGACTCCGCATGAGGTCTACTGATTCCAGGATTCCAATTTTCGGATGGCTGAGCCACGTCAAAGTGCATTTCCCTAGAATCCACCCTTTCCTTGATCTACCGCGTAAGCTGAGAAGTACTTGGAGGAAGTCCCGGTACAAGGACTTCCATGCAAGGGGTGCTGGACGATGTGGAGCTTTCTCATACGTGCTCGCGACGATTCATGGGGTCCGGGGAATGCATGAGGGAAGAATCTTGCCATCACGAGGGCGACCCCGGTGGCCCGAAGTTGGCGGAGATGTGTGCAGCTTGTTACGTTAACAGCGAGTCATATTAAGCAAGTCTTCCAGCTTATTGAATTCACGATGTTAGTCAAGTGTGTCGGTAGCGTCCGTTACCGCGCATGCGCCTATAGGTGTATTGTGGGAAGCGTGGAGGATGGTGGTTGGTGGATGATCTGCCGAACTGCTCGAGCACTTGGTTCGAACGGCATGCAGTCGAACCAAAGGAGAACCGACGAGTTTACATTGTACGGCCGGTCTGAGACGGCTGATCTTTTCCCATGCGTATGGATGGCCTTCACTGCAGGAAAGCTGAAGCATTCCAGAAAATGCACCAGAGACTCTGCAGAGAGGTCTCGTGCCGTCCCGTATGCAGAGTTCTGCGCCTGTGTTTGCCATGACCGGTCGACCACCACGTCTCACACTCTCACGGCTAAGCTATACAAATACTGCCTAGTGCTTGTAGAAGAGCAATTGGCCAGAATGTACTTCCGGTCGTACTGCCGCATGTGCGGCTTGTTATGTACACGGTTGTTCCTTTGCGGTTCACGATTGTACGTATTCGAGATCGTCAACTTCATCATTGCTCAGTGGGTGATAGAACACATTGACACGGTCTTGCTGAAGAGATTTGATCGCCAGGCACTATAACGTAAGGTGAATCTAGCAGGACACGATTATTGGATATCAATTCACCACCCGCGCAAGGCAGCGGAAATCCCACGCGTTGCGGTCTCGAACGTCCAGAAATTTTCGTTCGGATCCACTCCCATGCACGATGCCAGAGATTTTGATTCAATCACTTAATATCGGGCAACTCCGCCTCGGAAGCGAAGGCAGGTGCGAAGTCAATCCGAGTTTCCTATGAAATGCTAGCGCTTCAATGGTAAACATTTCCGAATATCGCCTGTTGCGGAACGCCTAGAATTCATATAGTACATGGAAAGTCCAAAGACGTCCGTAGGTCTCACAACTCATCATGCTGAGAGGTCTCTTCAATGATCTCTTCGACGATCTCAACCTTCAATGGGTTCTCCTGATCGTCAATGATCGGTTGCGACTCCTCCTGATGTGCCTCCGGTTCCGGCTCCACGGTTTCGACCCCGATGACACCCTCAGGGAACTTCTCCTTCTTTCCTTCTCCCATTCGAATTGCATCAATCCAGGTCTCCACCGCCATCACGCCGTAGTTCTCGCCTCCGTATCGCTTGAGCCACGACCGCTTGCCATTCGTCGCGATCAGATCGAGGTCGCTGCTCGGCTTCAAACCAAGCTGCTCTCGAAGTTTCTCCTGTTCTTCTCCATACGGGACCGAGTAGAATGGGAAGATTTTCGCCTTCCTCTGGACATGTTTGAAGGCAATGTCGCTGAGGCTGCCAAGTAGTTGTGATGCGCTCTCGTCGCCGTCCGAATTTTGGTTCAGGAGGGCAAGAACACACACCTTGGATTTGGTCGAGAGGCAAGCAGCTTGGAGGTCGGCACCAGCCTGGGCTTCGGGGATTTCTGGGGCTCCGGCGACGACTAGTGGGGCACTGGAAGCCTCTTCAGTCGCTTCGTCCGGAATGATGGGTTTTTGAGGCTTGTCATGGGGAATTTCCTCTTCAGAGGAATCCGACTCGGTTGATTTCGCCTTTGAAGCCTTCTTCGGCTTCTTCGCCTTCTCCGGTGCAGGCGCAGGATCCGGATTCGGAGTAGCGACTTGAGAAAGGAATTTCGAAATCGGTTCCTTCTTCATCTCCCCATCGTAAACCAAACTTTCCTTGTCGCCCCCTGGGAGGAGAACTAGCTTCGGAAACTTGGCGATACCAAACGCCTCCACTGCCTTCTCCTCCTTGTTTCTGATCTGCGCAACATTGATGCTACCCAAAAAGTCAATGGCCAGTGCACGCAACAATGCGCTCGTCGTGCCTTTCTCAGTGAAGAGAATCGCCTTCGCCGTACTATTGTCCTGATCGAGCCAGCCGTCTAGCTCATTGTCCTTGACCCTTGTGACATGGTTCGGGATCTTGTCCACAACGATATCGGTAATGCCTTTCGCAGTCCGCGGGCCCTGATAATCCTCCACCGTGGGTTTTCCTGGCTTCTTCGACGGTTTGATGATCTTGAGAGTCGGGAATCCTTTGACGTCAAAACGAGCGCAGAGCGGCCTATTCTCTTCCGCGTCGCAATTGACCGAGGCGACCTTGGCGAGGCCATCTAAGCTCTTGGCCGCTTTTTCGTATGCCGGCTTGAGGCTCTGGCAATGTCCGCACCAAGGCGCGTAGAATCTGATATATTGTTAGGATTGTCTCGTTGGAAACGATATATGTTCCTTACTCGACGATCTAGAGAGGGGTTAGCAACCTCTTGATGCCAATGCGGTTTGACTTACAGATGTGTAGTTGGATTTTGTAATGAGACGGTCATAGTTTGTACTATCGACCTGGAGAACCGGCGACCCTTTTGTATACAAGCCCGCGGCCGCAGCGGGGTTCAAAAGCAGGTATGCAGCTGTAGCTGCTAATGCGACGGAGCGGATCATGGTGGATGGCACTCACGGCGAACGAGTTACTGAAGCAATTACAAAAAGAATCGAACTACAGCATTGGAGAGAACAGAGACCGGTAGATCATAAACCGGACGACGTGCAAGTGTTGTTGTGTTAAGCATGTGGCATAGGCTATTTGGACAAGCTGTCCTTTTCATGCGGTACTCTCTGGTGGTGAAGATACCACAGGGGCCATTGGAAACATGACACAACACTGCAACAGCAACAGCAATGCAATCTGAATCTGAATCTGAATGTGATACAAGGCAACAAGGCATATTAGGTGTCAAAGTCTGGGCTGTGGCTGTGGGACCGGCACGTGAATCGTCCCATATTCCATTGGGGAGTTGTTGGAAGCCTTACCACCAACGTCACTTGATATTAAATGCCATCGCACTGATCGCAGCCTAGAGATTTACGAACGGTTGCTTGTCTTCGATGCTAAATGATTGTCGAAGTTAATCCGGAAATAAGATTCCAATCTTACGATCTTAGAAATAGTAGAAGAGTAGCGACACAATGGCGGCGAATATCCCCGCCAAACTCAAGAGCTTGGATATCACCCGGTTCGCGGTCCGGGCCTCGCAACTGGAAAAGTTCAAACCCGTTATAGCTTACTGGTGTATGTATCCTGTCCCAAATCGTGGTATGGGAGTTAACATGGGCTAGGCGAGTACCACATCGTCAACCAGATCCTCGCCAAGGGGATGCATACCGAGGATGACGAGTGCATGACCTATACGACCACGTTAATGGATAAGCTCGAGAAGATGAAGACCACCCATGCGGGGGAATCTGCGATATTGGACGATGCGGCGGCGCAAGCGTATGTCGAGCAGTTTGCATATGAAGTGTTGGATCGGGGAGAGAAAGCCATCCGAACCGACACGGTGACCAAGTAAGCAGCCTCCGCCTGTCGGATTTCCACAAACGACAACCCCTAATATCGAGCCAGACAAACCGCAGACACTCTCCAAGCCGCCATCACCTTCCTCGACCTGATCGGCATCTGGAAGCCTGGACAACCCGACGTGGCCGCCAAACTCAAATACGCCAAATACCACGCCGTCCGCATCGTGAAAGCCATCCGCGCCGGCGAAGACCCCAACCTCTCCAACCCCAAACCAGAACCCCCACCTGAAGACCCCAACGACCCCGAGGTGCAGACCATCGACGGCTCCTCCAACTGGCAGCCTCCCTCTGTCGAAGGCGCGCCGTCCGACGACGACACGTCGCCGATACCACCCGCTCGATCCCCCGTCGTACCCGCCCAGCCCACCCCATCCATACGGTCGCTGCACACCTCCCAACCTCCGTCGCTTCCGCAACACGACGAGGTATCCCCCCTGGAGCCTTCACCACCCGCCTCCTGCACTGGCTCCGTAGGTGGCGGCGGCTACTTCCCCCCCGTCCCGACCTTCACCGCCGAACCGCGCGACCCGAATCTGTCCACCGCGCCGGGCGATAGCGCGGGCCTCCCTCCCGCTTCACAGACATCCGCTCCGCTGAATCCGACACCGCAATATTCCCCTGCTCCTCAGGATCCAACACCGCACTACTCCCCTCCTTCGCAGCAGCCGACACCATCGCCATACGCTCCACCTCCCCAGCAGCAACCCCCATTCCAACCCCCACCCTCCCAGCACCACCAACCAGCCGCCTCCCCTCATGACTTCTACCGCCCCTCACCCACCCCCCAGGCGCCTCACCAACCACCCCAGCAACAACTACCCTTCCACCCCTCACCGCAACCGCAACCGCAACCCCATCACCCCCAACTTCCCCAACAGCACTACACGCCGCAACCCGCACCGACACCGGCACCGGCACCCCCCGCTTCATACACGCAACCCGCGCCCCCAACACCGCACCTCTCAACCCTGCGCACCGACGACGAGTCCATTGCCGACGCGCAGAAACACGCGCGCTGGGCCGTGTCGGCGATGCAGTTCGAGGACGTGGTGACGGCGGTGAAGGAGCTGCGGGTAGCGTTAAGGGCGTTGGGGGCGGAGTGAGCGGGATGAGAAGGAGGGAAGGAGCTAGGAGGCGGGTTTTTTTATATGGAAAGGCATGAGATGATGAAGGGGGTGGGGGGAGGGATAGGTGGGAGCGGTGAGGAGTTGAGGTTGGGTTGGGTTGGGTAGTGGATAGATTAGGGAGAGCCAGCTATGAATGAAGATCTGGAGCAAGGATAGTAAATAGAGAATACGATACTGTTGATGGACGGATGACCATCAAGCTACGTTCTCGATAAAGAAGCAGCACAGCATACGACACATTGTAACAATGGAAGCAAAGTCGTAAAGACAGACGAAACAATACGATTAGACACTAATTACACGAAAAACTGCCTCTCGCACTCTCTCCGTGTACGTTGCACACACCAAACCAAACCCCCTCGCTTCCCCTCCCATGAAGATTCGAAAAAATCCGCGACAAATATTGTCAACATCTCCAGAAAAAACAGCTACCGCTACCGTACCGAGTCCGTAGTATGCAAAGTGAGATCCCCGTTCGTAGGATTCATAGGCCGCCCACACATGTGGCTACAACTCTGCAAACTGACAGCTCGCCACCAAAATCATCAACGTGATTCTTCCACTCCAACATCAACCATAATTTAGAAGATGTCCACACAGCCGAAGTGCTGCTCGACGCCGAAGGTGCCGGGGTGCTTCCAGTCATCGTTGTTGAAGCTGAAGAACACCGTCCGGCTCCCGACGGCGCTCGCGATGCCCTGCAGGGCGACACGCTGCGCATCGGTACCCGGAGTCGCCACACCGTTGGCGCTGCCGCTGCTCGGCCAGCCGCACTCGAGATTGTACGCATCCTTGCCGCCGCAGGCGGCGCTGACGAGGGCCAGCTGACCGGCAACGAACGTACCCGCCAACTCCGGTGAGGTCTCGGGGTTGAAGAAGGGCTGGATGTTGGCGGCGGCAACGTCGACCGCGGGGCAGAGAGTGGCGGCGTGCAGCTGGATGATGTTAAGGGGTTCGGTAGTGGTGACGGGGCCCGAATAGCCGGCGGAAGTGAAGGCGTCCTTGCACTCGCCGATGAAGGAGGCGAGCTCGCCGGCGCTGCAGTAGCCGTTGAAGATGGCCTCGTTGCCGACGACGACGAGATCGACGAGGTCGAATTTGCCCCAAGAGACGATCTGGGTGACTTGCTCGCGCGCCTTGGAGATGCCGCCGGCGTCGATGAAAACGCCGATGATCATGCGGATGCCATTGGCGGAGCAGGCGGAGCCGACGTTTTCGAGGCCGGAGCAGTCGGTGGCGTAGAGGCGGACGGTGGTGAAGCCCTTGCCGGCGATGATGCTGATGTCTGCGTTGACCTCGTCAGAGGTCTTGCAGGCGCCGTTGGAAGAGTAGGGGGTGTAGGTGATGGCCCATTGGTCGCCATTGCTCTTGATGCCGCCTTGGGACGGGGGCGCGGAAGACGAGGGCTTGGCGGGCGTCTCGGAAGTCTGCGCGGGCGTCTCGGAAGTCTGCGCGGGAGGAGGAGCAGGAGTCTCAGAGGTCGGGGCCGGGACGGGGATGACAGAGGCAGTGTACGGGCAGACGTAGACGAAGTCGGTCTCGGTCACCGTCACGACAGTCTCGTCACGGGTATAGGTGCCCGGAGTGTAGGTAGCCGGGATGGGGTAGACCAAGACGGTGCTGACCGGCACGGATGTGGTGGTCGCGGGGATCGGAGTGTAGGTGCCGGCGGATGGGCAGACGTACACAGTGCTGCTCAGGACAGTAGTTTCGACACCGTTGGAAGTCTCGACGGCGGCATAGGGGCAAGTGACCGTAGTGGACGTCGTCACCTCGGTCGTCACACCACCATATGTGTTGTGGCCAGGCGTCAACGGGTGGGACGTCGCTTCGCAGACGGTAGTGGTGGATGTCACGACCACGGTGGTTGCGGGGAAAGTGTAGGTGCCGGGAGTCGGGCAAGTGGTGACGAATTGAGTAGGCACCGGCTCTTGCTTGGTCGACGTAGGGGGGGGAGATGGCTTAGGGGGGAGAACTATTGTACTGTCAATGTCTTTTCAGATGATTCTATAACCCGCATGTCCACTCCCTCTCCTTCGCCGAACCGGGTGCGTGGGTGACGAAAATCAATACGTACTCGTTGCGTCTCCATAGAAGTAGGTGGTGTATGTGGTGCAACCGCATGTTTCCTCGGGAGCAGCTGTATGATTTCCTCCTCGTTTATGGAACTTTGCGTGACCTTGGTGATCCGCAGCAAAGGCGCTCGCCAGCAGCGAGCCGGCGGCGACGGCGAAGAGTCCTGCCTTCATCTTGAATCCTTCCTCCGCGAGACGATGTGTTACAGCGACGGTCCTAGTGTCAAAGAACGAGAAACCGCGAAAGGAGTGGCAGCGGACGATTACTCAGTCGAGAGTTCAAACGAATGGACTTGCTGAGATATCAGCAAACGCGCAAAAAATGGCAGACGTGTACGGTCGTAAAAGAGAGTGAGTGACGATCGGACAGAAAGAGCGGAAAGAGAAGAAGAAAAGAGGAAGATCAGTTGAGAGAGAGGGTGGAGGGACGAAAGAGCGGAGTCAGTCAGCACCAGGGAAAGGAAACCGGGTCGCAGGGCGAGCGAGACCTTGGGGGGTCGGATTGGGGCATTGGGCGGCGTGGGCGATTGGCAACTTGGGCGAAGGAACAGGAGTTGGCCCAGGGATGAGGGAGGGAAGGCCAGGAACTGCCCGGCCGGATCCACCGTGAAGCCGATGAACGGGCCACGATGGAAGACGCCGTCCTGGTTGGGACACAAGGCGCTGGCCATTTGGACGAGAGGAGGAACTAAGGAGCCCAGGCGGCCAGCGAAGGGCCAGGAAGGATGTGAAATTCACCACAAGCGGCAACGCCGGGGAAGCCAAGTGAACAGGAGGAACGGACCAGCGGTAAGGAACGGTTGCAGTTGGACAAGATGGAGGAGCACGGGCGATATTGGTGAAATATCGACAGGGAGGGATCAGGGAATACTCAGGGAACAACTCAACAGGGACAGTGACATATCAACAAGAAAACGAGACGGGGATGAAGACGATGCAAGATGAAGCGGGAGAGAGCGGGGCCAATGAGAGCGTGTGAGGTGGGTTGTGCGGCGCCATGAGCATGGCGCTTGGGCCAACTCCGCCAGTCCATTATGGGGATAACGTCAGGGGCATGGAATATCTGATTGGACGCCGGAGATTGAGCTGCAACTAGGCTGCCGCTTTTAGTCAAAGTGGGCGTCCTAGCTCTGTCAAGTGTCTCTCAAGTGCCAACAACCGCCCACTGGGATTTCGGTTAGTGCCTTGGTGGGGTGTCTTCATTTAATCCATCACCGCCTCGGGCAAGCGATTAGCTCGGGCTATTAGGTCAGGCTCTCTCCACAATGAGTCGGCCCCAGCTCCCGCGAAATGGCTGCTGACTTCAGTGCTGAGTGCTGAGTGCTGGGCCGCCGAGCCGCCAGACCTGCTGGGCAGTCGCGGTGGGTGAGAAATCTATCGAACTTGATTGCGCGTGATTGGAGATTGGGTTGGTATATTAGAACAATAAGATTCCTATTGTCTTGCACCATTGGAGATGACTGCAATATCAGTCATATCAATTGGATTCCTCCACGGCAGTCGCGTCTCGGAGCCACCAGAAAAGGAAATGGTAAATACATGCTCATTAGTGCTGACTAGACCAACACCTGGACAGGTGTGATTTGACAGGTGCGAGATGACAGCTCGGTGTGAAGCTTTGGCTGGTGGCTAGTCGAGATTTGACACTTGAGAGGGGATGGGATGCTCGGTGCTCTTTTCCCCTTGGAGTTGCCGAGACGCTAATCCTGTTCCTATCCCCTTGCAGGATCAGACTAACCTAATGGGGATAGCCCCTTTTAGGTCCTTCCTTTCTCTGATTCCCCCTCTCGCTCTCAGCCTCGCGGCCGCCGATCTGTTGCGATATTAATATCAGAGATTAATATTAGAGATTAAATATTGGTGATGATCACCATGTGTCTCACTCATGATATATTGAGAGGATTGCGGAGCGCAGTGATGAAGAGGAAAGGAAGTAGAAGACGATGACGATAACTCATAATTATCGCTCGAGTTGCACTCTCAATCAGTCGACACATCGATCATGTCTTGCTCTTCAAACACCGCCTATCTGCCCAATCTAATCTCCCAATCTCCCACCCCCCAATCCGCTCGCATTACGTCCTCCCTCCTCGTCACCACCACTACACCACCGCCAAATTGACTCCCAAATTGACTCCCAATAGCGCCAACTCGCCAATCCATCCCAGCGGAAATCCTTCCATTCAATTCCCTCCTTCGGACCTTCCCCTCCGCCTGCGCCTCTCCTCACTCCTGCATCCCCGTGCCATGCTTAATCTCATAATCTTACCGTTTCGCAGATCTTGCCGCCGTTGGGTCGTGGCGCTGAGGGACTATTGAACGGCGATGGAGACGTGATCGGCGCGTGGCTGGAACGGTCTGGACACGACAATCGTGAGGAAGGGGGTTCCACCAACGGACGGAAAGGGAATCTTTAGAGACTTGACTCTCAGGATCCATGATAGATCATCTAACCCTTGGGAGAACCCAGCGTAGTCGAAGGGGTGAGCTTCATCACGTGGGCTCCGTGTCCTCGACTGTGTATGTATTTGTAGCAACACAGGGCAGGGCCAGTTAGCCTTAACTGAGTACTCAACCAAAGGTTGCCTTTAAGGCTTTAACGTACTCCACAAGCGAGCGGTCAGCCCCAACCAAACCAAACCAAACCACTTCAATTATAGATGTCTCTACAACGTCGTAATTATATGATGTTCCGATAGAAAAACTAATCTGTAGTAACGGGACGACCTAAAAGACATGTTTCAACCCGATTTCCTGGCTCACTGGTGTTGCGTGGTTAGGTTTGACTCCACGCTCGTAGTGACCACTCGCTTGTGGGGTACGTTAGATACTATATATTCCGTAATTCTATCCCCTTGACGGCCACCGCTACAGTACCGCAAGACTTGACGACATCCAGAAACTGGTTAACCTTGATTTGATTAAATAACACCAATTAAAGAAGGAGGATTCTAACACTCCGTGGTAAAGTTATGTTTCGTTAAACAAAAGGAGGGTATGTAGTTCGAGTTGCAATTGGCCAGAATCTCCGTATTCCACGGACTGTACCAGTTTCTGATTGTTGTCAGGTCTTGCGGTAGTGCTCAACTTCCTCATCCAAACCAGTTTCCACCATCAAACTCAAATTATTTGCCTACACAACGAAATCACATAGATTTTTCGGTGGGAAATTAGAGAAATTATATACTTAGGGCAACATTATGTTACGACTAAGTTTTCCTAATAATTATATGGCTGTCGAAGGGGGCAGTAGTCAGTCACATGGCTAACACTCCTGGTACGACAATACTAGCCTTTAAGCACTGCAGCCATCAAGGGGATACTTCACAACGTATCTCCACACTCGTGATCTATAGACGGTTATATCTATAGATATTGGACGGTCGTTTGAATGGAATAATATTAATGTAATATTATTATTATTCGTCTTATCTTTCCTCCTTCCCTTTTTCCTATGTGAAGACTCCAATCACTACAAATCAAGCTCACTAAATTAACCGGAATGGCAATGGATCAGTACACTGAGCTATGTAGGCACATACTTGAGAGACAGCTAGATTCTAATTGACTATGTCGCTTGTCTTGACGTAAAAGAACATATATTTACATAATATGAGACTAGGAGAGGTAAGGACAGTAAAGGCCTAACAAGACCACTGACAACATCTCGTCAAATCGCCCTCCCATTCAACGACGAGCACTCATATTTTACTATGAAGAGTCTCATAAGCTCGATTAATGTAAGAGTGGGTTAGGAGCAGAAATACTTACCAGACCTCCCTCGTTACGCCGCATAAGAAGCAGCTGCATGCATAACCCTCCCACCCAGATCCAAACACTTCCCAATCTTAAAGTTGTTGCCCCCCCCATCCGCCCACCAGTTATCAATGGTAGACGCGAGGTTGCCACAGTCACCGGGTGAAAAGATGTAGGCCCTCTGCCTGCCATTGCCATAAGCCTTGGGCTGAATCGCAGAGTATCCCGGGTCCAACTTGGGCGCGCGCGAGTTGTCGTAGACATTCAGCTCACGAGAGTTGCCGCTGCAGTCGGAGTTTTGCCACAGGGTGATTACGTAGGCTGAGCCTGGGTTGGCTAGGCTGAGAACGGCGCCGAGGATGGCAATGGTGTTGGGAGTGTAATGCGCATTTTGGAGTGGAGCGGCTGAAGGGTTTAGGATAGTGTAGCTTGAGGTTTCGAGAAGTACGTTTGTGAGTGATAAGTTTGGCTGCAATTATTGGAACCAAATATGAAGTGTTTGAGTGTTTGATGGAGTTGTTGAGAGCAGATAGACAAGCACTTTATATACACTTCAATGTTGCGTGCCTGTGCAGTGTCCGCTGTATCTCACATACGCTCCCACTTGGTCCTCCTATGATTATACACTTTCTTGCCACAAGGTCTGCCGTATTTGAGAATCGGGACTTTACATCTTCTGGTACCGTATATTTCGTATTCTATAGAAGAGTGAGGATGAATCTGACGAGAATTAGTCTGTGATCTTCATATATCCAATTGGTCGAAATCCTCTTGTCCGGTGATCTTGACTAAGAGTCCTGATTCTTAAATGCCGTCAGACTTTGGGGTAGTCAGTGTGGTCCTGGACTTGTTGATTTCTCTAGGTAACGATCGGCTGGACTGGTGCTGTGGTTGTATATAAGTTTTATCCGTCCCTTGTCCTAGATATATAACTGGCTTCTTCTAGCACAGTTCAGAAAGTTATCTTTACACGATTATTTGACCCATTGAACCACTACGATGTAAGCTTAGAAGCGTATTCCGCATTCCAGAGGATAGACACGTCAGTTTGCATTCTGGTTGGTGCAAGAAATCAGCTACACTAACTACAGTATAAATACCTGTCGACCAGTATCAGCTCGTTGCAGATGAAAAAACCGATTGACTGGTTTGGGTAGGTGGAGGTGTTAATCACGTATCGCACATCCTGCATAGCAGTAACACCGATTAGAAAGGGATCGGCTCTCAGATATCTTTAGCACTTTGGATCTTTGCTTAGACGTCCTGACATTATATAGCAACTATGTAGTGGTCCTTGTGGGCCCTAGGAGACCGGCTGCGGTGCAGTGACATACCGAACATTGAAACAACGGGAATCGGTAGATCTTTCCTTGGATAACTTCCCTGTCTCGACCGATCCGTTGCGACCGTAGGCGGTGACCGATTGGGTTGTTCCTTTGTTGCATGATTCCTGTATCAGGTCTCGGAGACTTGTGACTGGTGATGAAGCTGCCAGCGCAGATTGAAAAGCCTCCACTTGCAATGGACGGGAAAGTCCACTTACAAGGGACGGAAAAGTCTACACTGACAAGGGACGGAAAAGTCTACACTTGTAATGGATGGAAAAGTCTACACTTGTAAGGGATGGAAAAGTCTACACTTGTAAGGGATGGATGCAAATGGGAAGACGGATACGGCAGAAGGGCTCGCTGTCTTTTGTCTTGTAGACGTGAGTAGTCTCCGCCTATTATCCATTCGACATGGCCTCAAACCAGTGCATAGCGATGAAGTCCTCTCTTGATATGCCCAAGGAATATCAAATGTCCAATTCATAAGGTAGTAAAGTCATTAGCTCTCTCCAGGTAGCCGGCTTGCTTCAGAAGTTGAGGTTCAATGTTAGTCTCTGAGGATCAAGTGTCAACTGCCAACATCACATCCACAATCCGAAACAATCCTCCAACGTCTTGCACTCATCAACCGGACCTCCACCTTACTTCCCTTCGTTCCCCCTACCCTCCACCCTCATCCACCCATTCGCCTTCCCCTTCCCCTCCTCCTCCTCCTCTCCCCTCTCCACCCCCGTCGTCCCAACCACCAACCCCTCCCCCCCAACCCCCTCCTCCATCATCTCCTCCACCCACTTTCCATCCAACACCTCCCACTCCGCCCCCTTGATCCGCTCCACCAAACACCCCCGCACCTTATCAATATACGCGCTCGGCAACCGGTGCGTCCACCCCTGCATGTACGTCGTCGGCGTCGCCCCCCCGAAGAACGCTAGCGCCGTGCCGTGACTATACGTGCCGAACGAGGGCGTGTACGCGGCGTCGGGCGTGGTGGTAGGGCTGCTCGCGCCGTTCTCTCGGCCCGCAGACGGGAGCTCGGTCCCCTGACGACCCACCGGCATCGCGGATGGCGGTGGTGTTTGCGACGTCGACCGCGGCGGCAACGACACCGGCGCGCGTCCCGCGGTATCCGCGCGCGTCCCGACGACCAACAACTGATACAGATTGCGCCCGACGTTGCTGATCTCATCCCAGCGGTCGACGAAGCCGACCCCCTCGGCGCGGCACAGCCACGCAACATCCCATGCCAGCAGGGCGGCGCCCTCGACGAAGTTCTTGAACGCGGACGGGTCGGACTTGTGGAGCTCGGGGAGGGATTTGTCGAGGAAGAGAAGGCGGGGGACGGGGGTGTCGCGGGGGGTTTTGGCAGCGGTGGTGGTGGAGGCGGAGGGGGAGGTGGTGGGGATAGTGCCGGGGAAGGGGATGACGGTGGCGCGGTAGGAGGAGTTGGGGTGGAGGATGGTGGGAAGGGGGTAGTCGCGGTGGGGGAGGGTAATTTCGGCGGGGAGGCGGAGGCCGAGGTAGTGGGAGGCGCGGACGGTGAGGTAGGCGAGGTGGGTGAGGGAGGCGGTGAGGCGGTGGGGGTCGGCAGCTGGGGGAGATTAGTTGAGTACTTTCTCGGAAGATGTAGAGAGTCAATAGAAGAAAATTTAGGTCATACCGGTCATATCTCGCAAATCCCACACCTTCATCCCTCCCACCGTCCACTCCTCCCTCACCGCCCCATCCCTCCCCCGCCTTCTCTTCCGCCTCAACCCCGCCAACTCCCCCAACTCCCGACACAGCACCCGTCTCGCCCCTACCGCCGCCCTCATCACGGCCGTCCCCTTCACCTCCCCCCGCCCTCCCCCCCGCCTCCCTTCCTCCACCGCCCCATCCTCCCTCTTCCCCAACCCATGTCGCGCGCTCTCCCCATCCCCCCGCCGCCGTCGCAACCCCTCCCGCCGCCGGTCCACCTCCCGACGCATCCCCTCCACCTCCCGCTTTAGCCCGTCCGCCCGCCGCCGCGCCTCCCCCGCCCGCTCGTCCGCCTCCCGGATCTCCACTCGCAACCGCCGATACCCCTCCGCGCGCGCAGCCTCGTTCATGTCGATGAACCCGGCTCCCCCACCCCCTCCTCCGCCGGCACCGTCACCTAGGACGCTAACGTTCCCGCTCAGCGCGAGGTTGAGGTTCCCCGGTGCAAGGTCCGTGGCGGACTGTGAGGTGTGCGGGGCGAGCACGGCGTCGATGCGGGTGCGTAGGGCGTCGTTGGAGAGGAGGATGCTGGCGAGGGAGAGGCGATGGGGGTGGAGGGCGGAGGCGACGCAAGTAGGGCAGTGGTAGGGGCGGGGGGAGGAGGTGGAGGGGTCGTGGTGGCAGAGTTGGCAGGGCATCGTGATCGTTGAGAGAGGTTGTGAGTGGTGTTGCTATGGTGTTGAGAGTGTGGTGAGGTGTGGGTGGTCGAGTAAGGTCGAGGTCGTAACTCGAGGTTGGATAGATACCGGCTGAAGGGCGGTGAGACCATGGAACCTTTGAGAGATGGCTTCAAATGAGGGGATAAATAGGAAGATCGAGGTTATAAGTGAGAGAGAGGAACATGTTGGCAGCGTAGGGTTAGTCGTAGGAATACTGTGGTGATGGGTGTTGAGAGTCCCATGTATTCTGTCGTATTATAGTCACCCACATACACAGACGTCAAGGCACCGAGCGACTTGCTTGCGTATTGGAGTGATGAGTTGCAGTCGGAGTTAATGAGATGGCGTAGGTGTTAATGCCGAAGGAACTTAACGGGCGGCTAAGTCCCTCTTAACCTCCGAACAATAACGAATCCCAATAAGGTACCAACACGCACAATACCATCATCCGTATACTGTCACTCAAGCCGGTAACATTGTACAAATCTTCACCGTTACACCACAAACACACCCACGAACACATCTCGAACACCCCTCCCTCTTCCTCCTCATGATTCCTTTATAAAAATCCTCTGGCCGCCTCCGAATTCCTCATCGTCTCGCCATCCCCCGCACCCCCCTCCCCCACCCTGATCCGGTACAGATTGGAAAGAGAGCAACCAATATGGCTTCCTCGAGCTCTTCGTTGGCAACGGCCGGCTTGCTGCAGCGCCAGTTGAAGCAGATGCAAGAGGATAAGGACATTCCCGGCATCAGCTGTGGTCTGGTAGACGATAACGTCTTTGACTGGGAGGTCATGCTGATGATCAATGAGGACTGCAAGCACTATGGCGGTATGTATCCTCTTGACAACCTAGGCGGTGTTGCCATGTGCCTTATAAACAGCAGTTGGATCGGTACTTGGTGCAAGAATAAGTTGCTAACCGTTGTCTATTACTACCATCGCAGGCGGTTTCTTCCGAGCTCGCCTCTCATTCCCGAGAGAATATCCCCTAATGCCACCGAAGATGAAGTTCGAAACCCCCATCTGGCACCCCAACAGTATGTCGTTCACCCCACCCCCCTCTTTCGTCCCCCCCTTCCCGCATACCTCTCTATTACTCACCACCACCAGTTTACCCCAATGGTGAAGTCTGCATCTCCATCCTCCACCCCCCAGAAGAAGACAAATACGGCTACGAATCCGCCGCCGAGCGCTGGAGCCCTGTCCAGACCCCGGAGACCATCCTGCTGTCCGTCATCAGCATGCTGTCCAGCCCCAACGACGAGAGCCCCGCCAACGTCGAGGCCGCTCGCATGTGGCGCGACGATCCGCCCGAGTTCAAAAAGCGCGTGCGGAAGTGCGTGCGGGATAGTCAGGAGAGCTTTTGATGGGCCGATGACGATCAGTGCTCCAAGATGGTCGTGCTGGAGTGATGGTGAGAGGTTTTTGCTATGCATTTCTGCGTTGCCGCTCCGTCAATATTATCGGAGAACTAAGGCGATTAGGTAATTGGATCGGAAGGTGGTGATCCGCACCAAGCGAATGGGTCTGGAATTGCAATGACGGCGCTAGGTCTACCTCTCGTATACATATCTTACTTATGCAGTCGAACGAGTCACGCCGAATACAATCGAATACGAATGATATATGGATTACCGTACCTTACATGTCTGTATCCGCTGCTCTAGAACTAGATTCGACACGCCCAACACCTGTTCGTCAATAGGCCAGAAAGCTCCCAAACCGCCTACTAATCACTTAGGTTTATGATCATACCCTGAATCAGTCGTTGAATCCCCATATTGATATCTGAGTCCCTGTCACTCCTAAAATCCGCCATCATACCGATTCCTCCCAATAACCGCCGCATCTGCTGGTCTTTCTTCAAGTTATTATACGACTGAATCCCGAAAAGCATATCTACGATTATTCAATCGACTCATAAAAACGAGAAAACGCACCAAAGCACTGTGAACTTTGGCTATAGAACCCTTGTGAGAGATGAAGAGAAGAATACACTGCAGAACCCCTTAAACGCCTTCACAGGTCTTGCGGCTCTGACTTCCGGCTCTTCTTCTCCGCACAGGAAGTCCCCTTTCCTTTGACCTTGAGTACTGCGAAGCGTTTATCCGACTTTTCACGAGTTATGACTGGGTAGTTGGAGTGGGTTATGGGAACTGGCGACAAATGTGGATGAATACGAAGAGCACTTTGAATGGCAAGGCAGGTGTGGGGTTAGGTCCGGTGCTCAGTTGCTTACGTGACACAGTTTGAGAACCCTTACCACAGAAGATTAGGTACCTAGCCACGAAGTGGACTATTCCCGTTTGATAAGAATCTCAATTGGGTGGTCACTCGTCGATAATAATCTTGTGCCACCGAAGGCTTGTCAAAGCGTAATCAGAACTCCACGTTTCCATTTCAAAGAACCCTTCTAACCACAACCCCCTCTACTGATCAATCGCAAACCGATCCAAGAACTTAAACGTCCGCAACCCCTCCTTGAACGCCTCCGTAATGTTCCCAGCCGCAGTATACACCCCCGGCCCGCTTACGATCCCCGCCGCCTTCCCCACACTACTCGTCCGACCAAGCAGCGCCACCGGCTTTCCGTACCGATACGCATCAACGACGATCTGCACCGGCCGACCGGCCGGGAAGAGCGTCGACCCGGTTGAGTTGGAGAACACCTTCGCCGCGCCTTCGGTGACGATGACGCCGTCGAACGCCGTCGCGTCCGCCCCGGAGTAGGTCACGTCGACGCCGGCCTGAAGCGACTCCGCGACGACCACGACGTCCACGCCGGAGGAGGCGAAGCTGGTGCTGAAATCTGGGTCGGAGCCGACACTCGAGGTGCTGGTGAGGACGCCGACTTTCAGGCCGTCGAGCTTGCGCAGGGGGGTGCCGACCGTCCCGATGTCGGTCGTCTTGTTGTCGTGGTAGTAGGTCGGATCGGGGGCGGGCGCCTCCATTCCGAGGGCCTTGGCGACGCGCTGGGCAACTTCGTGGCTGGCGCGGTTCAGCTGGATCAGGACGTTTTCCTTGACGATCTGGCTCTTGAGCATACTGGTCTCGAATCGGATGCCGTTGATGAGGAATTGCTGCTCCGCGGGGACGAGCGAGTTGAAGAAGAGGCGCGGCTGGGACCAGACGTCGGCGAAGGTGGAAGAGACGGAGCGGACGAGGCGGCCGGTGGTGGTGCGGCCAGGGGCGGTGAAGAATCCGCGGCCTTGCTGTTGGTTGGCTTGCTTCGGGGAGCCGCCGTTGAGCGTGTTGGGACTGTAGGCGGCGGTGTTCAGAGGGAGGAACATTTGTGCTATGATCGGTCAGATGGGAACCAGAATGATATCCGGCAAAACGAACCTTGACCGTCCCTGTTGTTATTATGAATCGGGACTCGTGGTCGGTTGATCGGGAGCTGCTCGAAGTTCGGACCACCGTGTCGGTTGAGCTGCGTATCGAGATAGGAGAAGATTCGTCCCTGCAGAAGCGGATCGTCGGTAAAGTCCACACCACGGACAATATGCCCAGGTTGGAACATGATCTGCTCGGTTTCCGCGAAGTAGTTGGTCGGATTCTTGTTCAACGTCAATTTTCCTAGCGGGGTCACTGGAACTAGGTCTTCCGGAACCAGCTTCGAGGAATCCAAAAGATCGAAGCCGAATCGAAGCTCGTCCTCTTCTTCCATGATTTGGACACCGAACTACAATTGTCAGCATGGATACTCCTGAAGGATACTCAATACGAGCCACTCACCTCCCATTCTGGATACCGTTCCGCTTCGATCGCCTCCCACAGGTCTTGGCGATGGTAATCCGGGTTCTTGCCCGCAATCGCCTGCGCTTCCTCCCACAAAAGACTCGCTTTACCCTGGAGGGTCTTCCAGTGGAACTTGACCAGCTTCGTCTTGCCGTCGTCGGTGACGAAACGGAACGTGTGTACGCCGAATCCGTCCATGTGCCGGAACGATCTCACGATGCCATGCCCGGACATGGCCCAGAACAGCGTGTGCATGGCGCTCGGCTGCTGGCTGAAGAAATCCCACGCGGTGTCGTGCGCGGTGGCCGCCTGGGGGATCTCGCGGTCAGGCTCGGGCTTGACCGCATGGATGAGGTCGGGGAATTTGATCGCATCTTGGATAAAGAAGATGGGGATGTTGTTTCCGACGATGTCTAGAGGAGTCAGTGGGATATGGAAGCTATGGGATATTCGGTCCTACCGAAGTTGCCTTCGTCGGTGTACAGTCTCACCGCGAAGCCATGGACGTCACGCGCGGTGTCAGCGCTCCCTCTGCTTCCAGCAACGGTGGAAAATCGAACGAAAGCCGGCGTCTTCTTTCCCTTGGCTGAGAGGAACGAAGAGGCGGTAATATTGGAGTAATCACCGTAGGATTCAAATACCCCATGTGCACCTAAAAGAATGTGAGTAATGCAATTTTTATTTTACCCTCATCAACGTACCAGCTCCTCTGGCGTGCACCGCTCGTTCTGGAACCCTGGTCGATTATCAGTGGGTGGCGCACTTAAGCTTGTTTTGGCTCGTATTCCACCATACCTCTCATGATCGAAATGCTGGATTTTCTGGCGGAATATAAAATCCTCCAAAAGAGTCGGTCCTCTTTCGCCGGCGCTCAAACTTTCTTGATCCTCGATGGGCCCGCCAGCATCGCTTGTGAGATATACATCCGTATCATTGAGTTCGAACTGGCCCATAAAATCTGTTGTATCGGTAGGAATATCTCGGGCTTGTAGATGGTGGTCTGCTGGAGCGTCCCGAATATCCATCTCACCACCCATGTATGGACATGCTGCTAGAACAGCAGTGGCGTACGCGACACCCGCAATGCTGAGTGTAACGCGCATTCTGGGACGTGAATAGAAGGAACAATGTCAAGGAAAGCCACCACCTGAGATCTCCACGGGGGCCTGACGTTTATATGGAGGAAAGTACCTGTGGACTGGATGCGAACTAAACGAATAACGATGTATTATTGGTAGACTAGGTCCCATGTACAACTGCATTGAAATCAACGTTACTCACTATCCCGGAATCAGGTTGGCACAATTCAGGTATCTGCCGATACGTCGGGTATGCCTGTCTACCAAGTGGGACAGGAAAGTACTCAAGTGAGGTGAATTCCATGGCAGTGGGAACTGTGTGACCGGTGACAGACCAAAGTGACAGTAGCGTTTGTCATCGTTCATATCTAGACCATTGTATCGATGCCAATCCCTTGGTTCGGTACTGAAGCCATTAGCTGTACAACGGCATCGGCGCCGAGCACAGAAATCGAATGATCCTTCGAATCTCCGACGCTCGTCTTCTATGATCAGCGATATGCGGGGATTGTGCACAGCGCGAATGACGCGACGGTCAAGAGCGACTTCAAGGTCGTCAATTGCAGGGCAAAACGGCTCCACGCATCTTGGGCGCTAAAATGAATGTGACGTATAATAATGACCAGGGGGTGGACTCGAGGCCAATGGCCAAGGCGAATTGAAAACACCTCAAATAAACTTGTTGTTTAACGTGCTACCTAACACTCGGAAGCAATAATATTGGCACGTCTTGCATCTGGAACAAGGATGTAGGGATTAGGGATGTTGAGGTTGAAGCTGTTGAGCATGCACATGTACCGAACATATCACCACCATATACTCGAGCCAATAAGGCTCATGCCAATCGTCAGCTTCAATTGCCGGCGTTACTAGCATTGTATCGATGGACTTACTATAAATCGAGCTAAGGACGTTGGAAATTAACGATGACTTGGGTGCCCTAGCTCGTGTCTGAGATTGTATATAAGAATTGAACTACCTTTCCCGTCAAAGAGATCGACAAAGGCGACTGAGAGTGCAACTTCTGAGCTCGGACTGGGCCGAGTTGCGATGTTTCCCCACCTGATCTCGGCAACATGTGCGGCAGGGCCTGAAGTCTTAGAAGAGGAAGTGGAGAGTTGGAATATCGGAATATTGGGATATACCAAGACGCCAGCATAATGACGGAATTCCCATGATCGAATCAATACCCTGTCAATACGGAGGGGCAATGGGATTCGAGCAGTGATATCTGTAAGCGACCGTGATGACAAGACCTACGCTGCAGACTGGGGACTTGGAGATAGGCGAGAGATTACTGAGAGTGAGGTGATATCCGAGCGGTTGGGTTCGCGATGGCCTGAGACAACGGAATTTCACAAGGATCTAGGGGAGGTCGAGGAGTGGATGATGTCTCGTCGACAATTTGGTGACCAAGCAGTCGGACTCTGTCGGAGGCTTGGACGGATGGACTAACCCAGTGGAGTGGAGGAAATGTGGTCTAGAGTTCCAGATGAGCTAAGCATAAGATTCGGGATAGAATCCGAGTTTCCGATGAATAATTGAGGATAGGATAAAAAAATGAGAACTAACTAAAGGACGTTAATTGTTAGTATTCCCTAAATCTAGCGTTGAAGGGAATCTTGAAGCTGAGATGAAATCACATTGGATGCCACAGCCCACAACACGTGTGTCGATAGTCCACTTCCAGAGTGATGAGAGTGTTCGCAGATGGGACTGCCTCCATAATCCATTCCAGGACTTTCAGTTATCCTATATCTAATAATGTTTGCAATCCAATGTTGAACGTTTCGTCGGATCACCATCTGGCTGCTGCCTGCCACAGCCTCACCAGCCTATGCTTCCTCGTAATCTTAATCCGATCCTTCATGTAGCCTGTAGGACGCGTCAACATCGTAACAAAGTCTGTCGCTGCTCAGAAATACGCTCCTGTATGTTTGTCTGTGTAATTTTAATGTGCTATCAACTTTGTCGAACGTCATCAGAAACCTTTGCGTTGCAATCTGCTTACATCGTGCTTGATCATGCGTGTGGAGTGGCGTTGGATAGCCCCACTGGCGGTTGCACTTCCAGCCTGCTTTGCTGCAGTAAAGATTCCGCTTGGCTCGGAACTTCGGAGGGTGTCTGGTCCTACCAACAATCGTAAAGCCCCTCAGTTTGGAGAAGAGATTTCTTGGGAACCCGTAGAGGGAGGTACGCACCAGCTGGCTCTAGGAATCGACTCCGAACATGAGCATCGTCAACTACTCAACGTACGGCTCAGAGAAGGTGTCTCGCACGCCATGCACTGACAAGGCATACAGGATGTGACATACGTTCTCTATGGCTTCAACTTGTCCATTTGAGACCCCCCGCAGTCAGTCATGATCGCCCTCTCCATCGAATCAAACCATTTGATGATCCAATCCGCCAACTGTCCCGACAAGCTGTGTTCATATGGACGGAATGGTCTCAACTCCACCTTGTCAACGAGCTTCAAACCAACCACTAAAACCTTCCAGATTTTCGGATGGGTACTGTGGAATGGGATCCACGCGAAAGAGACGATTAGCATTGCCGATCTCACGCTCCCGGACGTCCCGTTCCTCTTTGCGGAACGGATCCGTTACCTGGAATATGTTGGGTGGTATTTTGGCTACAGCGGAGTGCTTGGACTGGCACCGAACTCCCCCCGTGGACAATGCTCAAAGAGAGCGGGTTGATTGACAAGGCGGTCATCGGGCTCAAGTTCCCCTCTGGTCCATTGGACTTTGATACCGTCAACCAGCGAGATGATGGCGAGTTGACGTTGGGGAGCATCTCCCCCAATTTGCCGACGGGCCGTTCATTGATCTTTCCCTGGCTGGCGGCAATCAAGCAATGGCATGGGCCACGCCTCTCAGCTCGTTGACATATGAGAATAGGACCTACGAATGGCACGAGGCGATGCCTTCTTCCAGTATCGCCGTCCTGGCGAGCGCAGATCCATTCATCTCCCTGCCACCTGAGTTGCGTGGCCTGCTCTTCGCGCAAATTTACCATAATATTACTGGAATGGTAGGCGGACAACCGGAGTTTCCGTGCGAGATGCGCCTTGACATGGCAGACGTCACGCTTGAACTCGGCGAAGGCGACATGGCGCACAATCTCACGCTCTCGCCGTATGATTATACGTTCAAGGTGTATAGGTCCTCAGAAGATATTGAGGTCTGTGTCTTTGGCGTGTTGAGGAGCCACGCCAGCCAGGTTGCTTTGGGATGGCCGTTCCTACGACGATTCTATACCATCCTTGATTGGGATGAAAGGAGAATTCGATGTGAGTGTGCTCCAACCGAGTTCGACCATGTTGTCTAACGGTTTTAGTCGTACCCAAGTCGGATCCAGAATAGGGACTGCCTGGGGTCCTGTTATTCCTCGTCTTCAAGATTCGTTTGCTTTTAATTGAAAAAATCTTCGAGGTTGGATTCTATCAAAGAAACCATCGTGTATACTGCCTGTCCGTGTGATGATGATTGCAAAGGCGGCCAGGCAACAGCATAATTTTTTGAAAAACAACCTCCAACAAAGGAGGGGTTGAAAGACTGCCAGGGGATACTGATCTAGCCGGCTACTTGCCTAATATCAACCGAATATGCATTGTTGGCGGAGACGAAATCTGGTATGTCATAGTCGTAGTGATACCATCGTGATTGGTTCTAGGAGAGCTTCGAGCTAATAATATATATGCATGCAAGCATAGATGAAGAGGGGATGATTGACTTCCTTGCCCGGAGGTTGCATCTAAATCACCGAGTGGTGAGTGTATTTAAACGCAATGGCACTCTCTTCTAGCCTCGTTGCTCAATTGATCCAAGTTGTCTTAGTATCTGTCTGTACAACTGCATAACCACTCACCATGGCTCAGGAGATCAACCTCCCTGACTTCGACTCCTTACCCAAGGTCGAGGGAATGCCCCAAGGCTGCGCCTGGGGTATTTTCGATAAGGATGGTGAGAAGGACGTATTCGGAACCCTAAATCTGCTCACGCCGAGTGTCGTGAAAGCTGCGGCTGCAGAGGTCCAGGACGGCGTAACGATATCCCTCAAGTACGGCGCCGAATCCATCGACCGTGGCAGAGTACGCTGACCATCTCACGATAGCTGGGGCATCGACAGTTTCAAGTCGCCGATAATCGGACGAAAGCTGCTCAGTCACAAGGTTCTATGCTCCAAGGACAAACCCAATTGGAAGTGGATCTCCTTCGACGATGAAATCGAATTCAACACCCAGTGTAGCAGCCAATGGGATAGCTTGTGTACGTACACTCCGACATACAATATCGATAGAAATTAAATAGTCCGTAGGCCACTTCGCGCACCAGCCCACTGGTCTCTTCTACAACGGAGCTCAACCGAGTGCTGATGATCTCAGCGACCCCGAGAAAGCGTTGCAATTCCCAACCCTGAACCGTAAGACACCCAGTCCGTCTCATCCTCAATACCTGACCTAGTGGTAGGCTGGCACACTCGTGGCGGCGTCGTCGGTCGCGGCGTTCTCATCGACTACAAAGCCTACGCCGACGCCAACAACATTTCCTATTCCCCCTTCGAAAGCCACGCCATCCCCATCTCCACCATCCAATCCATCGCCGAATCCCAAGGAACGACCTTCCACCCCGGCGACATCCTGCTCGTCCGTAGTGGCTTGACGGAAGCCATGGAGGGGCTGGATGCCGATCAGCAGACCGCGGCGATGACAAATCCGACGAACGGCGGGTGCGTGGGCGTCGAGGGCACCGTGGAGGCGGCGAAGTGGTTCTGGAACCAGCACTTCGCGGCCGTCGCGGGCGATATGACCGCATTTGAGGTGGTGGACGGGGCGAAGTTGTTTTCAGGCCTGGATCCGGCGGAGGCGTTAGGTGAGCCATGGCAATGCAATGTAGAAGCGAGCCTACTAACGGTTCCAACAGTGCTTCATCAGTACTTCCTTGGGATGTTTGGAATGCCCATTGGGGAGCTTTGGGATTTGAAGGCGCTATCGAAAGCTTGTGCGGAACGGAAGAAATGGACGTTTTTGCTCACTTCCGTTCCTCTCAACTACTCCGGTGCGGTTGGGTCTCCGCCAAATGCGCTGGCGATCTTCTAGGTACTTATGGAAGCTCGTATAATGGAGAATGGTGAAGCATTGGTTTCCCGTCGCGTTATGTTCGCAGCAGTGAAGAAATCGAGATCAAATCTGGTCCAGTAATAGTCGGATTTTCCGCTTGACGGTAACTATCAAGTGGTCAATATCGCCCAGACTGGGACCGTTCCAAATTATCCACAGAAAGTATACAACGAAGTAGATTATGCTGTAGTAGCCAACGCCAACCCGTGCTATACCCGTTTTTGATGCCCCTCATTCACTGGTCATCCACTCCCGCCCTACCTCCGAAACGCTGCCGTCACCTCATCCACCTTCCAGAACTGTTCCTCCATATCCCCTTCGTACACATCTCTCCGCACCTTCTCAACCCGCTCCACCGTGTCCACATATCTGCCTAAGCACGCCTTGAGCACCTTGTCAACCAGCGGCCGACTCAGTCCAGGCTCATCCGCATCGCCGAAATGCTTCTCGACCCGCTTTTTCAGCACGTCGACACCACGGCGGAGTTCTTTGTTATCGTACGCAGCGAGGAGCTTCCGGAAAACGTGTTGGGAGTGGGAGGAGCGGGTGGCGATGGAAGTGGGAGGTGTGGAGAGAGTGGAGAGGAGGGATTCAGTGGATTCAAGGAAATCCTGGGAATGGTTAGAGTTCGATGAGTTGCGTCAACGGTGTTTCAGTGACTTACCAAAACCTTCCCGAGCGGCCGCCGAATCACAGCATCCAGATATAAGGTAAGATGCTCTTCCATCTCCCGTTCCGCTCGTTCGCCCCATTCGGAGAGGACCGCGCTGCGCTTGACGTCGACTTCCTCGACGTAGTGATTCATGTTCTCGATCAGCAGGATGTGGTAATTGAGCGCCTCTTTGTCTTCCGGGTCACCTATGCCTTGGTTGTGGACGCCTTGACCGACCGCCGCTCCGGGACTTTCCTTGGCGATGATGCGCAAGCTGTCGAACATGGCCTTGTTCAACTTCTGGTACGCTTCGTCGACCATAGTCCGCGCATCGAGTCGTTCACGATCGTCGTACGAGGGGAGCATGTTCTCAATAGCGGAGGAGAACACGGGGAAGATCTTGATGAACGCGATGACGCCCTTTCGCTTCTTGATCTTGACCTTCGTGTCTTCGATGGCGCGGATCTGATCCTCCACGAATTTCGCGAACTGCCCGGTTAACTTGTCGTGGTTCTTCTGCAGCGTCTTGATCAAGAAGTCCTGGTTCGTCTCCTCCAGCTCCAGCATCTTCCGTTCAATGGCGCAGAGAACGCCGATACCTTGCAGCGGATCTTGACTTACCGCCCAGTCCACTAGCCGCTGCAGGTCATTCGGCCAGAACGAGAATATCTCTTCCATAACAATCGTTACCCTCTTTGCCATCGCTCGGTCGGGTTCGAAAACTTTGCGTGAATGGAGGTTCGTCCCTCTCCGCTCGTCTGGTGGCGCCACAGCAATTGCTTCGGCGTAATCCAGCCTCTCCGACGACGATGCGTGAAAGAAGTCGACCACGAAGTTTTGCTCCGTGAATACCAGTGGAGCGACTTGATCGAGGAAGCCGGCGAAACTTTCGAACGCATGCAAACTGCCCGATTGTGATCGTTCCGTGGGTGATTGCTTTTCTCCTCCCCCAGCGCGCAGAGTCCGCGCCAGAGTTTGACTACGCTTGACAGTGAGTTTCCGTGCAGTACTCGAGAGGCCCTCGTTTTCTTTCTCCTGCGAAGTGAAAAGTAGGTCGGCCTCGTCTCCAGTTGGCTTTCTGGTCGACTTTTTCCACGCCTCGAGATTCTCGCGGCATTCGTCGTGGTAGGTCTTGCGTGCACGCGTGTGGTACACGCGCAGTAGCCCTTCCCATGATGTGTAATCAATTTCCTTGACGAAAAGCATCAGCGGGCTATATTTCCAAAGATCAGTCCGCCCAACATCGTGGAGGGCCGGGTCAAGGCGTGTTGCGTTTTTGTATCCTTTCGCAGTGTTGATCGCGTCCTCGGTTGCCATGAGTGCAGCGCCAAAAGTGATGTCCATGTGCTGCTTCAGTCGCGCAATGAACAGGGTACATTGGCTTAAATAGGTGTCTTTGCGCTCCATCAGAGCACGCATATTAGACAGCTCATCACGGCCTGATCCAAGGCCGTTGCCTTCTGAACCGCTTCGTAAGCTTGGGTCGATCGTGATCATGGCCTTATAGAGTAGGGCAAGTGCATTCTCGATCTCCATGAGACTCTCGGGATTCTTGATGGAGCCACTCTTGAGCGATTTGAGATGTTGCGTATCGACGGAGATGGTCGCTAGGAGATTTTGCAGCTCGCCTTGAAGCAACTTCTGGTTGGCGGTTTGCACTTGAAGACCTTGGGATTGGGCTTCAATGTATGCAATATCCTCGTTCAAGCTCTGGAATATATGTTAGTATAGTCGAAGAACAATATTGTCGAACCACTTACACTCAGCTCAACACCATACAGTGTCAACAAGCCCTCGAATTCGTCGCACTCGGCCAGTGCACGATCGAACAAGGTTTCAACTACATCAACCCGATCTCGATTCGACTCAAAGTCTCCAAGCAAGCTTCCTGCTTCAAGTCGTCCAAGCGCTCGCCGTACGTCGACTTCGAAAACCTCAATCTTGGGACGTTGAAACATGCTCGTGCCCCATCCAAAATCGTCCAGCGCCGTTTCAAAATCGATGCCCCTTCCTTCGAAAATCGATGCATCGACTCCAAGCTTTGAGAGGCATTTCGTCTGATATTGCGAGCGCCGCCGCTGCTTTCGCGCCGCTTCAATCTCCACAACGTTCGCGTTTAGCTTCTCAGCATTGCGTTTTGATAGTGAGCTCTCTGCATTCTGATCAACGATGGCTTGGCGGCGGGACATGGGGCTGGAGACGGTCAGCTGAGGGACACTGTCCGTTGGCACAGCCGCCTTGGTAGAGAGATCTCCGCTAGGCTTCCTAGCTGCTTTGGGTGAAACAGATTCGTCGTTCTGCTTGGGTTTCGGTGGCGCGGGAACAACAGCATTAATGCCATCTGGCTCATTCGATTTGCTCTGGGCCGCTTTAAGTTTGTCCAGTGCTCCACCTGCTCTAGGCTTGAATGCCCCATATGTAGTGGCAGCTTTCCTAAAGGCGTTGGCAACATCTTTGCCGGACTTTTTCTTGACCATCTGCCCTAGCCCAGGGCGCTCTTCTTGGTCGGAGGGGGGCGAAACGACAGGTTTAGGTTCCGGTGAAATGACGGGTTTCGGAGACACCACCTTCTCTGGAGAGGGTCCCTTGTTTTGCGAGCTGTCCTGAGACTTCGTTTCTTCGAGGGATGGTTCACTTCGCGCAGATTCACCCAGGGAGGGATCGGAGCTACCAGGTGGTTTCTCCATCTGGCCCTTCAAAAGCTTGCTATCAGAACTGGACGCAGGAAGCTGTATGCCTTGTCTGCGATTCGAACTGAAAAGTGGCGCAGGAGACTCCGCAACGCGCTCATCTGGAGCGATTGAACGGGTTTCGCTACCCTCGCGGTTTCGTAAAGGCGGTCGTTTGCGTTCTGGAGGCTCGTCTCGGAAGGGTTCTCGGAACGGTTTGTCCATTGTTGAGGCCGTCGACGGTCTCGATCCGGTTCGATCACGCGGTACCGGTGGAGTCGCCCTTGGCCTGTCCGGGCTGCTGCTGATACCAAGACCTTCACCCGGTCGTTGGTTACCAGTAAATGCTTCTCGGGCATTCTGGTACGATCTCTGATTTCGTGGGCTTTGTCGTGGAAGCAACGCGGGGGGTATATCTAGCGGTTCCGGTGTCGTTGATCGATGCGACGTCAACTCGGATCTAGAAGACTCCGGTGTGAGGCGCGAGGACGATGGCGTTTGATTTCGTCCCATGACGGGCTCCTGACTAGCGTACTTCCGCAACCCTCCATCTCGCGATGGTGGAGGCCGCGGTTCCCGTGATGGTTCTCGCGGGCGGGGTGATAGACCTGGCGTGGGGCCGTCGCGTTGAGATGATGGTGACCTTCTGTGTCCCGCGCGGGATCCTGCCCCAGCCGATGAAGGAGGATACTGGGATGAATCCTGAGAGGGGTCCCGCTGTGGTGGGACAGCGCGGAGGCCACCTTGCATAGGCGGACTTTGCAACGGGTTCTTATATGGAGGGGAAGGGTGACCTTGCGGCTGCGGACCAGGTGGAGGATGCGGGCCCGGTTGACCTGGGGGTCGCAGAGGCGGCCCCTTCAATTGCTCAGCCTCCTGCGGTGTGAACCCAACCAGTTCTGGGATTTTACCCTCGGTATACTTCTTGTAAATTTTCACCAGACTGGCAATGAAAAATTCCTTCTCTTTCGCCGTGCCGGCTGCCCAATAATATGGCTTTCCTATGGTGACAATAAACCCCCGGTCGCCCGCCCATTGTTTCCGTTGGATACCCTCCGGATCGGTCGGGTTGCTGCTTGAAAACGATTCGACTTTCGTGAACTCTTCCAATGGCCAGGTCTTCCCAATCGAGAAGCTCCCGTTAGCATTCTCCCTCGTCTTGTGTAGCCTTACCCGCCCCGAGTCTTTTACCCCAACGACAATTATACGGGCCTTCTTGTTGCTAGGGAGGGAGTCTGGGGCGGGGGGTGATTGGGGATATTGGCCGTCTTCTTCAACTCGGACATGCGTGATATATGATTCGACGGCTATACATACATCCGTTAGCGTATATATCAATGGGAAACGTGACGAATGGATGTCTCACGGGCTCCCATATTGTTCAACTTGGAAAAGCAACTCTCAATTAACCGTCGTTTCTCATCTTCAAACCGCTGTGCCCGCGTCATTGGAGCTCGTGGGCGTCCCTCTGACGGTGACCAACCCGGAGGAGGGCCCTTCTGTTGGCCTCGAGGACCTGGAGGACCTGGACCTGGAGGACCTGGACCTGGAGGACCTGGACCTGGAGGACCTGGAGGTCTAGGATAGCCATTTGGTCGTTCCATCCCCTATTGAAGCGCAGTAATGTGGGAGATAACTTTTTCGAGCGCAATCTCAACTCATAGCCTTCCACTCAGTGTATGATCAGGGTCTTGGATCCAGCGTTCGGTGAATGGTCGCGGGGATCATCATGCGATTCGTCTGGGTAGGTGAACACTCTCTGCTCTCCTGGACGGCCGGATGCCGGATGGGAATGGTTAACTGGTAAAGGAGTGCGATATCCAAATTGGGTAGCTCTGTGTGAAATCCAATTGAGAGGAGCAATGGCGGACGATGAAGAAGCGGAGTGGTTTGCCAGCTCAGCTCCAGACGTCTAGATATCAAGTTCTGATGATCATGGTATTGAAGGCGGACGTGATGTCTAGCAACGCGGACGTCACGTATTCGGCCGTAGCACGACACAACCAGCTGGAGATGAAGACACCTTGTAGCCTCAGGCATAAACATTATTTACAGCGCTTTACCTTATATGGACTAGTTCAAGAAAATAGCGAACACCCTGGTCCCAAACTTTGCTTCACCCCCAATTTTTTTCACATTTCATCTTTCGCGATATCAAACTTTCCTTTTTCCTTCCGCTCACTCACACAAACCTTAACCCTCCCAAAATCACGTTGGCTCTTTGTTCCCGACACTCGCTAAGTTACGCCACCACTTTTTGGGATCTGCCAGTTTTCTAGAGCTCTCGAGATGGCCTCCGAAAAGAAAGTCAAGGCCCAAGGTCGCAAAGATCGTCCGAAAGGCTCAGTTGCGTCTAAAACCAAGAAACAAGCCGAACCGAAAACCGTCCAGCAAAAACCAGCCAAATCTGAGGCCGCTCCTCCGGCACTTGTCGGCCTCGTTCACCAATTCCTCCACGAACACGGCTATACTGGCGCGGCGCTAAAACTCAAGAAGGTGGCCGAGGAGAAGGAAGTGCCTTTGAAGGACACCGCGAAAAGCCTTCCTAAGCTGAAGGAGATATTTGATGAATGGCAGGAGGATCGCGAGATTGACCAGGCTATCCCTGGTACCTCGAAGAAAGAGGATTCCAGTTCGGAATCGGAATCAGAAGCCGAGGAGGATGAACCCAGCAAGAGCATGAACCTGACGGATGAGTCCGAGGCGAACTCGTCTTCAGAGTCGTCGTCCGAGTCGTCCTCCGAGTCGTCGTCCGAGTCGTCGTCCGAGTCCGAGGAAAAAGAGGAAAAAGTCGAGACCAAACCCGCTGCTTCCCTCAAGCGCAAACGCTCCGAATCCGTGTCTTCCGAGTCCTCATCGTCTAGCTCTGCGTCCGACTCCAGCTCCAGCTCCGACTCGTCTGCGTCCAGCGCGCCGAAGCAGAAGCGCGCACGAGTTCAGTCGCCCAGCTCGTCGAGCTCTTCCGAATCCGACTCCGATTCCGACTCCTCTACTTCCACCGGATCTTCTGCCTCGGTGAAATCCGCCGCTGCCGCACCCGTCAAGGACAGCTCCAGCTCCTCAAGCGACAGTTCCAGTTCCGACGACGAATCCGAGAGCGAGAAGAAAACCAGCTCATCCGACTCTTCGTCCGACTCCGAAGCAGACAAATCAAGCAGCTCCTCCAGCGATGATTCCAGCAGTGACTCCGGCAGCGACTCTTCCGACAGCGACTCTGACAGCGCCAAAGCGAAACCGAAGACCCCCAAGCAGAAGGCCGAACCGAAACCGAAGACCCCCAACCAGCCCAAAGTCGAAGCGACCCCCAAATCTTCCGCCCGCCCATCTCTGACCCGCAAGGACTCCTCCGACTCCAGCCAAACCCTCGAACGCACCTCGTCGCCCAATTTCCACCCCTCCCGCCGCGCCATGCTCGACGCCATCGACACCCCTGGCGCGCAGATCCGCCGGGAAAGCGGCATCGCCTTCCCCTCGCCCGCGAGCGGCGCCCCCACTCCCACCGCCGGCAACAACAGCGGCAAAAGGACGCCTCAGGCCCGGTTCTCCCGCATCCCCGCCGACACAAAGGTCGACGGAAAGTTCGCGTCGAATAAGTACGTGCCGTACGACTATGCGAACCGGGCGTACGAGGACCTGTCGGTGACGAAGGGGAAGGGGTTCACGAAGGAGAAGAATAAGAAGAAGCGGGGGGCGTATCGGGGTGGGTATATTGATACGGCGTCGTTCAATGGGATCAAGTTTGATGATTGATTGCTGAATGTCGATGTGTGTAGAGAAGAAGCAGGAGCCGGTGAAGAAGCAGAAGAGTGAGATGGATCGCAGTGGCTCGGAACCGCCTTACAGCGACTTTGAGGAGGATTACTTGGAGGTTATGGGGTTGTTTGAGGATTCTGGTCCGGACTTTGAATTTGCGTCTGGGGGGTTGCCTGGCATGTCGTATTCCGCTACATTGCCGGGTGCATGGTTTTGATTGACGAACGGGAGGAGCGAGAGCAGGCAAAAGCCGAAAGGCAAAAGGTGTTTCTTCGAATAAATGGAGTTGTTGGAGTAGAATCGACAAGATGCGTACCATAGAGCGCAATACATTGAACAATTCGATGACGATGCCGTCCCTTTTCTTCGAGAACCAATCCATTTCAACCCGCCTCAACCCTCAGAGGCTCGCAAGTTTCTAATTCTTCTTGTCGGGAGGTCAAAGTAAAATCTACGATATAAACCGCGGTTAGGTCCCTACAATCCTCTATCCGGATCAGGGAGGCGATACTACTACTATATGCTCATGATTAAACACTCGATAAGATGATTACTCGATCCGAACGAAACCAGGTATAAATTTATCAAGTTTAGCCCAGGGGCTTCGAAACACAACGATAGATTGTTCAGCGGAGAGATTTCTCCCCCCTTCGTCAGGTAAAACTTCAGGTAAAACTTCGCACAGGCATCCATTCGGTCTGTCTGTCTGTCCGTCTCTATCCCAAACCAAACCCACAGCCCATCAACAAAAGAAAACTCGAACCTGTCAAACGATCCCTCCGGGTCAATCCCCTTGACTCAGAAAGGCGCGTTGAAACTCGGCGATCAGAACGGCCCCTCGACCCGAAAGGGCGGACCGTAGAAATCCAACCCGACAAAACATTGCGGGACGTCCATCCACATCCATGCAAGCGAGGCGTAGCAGAAAAGAATAGGCTTCCAACTCGACGAAACGACGGGACCGTGCCGTCGTCCCGTCCCACGCGACGTATAGCACCACGGCGAAATCATCGAACAAAAGGCAAGAACTCTCATCCACTTCTCCATTTCCTTTCTTCCATCTCACCCACCTATCATCCCCGTCACAAATCAATCAAACTTGTCCCCGGCCCTCCCTGCCCCTGCCCCCTCCCAAACGGATTAGCCGACCCTCCATACCCCGCCGCCGGCCCCGTCTGCGCGGGCGCCACGCGCTGTTGCCCGGGTCCGCCACCCACTCCCGTAAACTGTCCCTGCATAAACGGGTTGTTCCCCGTCTGGTTCGCGCCGAGGGCGTTGATACCGGCGCCGGCGCTGTTGACGAAGGTTCCGGGCGCGGTGTGCTGCGCAGGGATGCGCAGGTCGCCGACGTTGCCGAAGGTGTCTTGGCCGTCGCCGGAGGCGAGGAGGGTGTTGAGGCGGGCGTGGTGGGGGTCGGAGGGGTGGGGTTGGGGTTGTTGTTGGGGGGGTGGGGAGGGGAAGGGGTTGGAGGAGGGTTGGGTGAAGGGGGAGGGTTGGGTGAAGGGGGTGGGTTGGGTGTAGGTGGTGGGGAAGGTGGTGGGTTTGGATTCGTCGAGGGAGGTGAGGGGGTTGGTGAGGCGGGGTTGGGCGGTGGAGGGGCGAGCGAAGGAGGGTTGCGCGAAGGGGTTGTTGCTGCCGGTCGGTTGCGGTTGGAGGGAGTCGGTGGTGTTCGAGGTGCCGGCCCATGGGTTGTTCGTACCGGGAGACAGGTTCTGTTGCTGTTGTTGGCTGCCGAAGTCGCCGAAGCCATTGGTTGGTTGCGCTGGTTGCGGCTGTTGCGACGCTTGTTGAGCGTATGGATTGGTCGTCCCAAAGGCGGTCTGCTGCGGTTGCACGTACGGTTGGCTCTGCTGGTTGAGGTCGTAACCGGTGGGTTGCGCTGGCTGATATCCGAAACCATTGGCGTAGCCTGGCATTCCGGTTTGTTGCGCGGCCATAAATCCGGTCGGCTGTGGCTGCTGCTGCTGTTGCTGCTGATTGAGAAGATTGCCATACCAGTCCACCGCGCCTTGTTGCTGATATCCCTGGTTCCATCCCGTAGGCTGCGCCTGGGCCGGTTGCGAGGCCGGCGTCGAATCGTCGATCAGGAGGGAATTGTTCGAATCCTCCAACTCTTTCCGACGGCGTTCCTCTTCCTCGCGGCTGAGATTGAGCGCCTTCTGTAGATCGGCATCGTCTTCGGTGCCAGTGGCCTTGGCGCGTCGCTTCGCCTCCTCTTCCGCCTCGTTCATGCTCGCTTCGATCGCTAGCTTGTATTCCAGATCTTCTTCATCATTGCGACGCGGGCGACGTTCGCCCGTGCGTGCCCGGCGGGGCTCCTCGTAGGGTGCGTCACCGTCCCCGCTGCCTCGGGGCCCGAATTCCTCGATGCCGGTCACACGGGATTTCCACGACTTGCGATCCTGTCGCTCGACGCGGAGTCTCTCCTCGTCCATGATGAGGGCGGTGAGTTCCTTCGCGGAGACGCGGACTGGCGATTAACGATTAGTGCCATATCACCATGTCAAGTAGCGCCAATCCATACTGTTCTGCCCCACATCTCTCCCATCCTCGTCGATATGTTGGAATTCCCTCAACGTTCGGATGATGTAAATGTTCTTTCGCGCCCACGTCACCACCAACTCGGATCCTTCATGCAGGATATAATCCAACACCTTCAGCGACTTGAGGACGTGGCGCCAGTTCTTCCCTTTATCGTTCAATCGCTTGTCAAGCATGTCCATGATATGCTGGAACGTTTGAGAGCTGTCCCAGACGTTAGCCATAATCTACACCTCGAGCTTGGACATTCGTCGTATTCCTGCAGACGCCATCCGGTGTCGCGACTCGAAGAATATCTGGCAGGGAAAGCAACTCACTCATTGAAGGTCATCTGTGCGATCTCCGCCATATCCCCGCCAACCGGTCCCCACGGATCATTGCTTGTCGCTGCACGCCATCGTCAGCCACCATCCATTTTCCGTTCGCATCATCCGCCTCTCTCCGATCTGGGGAGCGGCATCATCTCGCATCAACTCACCATTCCGGACCTTGATCTCTGGGGTCGAATACCCCTTCGTGACATTCTTCACGCTCCGCACGACCTTCGACATGGCGGTTCGCTAGTCGTGTTCCCGGTTGCGCACTAGAATCGCGTTGGCGTGTACGTCGCTGGGTTTCCGTCGCTTGCTCGTCGTTCGGGGTGTCCAAGGAGTTCGGCGGGTCGGGCACCGCAAGTCAAGGGAGTGAAATCCGGGTATCGAATGCGGCGGTGGCTCCTCGCTATCGTTGGGCCGAAGCGGTGGTTGATCGGAGCGACCTGGAATATGTGTGGGCACAGGAGCAGGAGTGTGAAATTAAGAGTTGAAATGAACAAGTGATGACGCGATGGTAGTATCAGTAGTGCTGGAGCCGAGTGAAGTCGGATGTGAGGTTGTGAGGCGTCGGTGAGGTCAACGCTCTGCTGCTCCACTAATAAGGGCTAACCCGCTAAAGGCTTCCTCCGTCACCGGCCGTGCGCCCAAGTCCGACACAACTGTCACAATTCGTAACCAATGTTGGGTGCACACGCAATCCAAATAGGTAAATCCTGGAGCTTTAAGTCTTGTGGCTCGTTGGGAGTTGGTCGCGCGGATGTCACAGCTTTATCGATGGATTTGGCGATGCAGAGCGATGGAACAGACGACAGCACGAGCGTCGTCGTCAAACGTGGCGCCGCGTGCGTCAGCAACTCAGCGCTGATAGATCATAGATGACCGTACAGATTCTGGGATGTGGCGAGTGAGCGTCGTGGACTCTAGGCAGGCCAAGAACCACTGCAATCTGAAATAATAACGGTGGGGTTGGAATTAGGTAATTGGGAGAGGATCGGAGGATGGTCGCTCAGGTACCAGTGTCGATCAATGGGGAAAATTATCGGATCGTCTTTGGATAGTTATATGATTCTCTACTCCGTAGATATCCCCCAAACTCTCGCTCCAGTCCTCTGTAATGGAAGTTGGGGTTTAGAGAATTTCAAAGGAGAGGGGAATCATCAAGGTTTAAAAACGAGGACACGGCTTTCCAATGTCGGATTGAATGAACAGTGGTTGTGCATGGTGATAGTACTTGGTGATAGTACCTGGTGAAAGTACCCGATGTATACCATATTACCAGGAGTCTTGGATCGTATAGTAAAGTATACAAGATCGTAGGAGTACCGTAGATAGATGGCCCATGGCTCCCATTCATATTGAATCCGGTATTCCAATCACAAGGTACCGACATTCACATATCAATCACCCGTCAACAATAGCAACCATGAATGAAGCATTATAAAAGAAACTCATATTTCACTAATAACCACAGGCCCTGCGGCCCATGTCCCACGCACTCCACATGTGAGAATACCAAAGGCCCGTCTGATTAGTTCGCATCAATCACTCTTGCCACCCCTTTTGATCCTCTTGGTCTTCGACGTCTTGCAATCCTCGTCCATCCGTTGCTGTCACCTCACCCGACATCATCCCGCGTCGATATTGAGCCGTGTATTTTGCAAATTAAGTGTTACTCTCACAGAGAAAAAGATGGGTTCGGGAACGGGAGACGCGGTACAGTACAGTTGTTGCAGCGCAGCACGCGAGATGGTAATCCGTGTAAAAGGGGACGAGACCGAAATCCCCATATCAATCCCGAGACCGGCGAAAACTCCGCCCTCTCGCGAACCATCGACGATCGAAACCAAACAGAAAAGGGAAAAAAGACACATGTAAGTAGGGAAGGCACACAGATACAATAGGAGATATTCTAGGGGTTGCCGAGGAGCGGTTGGCGTGTGATAGTAGTAGTAGTCGTAGTAATGACAGGATGATGAGCCCGGAAAGTTCTCCGAATTATCAAAAGAAACGTCGTACAAATCCGCGGGGGGTATCAGTCCGCGATACAGAGAAAGGAAGTTTTTGAGAGAAAAAACTCGAAGCAAAGTTGACATGAAAAAGCAGGAGGAAAAAAGACGATGAATGCCCGAATCCGGTTTCCGTGTCCCCTTTTTTCTTTCGCGCCCTTCCGCCGTAATCGTACAAGGTCTACAAATACAAGATGGGAACGGAATGAAGATGATTCAAAAAAGGAAAAAACGCGCCAGTAGTGCCCTTATGCCATGTTGTCCGCTCCTTTCACGCCACGTCGGTCCATATAATCCATACGACGACATCGATCGCACCTCTGCACAATTACTGCACCGTCGTCGCCCCCCATACATCGTGCGCCATCCGTGCCTGGTTCGGATTATATTGATCCGGCTCGGTGCTCTGCGGCCTCCGGATGTTCGAGTTCGGATAGTACATGTTCGGCGCCTGCTGTCCGTATCCCGGTTCCGGATACACGAAGCCGTCCGCCGCGCCCGGTGAAGGAAGCGGTTGCTGCGACGGGCTCTGCCATCCTACGTGGCCCATGTGGGGGCTGCCGTTCACGCTGCCGGGTCCGCTGGTCTGTCCGTGCGGGTGGTTTGCGGTGGTGGGTGGCTCGAGGACCTGAGGCGGTCCGTAGGCGGACGGGTGGGAGGTCAGCGAGGGACGACCACCGGAGGAGACGGTGGAGTTGTAGGATTGCGTGGTTAGGGCGGGGGAGGAGCGCGGGGAGGGTTGTTGCATGGTGGGGCGGAGGTGGGGAGGCACGCCGGCCAGGTTGCTCATGTAGGTGTATTCCTGGGGCCCGGGCCCGCGATGCATGTTGGGGACGACGGGCATGCCGGCCGCCGGGGAAAGGGAGAGCGTTCGTTCATTAGGAGAGGGAGTGGGGAGGGGAGAGGCGTGCTCGGAGAAATCATCGACGTCGGAGCGAGCGGAGCGGGAGGGGGCAGATGCACGAGAGGCAAGGGCAGCGGCTGTCGCAGCGGCGGCTTCTTCAACCGTGCCCGTATGATGGTTTTGGTGGCGGGTGAGGGTGGTGCGTCGGGTGAAGGTCTTTTGGCAATCGGCGTATGGGCACTTGTACGGACGTTTGCCAGAGTGGATACGGCGATGGCGGGCCAAAGAGCTGGAGTCACTGAACGGCTACATTTATGTTAATGAAGCGAAGACAATGATGTGAATGTTGATCTTACCTTTCCACATCGCTCGCACATGTGCGGCTTCTCACCAGTATGAACGCGCATATGAACGGTCAACGCAGACCGTTGAATGAACTGTTTACCACAGTTGGGGTAGTCACACACGTGTGGACGAACACCACTATGTATCCGTTCTATTGGAAAAGGTCAGTACTGTTGACTTGTGGGAAAAGATCCGATTTCGAGGCATACCATGACGAGCCAAGTCACTTCGTCGAGCGAAGCCTTTGCCGCACGTCGAGCAAGCAAATGCCTTTGGTGGCCCTTCCGGCTTTGGTGGTGCGCTGGTTCCATTTTGCACGTCTTGATGATGTGGTGGCGGCATGGGCGGCGGCGGTTGGTACATGGAGTCGGCAGGGGCGCTTTGGTTGAAGTTGTTCAGGAGGGTCGCAGCCGAGACCGGCATGTGTGATGGGGAATTGTATCGCATATCGTTCGGGTAGCCATTATGCATGGGAGGAGGATAACTCGGCATCGGTTGGGCGGGTTGTGAGGAGTATCGGGATGAATGTTCGGATGGATGAGGTGACACGCCGCGCTCGGAACCCGTCTCCGACTTGATGCGGCCGTTCAGGTAGGGTGCGGGAGAGTAATGCGCTTGGGGCTGGAGATCGTGGGGCATGCTGGACTGCATCTCGAATTGAATGTAATGATGACCTGCAGTTGCCACGGATGATTTAGTATTGAGAATGTTGCCAAGTTCCATCACAGGTGGAAGTACGCTCGTAGCCATGGGGGATAGGGACGATGTGCTGGATCCACGGACCAGCAGAAAACCTCCACAAAAGGAATTTGAGGCGACGCGTGTATTTGTGTGATGATAATGGGAAGTCCCAGTGCTGACGAGGAAATGGTGAGGTGAAGCGCACCAGTGAATTAAGCAGGTGGATTAACGTCTATTGTCGGACGCGGTATGCTGCATGTATTGGCGAACAGGAAGCCACGACGAGCGGTCGAGCTCGTGCTGTGTTTGGAGGAGGATTTGGAGGGGATTTGGAAGAGGAATGTCGCGTGTTTTCTCGAACCCCAAGGCCAGTCAAACGGCCGTTTGGATGGAACGATGATATTAAGATCGTGGAATCGTGAAAGCCGAGTGGTGATGGAACGGTATTCGAGGCGCCGTTGAACCGCTTCAAGGGGTAGACGGGGCCGCCGATGGGTCAATGCTGAGGTGTCACTGGGAACTTTTTGGGATGAAAGTTAGTGACAAGGCACGGATTTCCGATGAAAGTTGAAGAGTGCACGAGAAGAGCAAATGAGAGAAGCATCCGCAAGGACGCGTTGATGATGGTGGCGGATGGTCGGAGGCAGCGACAGGTACATCGGGCGGTGAAAAGGAGAATTTTTTGCGACAGAAGAAAAGCGCTTGGGTAACGTTCGGGGGCGCGTCGAGTGCAAACATGTCACACCCGATAGACAAGACAAGGAAAGGGAACGGGATACATACCTTTTGATCAAAACCCCGGATCCAAGGATGGAAGATGGAAATCGGAATAGAAAGGCCTTTGGTGAGGTGGCGAAGGAGAGAGTAAAGGAAGGAACTTTGGGGGGGAGAGGAGAGAGGAGAGTGAGGACGATGTAGATGAAGCGTGAGTGAATCCTCCGGACGTGACTGAGTGAATGGAGATGGATGCAGGGCAAGAGGCCAGCGGCTGGGGGGGGGGATGGCCCGAATGGGTGATGCTAAAGACCCGGTACTCAGGCAGGGGAAGACCGAGAAAGACGGGGGTGCTGCCGCCTTGGTGCCGCCAGGGTGGTGCAGCTGCTCTAACACTGTTGGTCCACCCAGGATTGGTGACTGGTGATGCTGCTAGGCGGGAGACGCTTAGCCAGTACGATCCCAAGATGGAAAAATAACAAAGTTGGGGTCCGCTATTCTCCAAATCGAGCTGAGGGGATCCCGTCACGAGTCCAGGAGTCCAGAGTCCAGGAGTCCAGGAAGACCGAAGAAAGGGTGTTGGGTAATCCGTAACTTCGCCTTATTACGATGATGTGACCTCTCCAAAAATCCGCCCCCGATCCTTCACTTCAAGTTGCATGCAATCTTTAAGCCTCAAAATGTCCAATTTTCGTCCAGTATCTTTTTCTTTCAATCGGATCCAGTATCCTGTTGTTGTAAGGTATCCTTTGGAGAATGACCCTCGGACTATCGATATCCAGTATGGAATGCTCTACGAAACGCAGAAGCAACCTCGATTCTGTCCCGTTCGAGTCCTCGGTTCGGTCGTTGGTGTTCTTGTGATTGGTTCTACTCGATCTGCTATTCTTGGATGGCGTGCAGGCTCGGTCGGTATTATCAGGAGAGATTCATCCCACGCGAAAGAGATGGTATGCGTGAGGATGGTTTGGTTCCTTCGTATTAACCCAATATTCATGGGAGACGGATTCACATAAGGAAGAGATGTAGTATCACGAATTTCTAAATCTTTCCGAGCCTCGATGAGCATGGACCGACTTAAGGTATTTCTATGCTCGTCCCTCCAGCAAGAACCACGTTCCCTCTCACTCCGTCCCACCATTCCCCTACCGATCGGGTAGATCGCTCCATCCCAACTCATTGGTCCGAAACACATCTTCCTGGAACATGAAGGTTTAGGAACCCGTTAGAGACCTGAGTCCAGGAAGGCGTTGACTACGGTATGCTGCCCACCTCAATGTACCCGACACGGGGGCCATCGAGGCAAGAGAATTATGCCACACGTATGATTGGATGGCCTGCTGCCGATGGCTTAGGCGATGCTGCAAGCTTGTTACAGGCTGACAACGGCGGAATTGACTGGCACGATGATTGTCGGGCCGGTGAACTTCCCATCCCGCGTTCTCTCTCATCTTTGATCCTTTAGCATAGGAAATCGCAGCCAGGGAATCACGAATCGCTCTACATCGAACGACTTTCATCTCCAGTCCGCTTATCTAAACTTCCAGAATCCTCCCCCATCCATCTCCACTAGGTAGCATCAAGCCAAACATCTCGCATCGTTACACATGCTTCCTCCGTCCACAACGCCACATGTCCACCACATCTCAGATTCTCAGCATGGACCCCCCAAATCCGCATGAAACGCAGGGGAAAGCTGGTCCTCCGTCCATGCACGCCAGTCCGCGACGAGTCTGACGATGCAAGGGACCACCACATGGAAGCTTTCAGTCGCCTTCCAGAAGGTCTGGGGGCGACGGGGCCCCGGGCCATCCTGCGCAGCTGTGAGACTTAAGACTTAAGGTCGAGTTAGAGAACACTGAAGAGAGATTAGAGGCCAGCTGCCTTTGCTTGACCACTCTGGTTGGTGAAATCTCCAACCTGGGAAGGCGGGGATATGCCTGCGAGGTGAGCACGGATTCGCGTCCAGGAAATGGAGGGATGGAGGATGGGCTGATGATTGGATAATATTGCCGTACCGGATTCCCCATTAACGTTGATCAAGACATCGTTATTCTCGGTGGTATAGCGGCTATTTGCTGGGACAAGATGGAGCGCTATTGTTTGTCCCTTACGAGCTATTATTGTTCGAGGAACGGAGGACGTGGCTAATTTACCGTGGCTGCTTACACGACACACGGTTTTGATTGTTCGCGCTTTTATGCTCTCAAAGGTTGCTCCCCGACTTGTCCTGGGACGGTGCTTGTCTGTTACAAGCCTGCTTTGCATTGACCGTGATGCGGCTGCTTTCCTGGATCGCTCCAAGGCTTCCAGGCGCAAGAAAGCAACATCGAGGGAACTCAGGCTCAGCAACGTGGCTGAGCACTGATGACCAGTTGAAGGAAAGCGTTGGATTCAGATGATCACCTCACTTCTCAGGGCTGAATGGTTCCCATCCCCATGAATCCTTTTGGCCATTCGTTGATATTTTCGGACGGGTTAGATCGAGGCTAATTTAATAAGTTTCCCGTCACGCTGGAGGAAGAAGCAAATAGAAGCTCGATGGGCCGATCTGATGGCGCATCGCAATTTTGTGGCGTTCCAAACAGCGTCAAAAACTCAAAATGTCTGGAGTCTCTGGACAGGGGAAATTGGCTCTGAACATCGTTCTGTTAGTTACCAGTACTCTGCTTTTTCAGAGGACCGCCTGTCGCCAAGTTACGATAACTGGAATTGCTGTATGCAGGTCACTAAGTCTAGAAAGAAATCCGAAGAAGTCGTGAATCTGTTGACCGAGTGAGTTGGAGGATTTGATATGACATCAGCTAGGGTCCGAGCCAAACTTCGAAAACCAACAGCCAACGGGCAAGGCCACCAACGCGGCTCCAGACGATACGATGTGCCCCTGAAAATCCTCGCCGATGCAACGGATCGATTCAACAGGTGAAAGGACCGGTTCCAATCTCGTCTGCTAGAACTTGGAAGCGACGTGATGCAGATGCGACCGGGGTACGATGCAAACATGGCGTTGGCGGCCGTTGGTTTGATGCTGGACGGTCGAAGCGTTGGGAGCTCGACCGCAAAATTCAGCCTTGTTGAGCGGGAATAGAGAACGTCATTTACGGAGTGGATGTCGAAGAGGATGGAGAAAGATAGGTATTACTTTACTTGGTATTGTTGAAGATTGCAATAAAGGGAAGGGCAGAAGGTTCCAGGTCTTGCTTGGGGCATGGTACCTTCTCCAAAGCTGGAGGAATCGGCAAGTAGATAGTTATGACATGGAAGTCCTATGGAATACCAGTTTCCATCAATAAAATTAGACTGCTTCCAATAACATCTTCACGCAATGGTGGAACCAATCCAATCTACGACCGGTCGAGGGATTCTCCCCCATTCAGACCACTCGATTGCATCGCCTGGACATGGGTTCCTCGGCCGATATTCAGGGGTAATGACCCTAACCTGTTCCTGAGTTGAATCGTCCTTCAGAGGCCAGAGTGGGTCAAGATCGGTTTCGAGTTTCTAGCCTCATCCCTCCATTTATGCGTCTAGCAAACGCAGTGCTGGACCTAACCGAATTGCCCCAAACCTAGGAGTTGCGGCTGCGGGCTGGTTACCCAGTACGTGTGGCGCGATACTCCATATTGCAGCGGAATGATAATGGGTGGAATACGACATCGAATTATTGACACAGCACGATCTTCGTCTGTGACGATCACTCAATTGCGTTGACATCCCCTATCTCCTATTAACTCTCAACCGAACTCGTATTCAATCCATAGCACTATCATTATCCACGCTCAGTTGATCAAATCAAATTCCATCTATTCCATCCAGAGCATCACCTCTTCCTAATTACTATTTTCCAAGCCTGTCCCAAAGCCCCTTTCTTCTGCTTCTCTCAACCAAACCCCGCAAGGTCTCCCATGCTCCTGAAGTCAGGATACCGCTGCACCGCACGTCCCGGCCCTCCCCAAGACGGCAGAGTGCTAGAAACGCGGGAAGCCTTCCATGACTTTTCCACGCTCGGGGATGTTGGGGTCGGCGGTGCCCGGCATGCGCGGTGCCCATTGCTTGGATGAAGGCGAACCGAGGGCGAATAACTGAACGCCGCATGAGATACGTACCCAAACACGGAAAAAATGAAGCAGAAGACTGGAATTTGAAAGGATTCATGTTGCAGAGGCGGCTGACAGGGCGTTTCACGAGACGGCAAGCAAGCCTCAGTATGCAGTCAGACCACGTCTTCCAAATTCCAGAACCGTGTTCCGGTTCTTTCTCCGACTCGTCCGTGTTGACGTTGCTTAGACAGCTCCGTGCTCCGCCTCCCAACTTTCCAAATCTAACACATGCACGTGTCATATCCAACGGTTGCATCATATGAGGCTGTATCAGACAGGCGGATCGGCAGTTCAGCGCGCATCCCGAGCGTCCTTCTAGAAGTCTTCCATTTCCATCGTGGCCTAGTACATAGGGCGCATGGGCATCATGTTGAGCTGCGACAAGAGCCGTCGGAACCAGTGTAGATCGAACGGATGTAGATATTGTACAGTAGGTCTCCAATGCACCGTGCTCAGCCCTATAAACATAATAGCCACATGGACTGGGGGAAGCTGGTCTGATCGAAATATGCACATTGCGCCAAGTTAAGAACACGAGTGTGGGAGTGTCCAGTGAGTGACGATCTAGAGATATATGACGAAGAGATTATGGCGTTAAAAGCCATACTAGAGCGGCGGCATCGAGGTCGTTGAATGGGAGATTGCATATATCAATGCGTCATGCATTGTATCCCGTTTCCAGATATCAGGTTTGCAATTCAACTTTTTACTGTACAGTTGTCCGAGATCTTCCCTCTCGTCAGAAACTTCGTATCAACCTTCCACTTCCAAGGTTGTTGTTAGATCCAAGCTTGCAGACGCAAAATTATTGAAGCACAAGATGGAAAACCGCCAATCCACCTTGTTCACCTCTCAGACGGTCTTCGGAAGTTCCGAAGTTGGCACTGAGCCTGTCTCAGATCATCAAGGAGGAATAGGATGCCCACTGACCAAATGGATGCGGTTGTCTGTGTTCACGTGAATTCTGAGATGAAGCGAATCGATGTGAAGACAAGACCAGTCAATAGTGATAAGACGGTCGGTATGTCATAGATAGTAATTATAATAGAGATATATTTACACGTTGCGGGAGTGAAGAACCAATCCCAATCAGCCCATGGCAAACATTACGCCTTTCCAATCACAATAAGACCGCTCCGCTAGCTGAGCAACACCCGAACCAGAACACCCCCGAGGTAGCGTACCTCACTTAAACAGCCCTGTCGATCCCACCGGTACCAAAACGCTCCAGGTGAACTCTCTCCGAGTCGACTCCATATTGCTTCAGCGCGGTATCCATGTCCGTCATGAAGCTGCTTGGTCCGCAAACAAAGTAATGGGTGCTCTTATCATCCAAGAACAGATGCTTCTTCTCATCTAATTTCTTGAGATCCGCCCGTCCAATATGGTCATAATGCTCGCCCTGCTTATCGTCCTCGCTCACGGTGCTATTGAAGAATACGACATTGACGTTGTCCATGCTCTTCGCCGTGTTCTGGACGTGATCGCCGAACGCCCGGATCTTGGAGGTGTGTGCTCCGTGGATAAATGACACGGGCCGCGTTGATGATCGACTGTTCAGTGCGTTCAGAATGGCCACCATCGGAGTGAGGCCGACGCCAGCAGAGAGCAGCACCAGCGGCGACGCGGCAGCTTCCTGATCCGCATCTAGGTAGAAGTCGCCGTAAGGATGCGACACCATCACCTCATCGCCCTCCTTCTTCTCGTCATGGAGAATATTCGACACGAACCCAGGATGGGACCGCAGGTCGGTCTGCGAAGGATCTAGGGCCAATTCCTTCTTCACGCTGATGCGGAAATGATCCGGATGATGCATGTCGCTAAGCGAGTACTGTCGAGGTTGGAGGACGCCCAGCTCGGCCACTTCGGTGCGGAGCCCGATGTACTGGCCCGGTCGATGCGCCGGCAGCGGCAGGTGCGCCTTGTCGACGGGCTCGAGGTAGAATGAGGTGATCTGCTCGCTTTCCGGGACCTTCTTCGTGATGCGGAAGGATCGCCAATCGGTCCAGCCCGCGGTGGTGTTGTACAGCTGGGACTCCCGCCCGATCAAGATGTCGGCGAGCTGCTGGTATGCCGCACCCCATGCGTCGAGGATTTCCGGGGTGCATGCATCGCCGAGGGTGGTCTTCAGTGCAGCCAGGAGGTACTTGCCCACGATGGGGTAATGCTCGGGGAGCACGTAGAGGGAGGCATGCTTATGGGCGACGAGCTCGACAAGGTCTTTCAACGCGGAAAGATCTTCGATGTGGGAGGCGTAGAGGTAGAGGGAGCGGGCGAGAGCGGCGGCTTGGTGGCCGCTTTCTTGATGAGTGTGGCTGAAGATGTTGCGGAGGGCAGGGTTATCGTTGAGAACGTTTTTATAGAAAAGGCTCGTCACAGTTTTGCCATGTTCGGCCAGAACGGGGACGGTTGCCTTGATGATGGTGATTTGTTCGGGACTGAGAGACATAATGGAGGAAGAATATGACTGAACAGTGAAATTGGGAATTGACTTGATTGATGTCTGCTACGACTCGATATAAAGATCTAATGATGCTTACTATACCATTTTGAACTCACCTCTGCATCCTCATACCCGAATTTTATAGTCAGGGCGAAAAAAAACCTTCCGCGGAAGTGCATCTTGGTTTCGGAACGGATCGTGTGCTTTGCCTCCGGAATACTGGGGACGAGGTAAAACCATTCCAAAAAGTCATACGACAACAACCAATTCAAATGCCATACTAAGTAGGTAAAATAACGCCCTCGAGATAGATCACCACCGGAGATGCCGTTCAAAACCAATGATAGCCTTATGCAGGAGTCAGCGTGCAGGAGCCAGCGTGCAGGAGTGATAGCATCCTCCACAAATCCGAGAGCGTAGAATCCAGATAAAGCCGTGGGGTAATCGGATATCAAGTGCCGTGTGATTGGTAGACCAGCCACATGGTAGGCAGGCGCTAAGTACCAGACATGGAGCCACCTCACAATTGAGAATTGAGAGAGAGAAACAGATCATGCCATAAACACAATTTATTCTCAAACCATTGATGACTCGATGAACCAGTTTCGTAGAGCGAGCGATCGAACAGGCGGGGAGACTACACAACTTCCAAGCCCAAGGCATGACGGGACCCGGCGATCCGACCGTTGGCCAGACTCAACGAAAAACTGGATCGACCCCCATCCTCGCCAACCGTGGAAAAATCTCGACACCGCCAGGCAGATCCCATCGGAAACTCGGGCAGATCGGGATCGGGAGTCGGGACGGAAGGAGAAAAAACGGAACGGTGTGTAACTTTGCAGAAAAGCTCTGCAGGTCTGCGGTGGTTCAACCAAAAAGTGCAGGGCATCAGGAAGGGCACACGTGATTTCTATGACCAACTGTATTCAAGCCATCAGTCCACCATCTCCTGAGGTGCGTCCGTGACCGAAAGTTGCTTTCGAAGCTCACCGACATTGTTGCACGAGGCTGCAATATTATCGACTTGTATTACGACGTTACACTTGGCATGGCTCATGTGCGACAAGTAAGCACTGATGACAAAGTTGAAACGCGATATTACTTATTGCTGTGGTGGTATCTTAAATCATATCTCATATACTGTACCGTACCTTATACAAGGGGCTCGGAACTATAATCCCGACTCCTGTATTACCTATGTTTAATCCGACTTTTCGAGGCGCCAGTCCTCTCCCATAACTTTCATGATCATAATTCCGGTCTAACAACCAGATAGTCAAGACGCTCTATGTGCCATAACATCAGAAAAGGTCGTCTAAGCGCTCAATGCATATGCAACGCGGTCGGCGGACGATTCTCCGAACCCCCGCTGATACTCTGTCGTTTCTTCTCCTTCTTCGCCCACCGCACTATCGATCCGTTAGCAGAATTCTCATACGATGGCTCGATGACCGACCACCAGGGCACTCACATCCACAGGCATTACACAACGTCTTCGGCCCCCCCGGCCCCTTCCTCCACTCCGGACTGTCCAGCGTCCCGCAATCCTGACACACATACTCATCCACGATCTTCATCTTTTTCTTCTTATCCCCGCCCCCACGGTCCCGGAGGATGCTGTCCGCGGGGATTGCGATCCCCGCATCCCCGCGGATCAACGCCGGCGACGTGTCCCCCGTGCTGATCCCCTGACTCCGCTCGCCGTCCCGATACCGCAGCCCTGTCATCATCTCGATCGACTCCAGGTACGACGCCGCTTCGTACCGCGCCATCTTGTCGTTGATCGCGTCTGCTCGCGCCGACGCGAGCGCCTCGTCGAGGTTCTGGCGCGTGAGCGCATTGTCCGAGACGGCTGGTCGTGGCGGCGGCGGCATGCGCGTTGAGGTCCCGGGATTCGACACCACATCGCTCTCGGCTCGCGTATCCGCGCGGTATGCATCGCTGCTGTGCGGGTGACTTTCCAGCTCCCAATCTCGCTCCTGCGCCTCGACCTCCTCCAGCTCTTCACGTTTGAGATCGAGGATCTTCTTCTTCAGCCTTTCGTTCTCGATCTTGTGCTCGAGGAAGGAGTCGAGTAGGACGGCGTTCTTGGTCGGATAGGGACGCGACATCATGAAGATGCCGCGGCAGAAGGCGCTGCCGTTGTTCGGGCCGAAGGCGGCAGCGTCGGAGGCGTGGTGCGGGTGGCCGTGCGACTCGAAGATGGCGTAGCTGCCATCGGCTTTGCGGAAGCGGAAGAAGAAGCGGAGGTTGTGGCCGGACGCGATGGATTCGTTGAATTCGCGGACGAAGATGCCAGCGTCGTCGGGGTGGATGAACTCGCCGATATACTTGCCGATGAGGGCGGTCGGCGGGTAGCCAGTGATGGGTTGACATGATGGCGAGACGTAGATTATGCGGCCTTCGGGGGAGAGGATGTGTAGGAAGTCTCGTAGTTCTTCGATGAGTCGTTGCGACCAGTTTCTCCGCTTCGTGAATTCCAATGTGCTCCCACTCGATGTACCTCCCCCGCTCCGCGACTGTGGCTCCGATAGTGGTGTAGATATGAATCCAACGGGAGGCGGTCCTGCTCTTACCTGCCCCAGATCCGCGGTTGTTGTGGGTAAGTTTGCGTAGGAATCGGTCATTTGGGTCGTTCGGGGGTCGGAGGCGGCAGCATACATTTGCGACGGGTCAGTCATGGCGGGATCCATCCCCATCGCCATCATATCGACATCCCCCAATCCTGTCATGAAATCGGCAAACGGTTCCATAAGATCGGGCATCTGTGACAAAGATCCATCCATCTTCACACGGCGACGCACGGTCAGCAACTCCGAAATTACATTTCAAACCTCAATGGGCGGGTGGCGTAGTGCTGGAACTTACGGTGGATTGAATTTGGCCATTTTGATACATGGCACTAGGAAGGGGATGATGGGGGGGATGGGGGGGATTTCAGTCTGATTCGGGAGACTTCATTGGGATGATGCAAGCGGAGCGGAGAGGGAAATCTCCAATTCCGGTGTCCTGAAACATGGGATTCTAAGAATGAGGTTGCAAAGCCCGTCGGCTCTCCTCCGCTGTATTTTACAATGATCGGATTGCCGCTCTACTCCACACAACCAGTAATATCAGCCTTGGCACAAATCCGTCGAATCATCTCCAAGCCAGAACGGGGTCCACCACAAGCCTAAGGTCCTGAGTCCTGACTCCCGACCCCAACCATCATCTGGCAATGCGTGTATTCTGTTCCATTTCCTCAATCATCATCACTGACCCCAATCATCTGCAAAAGTGCATGCCTTCGCCTCTCAAGTTCACCGTCTTCCTCATCGATATTGTCGTTTAGTCCAGCAGAGCCGGTGCTTCCAATGGGTCCCTCTAATTCTACGTCCGTCTGCACTCTTCGAGCTCTCTCCTTGAGCGAGAGACCTGTCCGTTTTCGAACATCAGCATCCAGCAACCGCTCCGCTTCACCAGGCTCGTTCAGATTCTGGTGTCTTGCAAACATGAGCCGACCGTCCGTCCATGATAGCACTGGTCCGCATTCCTCGATATGCTTGGCGAAGGTTGCTGGGGTGAACAGCCTCCGCCAGTGCATCCCGCTTGACCGCGACCGTCCTTCGTTCTGACAGCCTACACAATGGATGCCCCATGAGGCCATGCTGTCAGCCCGCATAAACCAGGGTGCGCGAACGACGCCCATGAATCGTCGTGGGTTGAAAGCATACCCATCATTCGAATGTCCCTTTTTCAGTCCTCTGTCCATGCGTGTCCATGCATCGCTCAATTCATTAAGCCGAATCTTCTGTTTGAGGTACTTTCTATTGTGTTCCTTGGGTTGAGAGTGCGCGGATCGGTCCCTCCGCCAGTAGGCATCCCTCTGCGCAGCTACGGCGTCAAAGAGCTGGGTTTTGCAGCACCGCTTCTTTCCCTGAGAGTACTTTCCGGGGATGGAAGTGCAATGTGGAAGGTGTTTCATCGATTCCCAGGGTATCCCGAGATCTCTCAGGTTCGGCTCGAATAGTGGCAGAAACCGCATGTCATGCGTGAAGCAAAGGAAGCAAACTCTAGTGTTCCTCAACAGGTATATATATCCGGCCGCATCTCCGCAGATCTCGCAATACCTTCGGCGTAGGGTACTGGCTAAGGTGAGGAGAGTGTATAGCTTTCCAAGTTTGAGGCTTTGGATGCTGCGAAGCACGTCTGGAGCTTTGGTGACCAGATCATGAAACTTTCGCAGTTCATCGACTTTCTCCCTGGCCTTTTTGTTGACGAGTCTGAATGACATTACGGAATCGATCGTGATGCTGTTGAATATCTTGGCAAAAATTTGATCCGGAAGCCGGTCGAGGGGCCCAAGGCTAAAGGTGGTCTTGTGTTCTAGCATTGACAGCACGACATCGCGAGCGAACGTGCTGAGAGATTTGAAACGAACGACTGTTGGAATGTCCATGAAGGTGACAATATTGGTCAGAACTTCTACTGGCAAACAGTCTAGCGTGCCCAGCGCGCCTGGGGGTGTCTTGACTCTTCCATAGTCCAGAGGACAGTATCTCGCAAGGTTATTGCAATCGAGAGTCCAAACACGATGCTTTGAGGAGGGTTCGATGACAAGGTCTTCCAGTTCGGGAAGTAGTTTTCCAAGAACTTGCTTCGCCTGAGAACTGCTGATTCCACTGTTCTGAATTGATTGCTTTCTCTGGACAGCAGTGATCTTGCCAACCCCCCAATCGTCAACAGTCCCTTCACGCCTCTCAAAGACAGTTTGAACGACATTTACCTCCCCTACTGTGGGACATTTGGTAAGTCCAGCACTTCCACGGTTGGTAGTTGTCTGGAACCCAACGTTTGGATTCTGTTGTTGGATTTGCGAATTGAGTATAAGATTATCTGTGGCTTCCTTCACTTTGCGCTCTAGTGCTTCGGTCTTGTACCTCCTGTGCTTGTCTTTCTTTTTCCTTTGTGCCTTGATTTTTGCCTTATATGCCTTCCTCCTTTCAGCTGCTGCAAGCTGTCTATCTCGCGGTCCCCGTCCTAAAACCATTCTTAACAACGAGGTGAGGCGTGAATAGATGGATCTGTAAAAAAGGGATTGAATCGTTAACGAATAGACGGGGGGAAGATGCCGTTGTGGGGTGTTAGGTTTCAACGCTAGTGTAGTTTGAACATTCAAGTACGTAACTGGAAAATGGAGTAATTGGACTTGAGTCCCAGACTGAAGCAGCCGAGTGCTGAAGTCGCAATAGTTTGGTCTGGTGGTGACTGTAGAGCACAAGGGAGTGAAAATGGATTTATGATAAACGGAATCTGGTGAATTTATCGATTGGAGGTTTCCTGTTACGGAACGAGGTGAAACGAAGCTCACTGATTACCTCAGCAAGCTCAGGCCATTGTGGTAGTGCCTGAGGCAACGAACCGCGCTATACCTAATTGGTATGGTCCTCTACCAAATAGCCTGAGTTACCTCAGCAAGCTCAGGCCATTATGGTCATGC